ACTTTGCATTATATGATCCAAACCTCAAGTCTCAAATAAATGGTACTGTGGTCCCCTCCGTGTCTAGCGACTACCCATACATCATTACAATCGGCCCTTCCTATTTCGAGGCCTACAACACCTGGCCAGGTGTGAAATTCAGCCACGGATTCAACCTCGGAAAGAACACGAGCGAGGCCACGAATACCCTAGTTTCAACTGTTCCACTGGCATGCAAGGCCCTTAGCAATGGCAACTTTGCCCACTGGGAATTGGGCAATGAGCCCGATCTGTTCTCCGGGCAAGTTCGCCCAAAGAATTGGACAGCGAGTGACTACGTCAATGAATGGTTGTCCAAGACGCACATCATTCAGCGCCAATTGTCCAAAGCCTGCCCTGATATGTTGACTCATGGCGAGTACAAGTATATTGCGCCCTCATTTGCGGGTACAGCCAATCATCTCGATCCTGTCAAGACTTGGGAGGCTGGTCTAGATTCTGGCAATGACGTTGGTATGAACTCGATGCACAAGTAAGTTGCGATATGAAGCGATATGTTCATTGTCAGCCCTGACACGTACTAGCTACATGGGAGGCGCAGACTCTCCAGGTGTTACTCTTGCTCACACACTGATGAACCATACTGCGGTCATCCATAGCGTTGCAAATCACGTCGCTGTGATGAATCAGTTGGAGGAAAACAACTTGGCCAAAGGAGTACCTTATATATTGGGTGAAATGAATTCCCTCTACCACCAGGGCAAGCCGGGTCTGTCGAACTCGTTTGGTGCAGCCCTGTGGGGCGTCGACTTTAATCTCTACTGTGCCTCCCAGAACATTCGCCGCACCCACATGCATCAGGGTACGGACTATCGATATGCATCTTGGCAACCTATTGAAACCAACAAGACATCAATGGGTACCAAGGCGCCGTACTACGGCAATGCCATGGTCGCAGCTATGCTGCACGGCAAACAAAAGGGGCAGGACGCGAACATTCAAGTGATCAATCTCCCAATGAACCAAGAAACAGAAGCTGCCTACGCAGCATATATCGATGGCAAGCTAGCCCGTATCGCGGTGATCAACATGCAGGAGTATAACTACACGGGTACAGATTCCGCCTCGGCATTGCGACCATCCGCAACCTACCAGTTCCATCTGTCCGGAATGCCGAACAAATCCTTATCAGTGCAGCGATTGCTGGCAAATGGAACTGACGCTATCACGGGTATTACCTGGGATGGCTGGTCATATAGCTATGAATTGAAGGGTGGTAGCCCCGTTCGGTTGTCGAATGTCACCATTGGCCAGACTGCGCAGACGGACTCCAAGGGGTTGGTGGGAGTGGAGTTACCGTTCTCGAGCGCTGCTATTTTAAACCTCTAGTGTGAATTTTATTAGCCTGTAGATAAGGAGGGATTGCCGTGGCTTGTGGGTGGATGTCAGACACAGCAAGACATCCCCTGGGCCGGAGCAATTAGGGGCCCCTTTGAACAAAGCTTAGCGGAAAGGTAGCGAGTCAATTTGAATCCATTGGGTATGTGTATAGTATGATATATGATTGGTATGATCAAATAATGAAGATATGTATAGTGGGCGGGCTAAGGATCTGAATGTCGAGGCCCATCTACCCGTGTTTTGCTTCCTTTCTTTTTGCAAGAAATTTGGACCGTCTACCTTAATGGCTCAAGCATCAATTCTTACTTGTTGTTCAATTGATGACCGATAGATAGTGTTGAAGGTAGGACGAGGGGTGGGATTTATCATAACAAAGATACAATACTTCGGAGCAGCCATGGAGGAGATCGCCCTACCTAATCAGGAATACTACTTATTTTGGAAAAGTGTGCTGAGTGATCAATTATGGTGGGTTCGAACACGGCCTTGGCAATAGAAGATTTCTCTAAACCCTGTTTCATTGAATGTGTAGAACAAACTAGAGCCGACGCCCATGCCCGCTCCGATCTGCCATCATTTCCAAATCCCGACCACAGCGCCCCCGCTCCCTCACTGCGCTTTGCAGAGCCTCGACATATCAGTGTCGCTGCGTGACAATAATACGCCTTTTTCTGATTCTCTAACTCATAAAATCAATCACCGAGCCCGGGGTGATTCCGATATTGGGTACCAAGCTTATATGCCATACACCACCTAGCGATGAAGGTCGGTGTTGTTGCGGCTGATTAGATTTTGACTGCTTCGTCAGGCCATCTAAGCCACCTACACCAGTAGACACGCCGATCCGATTAGAATGCAAGCCAAGGAACGCATTTCCTGGTCTCTGGTTGTGGGATTCGTCGCCCTGCAATCGTCTTACAAAGGAAATCGAGGCTGCATCAACCGACGGGACCCAGGCGCCCTGGACCGTACTTTGGGGCTACTGCCACCCCCCCTCTACCATACCGACGGAATTGTGGCACCGGCCGAGAGCGGGAGCAAGCATGGATGTGCACAGCTCTCAAGGCACCAGCGGTAGCGTTCAGACCCGCTTGGATCTTCGGACAAGGTGCATCGACCTTCGGGTACAGCGTTGCACAAGGCGAGGCCGCTTGGGTGTATGTGTCGCCCGCCCCGCTGCCACGCAAGGGGCATAAGCCCCCGCGCTCTCGAAGCGACCTCCACTAGAGACTTTGAGTCGATGCGTTTCTGGTTAGGATTACCTGAAAGACGGCCATGAGTAAATACGAAGTACAGTAGTTTTTGAGAAAGCTCGGTCGTTGATAAAGCAGAACATCCGTATCAGGTCGCCATGTTTTTTGACTTTTCGCCAGGATAAGGCTATGTCGCGGTTGGTGAGAAGATAGTGGATGGAGGTGCTATCTGCAAATCATTGACTAGTAGTCAGTAGGAGTACTTTGTACATATCCAACTTTTGCAGATGGAGACTGGGAACTCGGGCCTGTTGAGTAAACCACCTCAGTTAGTCTCATCATGTTACCAATTTCGGCACGTTGGCATTTTCTACATTTGGAATAATCTCTTCTCGTCCCCAAAGGTGATTTTTTCTGCTGCTCCGACAGTCTCCTTTGTACTTTGCAGACTGTACTCTGCTATTGTTATATCGGGCTAAAGTATCTTGATGGATGCTAAAGTGAAGAGTCCCGGGCAGTTGAACCCACCTTTAATTCAGTGGTGGCACTAGGGCCCTTCTAATGAAGCTACGTGGGTATTTTCTCCATCAGTGCATGGCGCCAGTCCGATTGGCAATAGTCAATTTACATAGCAGGAAGAAGCAAACAGCTATGTTGGAAAATGGCTTGCTTTCTAGTTAGTCACACTACGAAGGGCAAATGTGTCGTAACCGTCAAATAGACTTTCAGTGGTACTGATTTCGTCTTTTCTAGGCACCAAAGTGAGTACTTATGCGAACGAAAGGGCCGATTCCAATTGGTCTCTCCTCATCTCCCCGTAGCTTGCGACGATCAGGGAGTTCGTTCGTGATCCGCAGGTCCCCGTCGACTTGAGGGAGACCTATTGTCGATCCGGGACAAAGGAACCGTTCCTAATGGACCGATAAAAGCCATATTATCCTTCTTCTACTACTGACCCGGCCGAAAGCGTTGACTTCGGGTCAACGTCCAGCCTTTGGTCGAGAAACGATCGTACTTGCGTGGCACTAAAGGGTTCACGGGGATGTACGTAGATCTGTAGGTATTTGTCAAAAAGTTGGAAAAGAAATGATGGAAAACCAAAGAGAACAAAAAGAAGGCAGAAAAGAATGGTGCTTGTCGTGGGAGGTGGCCTGCTCGCGAACTCGACCCTTCCTCAAGCCCCAAAGTTAAAACAAATGTCAAACAGAGTATAATCCCATTCTTGACGTCTACCCAGCGGCCCGAGTCCGAAGTTCCATGGATTCGAATAAGCTCAAAATTCGATGGTTGTTGCAATGACCTTATCTGAGGAACCATGGATCGCCTAACTATTGGTTACTGTACCACATTCCCCAGGCCGTTTGACGTTTGGGCCCTTTTGGACCTGGATAGGCCCTGAAAAGCGGAGAAAGGGGCCATTCTGTTTCGCCTTCAATTCCGATTAGACGCGCGCACAGACGAGTTCGTATTATTGACCTGTATGAAAACCTACACAAATGGAGCTGCGATTGATCATGCACGTACCCACGAATAATCTGGAGTGCCCGCTTCGGGGTTCCAGACGCTTTGCCCACTGTTGGAACAAGATAAGATTCCATATATTTCGTTTGCATTGTCCAGCTGATGCCAAATTGATGTCGAGTACAATGCCCATTTTCCGCGGAGACTGCGTTCTTAGGTTGTGCAGCCAGAGCCCTGACCCACTGCCTGACTGGGATCCTACAGCTGAGGCCAACTCCTGCGATCGGCGATCTGACATCGTGACTGGTGAGGAAATAGTTTCCTCCCACCGTTCATCGGATGATCTTTCGATTCTGTACATGTGGGTGCTTGAGTTCAACCAGTATATCCCCTGACCAGTTACCGCCATCTCTACGGTCGACGCTTTCTCTGCGCCTGTTTGATTTTGTCAATTTCTAGAAAAGTTATATAGTAGTATCTCAAATTCCATCACTACTAACAATGCCGTAGCTAGTGTACCATGGCGTATGTTTAACATCCCTGCGGGTGCCCCAGGGTTGTTGCCCGTCAAGAAGCCTCTGTGGCTAGTGGCTTGTCAAGGCGCAGGATCGCCTGCCTTTTCATCCAGATTTAGTCAATCTCGGACCCCCAGAGGCGTCGAATCATAGGTACCGGGAATCAGATGCGACAAATTGGCAGCGCAGATGGAATGTACACCAGTGCTAACTTCTATCGCTGTCATTGCGCACTACTAGTCTCCGCAGATGGTCGAGACCGTGAGAAATAACAGCAATGAAAAGATTGGGAGAGTAAAGATGCACACTGCGATCCAATCGAAAACTCCTGGCCCACTATTTGGCGGAGATCCAAAGGTACAATTCACAAACTGTATTCTGTACAAAATTGTTAAACGCACAACCGGACAAGCCGACTTATTGCCACCACCTCAGCCCCGCCGATATTTGCTTTCGTCCTTGCATCAACTAGCTAGCACGTCGGCGATTCCCATAGTCAAGAAAGGTCGTCAGGTGGGGATCTACCAATACTCGGGCTCCATGACGGTTACAGTACTTTGGTAGATGTTGAAGCTAAATTCGGCGTGATTATTCCTAACTCATTTCCATGATCTTCCCCAAGTATAACTAGGTTGCATCCCCATCCCTTTCCTTGCAACTGGTCACGGAATCTATATCCAACGGCGTCCTGCAGTGTCTCTCCGACTCTACACTGGGCGAGATCATCCTGCGGCCCTCAGAAGGAAAAGTCATATACCCCTGAAGCGCCCCGCGCCACCAATAAAAGAGAAACACCAAGCGACCCCGACCGTGTGCTGTGTGAATATCACCCTTGTTCCAACTTGAGCAGGACGAGCTCACCTACACAACTTGCTGTTCTCACAAAACATATGCCATGGACATAAATCGACCACATCTAGGCATTGGCGATGCTCTTGAGCGAAGGCATTCTGACACATCCGTGCTTCAAACAACTCAAATGGTATTTACGAGATCTAAAAGCCGCACAGAAAGATGATACATGGGCACTAACATGAAATTCATGCGACAGGCTCCAGCAGCGGAATTTCCTCACCCACACTACGCCATGATCTATCTCGATCATAATGGGGAACTTCGAGTGAAAGCATCTGCGTCGATTGCTGGCTGTGGTGGCGCCATATTCACGCAAGAGGTGACGGACAACTTTGTGAAATTGGCTGCTCCTAGCCCCATGGCCAACATGCAATTCAATCCTAGTAGGCCAAATCTCCAAGCTACACTTCATATGTGCTCTTTTGACTGGAATCAAACTGGCATAGACACTGGCCATTTGGCGGAACGATCACCTTTCGGCCTTCAACCAAGCCCGGGACTGGTACATGCCGGGCAGACTAGGCCTGCTGAGTTGATACCATGTCAGTTCCTGGATCAGAATAAGAGAAGACGACGCGACACGAGAAGAGCGAGCATAGCCAACTCTAGTTCCAAATCCACATCCCCATCGCCTACTCCTCGACCGGGACGTACCATACTTCGCGTCGGGGATAAGGATCTTCTACGACGATACTACGAGAAAGCGTTCGAGGATTTCCAGCAGTTAAACTGTCGAGCTATTGCCAAGTCATATATTAAGCTCGTGGAACCGAGGAAACAGGTTCACTTTCCTTATAACGGACGCAAAGTCATTGCCGGCGTATCGCAGCGTGTGGATCCGGAGCAGACCAAGCCAGCGTGGTGGCCCGTTGGTGTTCTGCACCGAGAGCCAGATCATCTCCTCAAGCGAGGTAAGCAGAGAAGAGAAACACATAACGGTCATCACAAAAATAGCTCACTCTCTATAGACCGCCTGAAGCTACTTGTACATATACTCTGTGAGCTGAAGGATAGCCACAGTGTGACTGCAGACAAACTGCGCGAAGCTGGACAAGACGTTCGCCGTCAGATTACACCCTCACATCGACTTCAAGTACTGGATGAAATCTATTTCGTGCGAGAGATGGAAGAAAGGTATCTGGACGGAAATCTAGGTATGCACATCAATGCGCTCAATGCTTGTCTCGAAATCAACTCGCTCACTGGAAGTAGACGCAAATGCCCGCCTTCAGGTCATCCACACACAACTCCCGGAGGCAATATGCCAGGAAGATGAATTATCTTCCGGTATATACGTTGCCCCGATCACGGCGCTGGACGAAGAGTCGGATAGCCAAGATACGCCGAGCTTTGGAGCTGAGCGTGACTTGCATTTAGACGACAGCACTCCCATAGCACACACAAGCTCACAGGGCATGCCACTTTCCCCGACAGCCAGCGACTCAAGTGGCCCTCATAGCCCGACTTTTGGAGCATACCCTGCTGCTATAAACTCGGCCGTGATGCCGCTAGAAGCTTCCACGGCTGTCAAGAATATGCCCACCGGGCCGAATTATCTACCAGGGTACTATGGGCAGCAATTCATGCCCACTGAGAAGACAGCTCCTGGGGGCTACTGGACTGGTGTGCCTCATATTTCTCAGGTTTCACACTATGGTTATTGAACTAGAAATTGGGGGGACATTTTCGTTTTTCTTTCGTTCTGAGCACACGTAGGAATTCTGGAAGGCTAACGAGACACGAACACGAGCGCGAACATATATTGGGAAGGCTGTTTGGAACATATTTTGGGTTGCACTCTTCTATTGTCTCTTTCGTGCCATTTATTTTGAGTCAGATGAAAAAGAAAAATGACCAATATAATTCAAAGAAAATTTCAATGATGGAATTCGTAACCCATGACTTGCAAATCTTGGAGTTGCCAAGAGCCCAGCAGTTTCAAGTATGGGTTTGAGATAGTTTCAGGACGATTGCTCTTCCACGAGGCATGACAAGCTCCATACCTAGAATGAGAAGCCTCGACTCTTAAACCTTCATATAAATCGTAAGATTTTTGCGAATCAGCAATATCTGGAGCTGGAAATAGTTTTTCAGGGTGCAGACTGAGCAATTCCCTTCCATGGCTCCTTGCCCACAGAGTCTAGGCTATTAGAAGGTTTGCCCTCAATTAAATGAGATCGAGATGCCCCTTCTGAGTCGATTGACCGGAATGGATTGAAGGGGACTGAGTAGATAGCATCAATTTCTTCGAGTGACCGGCCCTATAAACATACCCACGTTAGCTTGACATGCGCGTTTGGGGCATGTAAGTTGATTACCTTGGTCTCTGGAAGAAAGAAGAATGTAAACAGGAGTCCTACAAAGGCAATGCTGCCAAAAACCCAGCCAACCTTGAAATGAATGCCGTTAATCATATACGGAAGAGCAAAATTTGTCACAAAAGCCCACAGAACGTTCCAAGAAGTGCCAATCGCTTGCGTTTTCTCACGAACCGCAGCGTTCGGAACCTCGGCCCCGATGAGGTAGGGAATCGGTCCACCTCCCATCTAGATGCCGATGAATCAAATCAGAAAAAGTAATGAGGTGACCAAACTTATGGGACTTACATTGTAGGAGATTGCATAGAGCATGAAGACTGCGACAACGGCATCCTTATCCGTAGTAGACTTGTGGCCTTTCTCACCTATCCCAGCCAGGACGAACAGCCACAAAGTCTGGAAGAAGAAGGAGATCATGAGGCTGAAACGACGACTATCGAGCGCAGAGATTTAGAAAACTCTACAGGTAATTGAGGTCAGGTTACATACCCAATTTTGTCGACCATATACATTGCTGGTAACAGGGCAAGGAAGCCAAGGCAAGCAGTAATGAGGGGATAGGTGAAAGCGTACTCAGCATATCCATTTGTTTTGTAGAAAACCACGGAGTATTTTGAAACGAAAGCCTGACCCGTGGCCTACGCTCACAGTGTTAACTTCATCTCAATTTTGGGCAAGAGAGTGTGCTGACCTGCTGGAAGAAATAATTTACGATGACGATTATAGTCCTGCGGAGGTTGGTTCCACGCAGGAGATCGGACCATGAAGTCTTATGCACATTCTGTTGAAGAGCCTCGCGAATGGATTGAATCTCGATCTCACAGTTTCCATTCATGGTGTCCACATTTGGTCTCAGACAACGTAACGATATCACCGCTTCCTCATTACGGTCTTTGGATAGAAGCCATCGAGGAGAGGTGGGTATGAAGAAGGTAAACACGATAATCACTGTACATATCTATGAGCAAATAAAAGGAAAATTGAAATAAACAGTTACTCACAAACAGGGAAGGCGAATTGGATGCCTGTGATGGTCTTCCAGCCGACAGAGTCGGTAGAGGCCGAGAAAACCTTGTTGACAACTGAGGCAAGAATTGAACCAACGGTGAGAAACAGTTGCAATGAGACGACGACGAATCCTCTGAAGAAGGATGGCACAATTTCAGATTGATAAATCCTGATCTCGAATGTTAATCTAGTGCGATACGAGGAATAGTAGGAAGCGTACGTCACATTGACTTCTACCAAACCAACCGAGATGTAGACGACTATCCGACCAAAGATGAACTGCGCAAGACGTCCGGTTCCAGCTGCATTCCCAGTAGAAGTCATCTCGACTGGTTGCTCGAAATTAGCAATCATAAATACTGCTTGATAAGATGTCAACTCACTGATAATGCCGACCACAGAAATAATCGATAGGCCGAAAAACACTGTGCGATGGCCATACATTTCGATTGCTGGACCGGCAAAGAGACAACCGATGAATTTGCCAATGAATGCTAGCGATGTGAGAAGAGATGTATGGAGCGAGTCGATGGAGTATTTTCTAGTCTCGGGACTATAGGTGCCGAATTGATTCACAAAGCCCTGCAAAGATATTGGTATCATTTCATTGGGAGGATTGGCGTGATACCAGACTTACAGGATTTGCGAGGACCCCACCAAAGCTGCCTGTGTCATACCCAAAGAGAATGTCTCCAACAAGAAGACAGAAACAGGAAAATAGAAGCATAGGCGTTACCAGAGACCAGGCAGAATTGGGAGTATCCATGATTGACCGCTATTCTAAAGCCCCAAATTGCTTGAAAGAGCTACAGCGACGCAAATTATCAACTGAGATCTGGAAGAGATCTTGCGTGAGCAAGTTGTCCCAAATGACATATTTAAATCATGAATCAGTCTCCTGGAACTTTTATACTATTGTACTCTACCGAGAGCTTCATGAGATACAGCCAAGGATGCCTATAGCACTTTCTTACATCTATGGCTCATCATCGGAGCACGAAATCACGAGAGCAAAAGCCAGTCAATATTGATTCAATGCCAGTCTGGCCCTTGCGAGAGTGCCTCGCTCGGAGTAGAAATGGGGGCTTGTAGAGATTCCGAGCGAGACCCACATTCTGCCATGTCCGGATCCACCTCGCTCGGAACGCACCAGCATTGGGAATCACGACAGCGCTAAGGATGAGAACAGAATTACACAGGGAATGCCGGGAATGTGTTGTGCCGTGGGAATGATATTTCGAAATCTAGGCCCCCACCTGATGCGTGGTTTTTCTTTTAGTGCGGGGCACCGCGTACATTCGTGGAACAGGAACGACGCTGTTAAATAGTGCAGATACCCCATCATGCGATTGATAAAGTCTAGCAAGTACGCGCAGTCGAACGCTTAGACAACCCGGCCCGTTACTTTTATCAGACCATGGGCATTTCTCCTGAATTGGGGTCCAAGAGACCTAACTTTCTCTTCATCCTTGCAGATGATCTGGCAAGTTCCCTTCCTGAGACCCGAATCTCTAACGACGCTAACATGTTTTCATGACAGGGATTCTCCGACGTCGGCTGTTATGGAAGTGAGATCCAGACACCAAACATTGACCAGCTGGCTTCGGAGGGCTTGCGAATGCTGAACCACCATGCTGCCGCTGCTTGTTCGCCAACACGGGCAATGCTTATGAGTGGAACCGATGCGCACCTTGGGGGACTAGGAGTCCTCATTGAAGCAAAACTGAATAAGCATGGTGCACAACGATACGGTGGGAAGGCTGGATACGAGGGGTATCTTAACAATGATGTGGCTACTTTGCCTGAAATTCTCAGTGATAATGGTTACTTCACAGCCATGTCTGGCAAGGTAGGAGAAAACTACCCAGTGGTCGATACTAGTGAGGCGTCTAGGAAATGGGCTGACCCACGCTTACAGTGGCATCTCGGACTGCGCGCCAGTCAAGGACCCTCTCAGCGGGGATTTCAGAAGGCTCTTGCGATGCTTCCTGGCTGTTGCAATCATTACGGCTGGGAGCCCATGCAGGAGAAATTTCCCATGGGAGGCTCCCCGCTGCATACGGAGAATGGTACCAAGGTTGATCTGTGAGTCGGATTACTAGATCTTACTATACTAACGGTACCTCTAATATCACTTCAAGGTCTGCCAACACAACCGGAGATCCCGAAGGCTTCTACTCAACCGACTACTATACCGACAAATTGATTCAGTATTTCGAGAATCGGTCAGACGATGAAAAGGAAAAGCCTTTCTTTGCATATTTGCCATACACTGCTCCACACTGGCCGCTGCAGTGCTCCAAGGAGCAGCGTGATAAGTAAGATTCCATGAAGGACAAGACGAGATTTAGACCCGAACTTACGCTTAAGCCACAGATACAAAGGGATTTACGATGATGGCCCCTATGCCCTGCGAGAACGTCGCCTAAAAACACTCGTTGAGATGGGTATCATCGATGAATCTGTCGTCCCACACCGTGTTGAGACAAAATCCGTCAACGCTGGAGAGTGGGCGGATCTCACACCCGAGGAGAAGCAACTTTCCAGCCGCGCTATGGAAACGTATGCTGGCATGGTGGATACGGTCGATGTCAATGTTGGCAAGGTGATTGAATACTTGAAGAAATCCGGCGAGTACGACAATACCTTTGTCGTGTTCATGAGTGATAATGGAGCTGAGGGTGCTGCGTGAGTGACTGATTTTCCTTGAATGCCGTTTTGGTCTTTGTCTGACTGATTGAGATAGACTTGAAGCAATGCGTAAGCAAGAAATGGCCGCTTGAGACTGACTAAACTTCCGCTGAACCTTTTGCAGCCGTCATGGGCGATCGAATCACCGAGGCGATTCACAAGCACTATGACAATTCGCTCGATAACATCGGGGCCTTTAACTCGTACACTTGGTGATCTCTCCCCAATCCGCACTGAAGTGGAAAATGTCTAACTGAAACATACTAGGCTGGGACCGCTTTGGGCGCAGGCATCGACAGCACCATCACGACTATTCAAGTGCTTCCCATCCGAAGGAGGCATTCTGGTTCCATGCATCATAAAGCCTCCTGCAAACACTTTCCAATCATCCTTCACTCCAGGCTCATACAACCGTTCCTTCACGACTGTAATGGACTTTTTGCCGACCTTCCTCGATCTAGCGGGAGTTCCCCAATCCCCCGCCGTGGAGAAAACTCAAGTTATTAATTCGGCCGGAAACATCACTGCAAACCGAAGAATGTCAACTTTCCGGGGCAAGGATGTCCACGCGGTTCGGGGAAAGTCTTGGATCCCCTTCTTTTCCAAAGGTGAAAAGGTTGAACCCAATGAGACATGGTACATTTACCCATCCACTGAGGCCATTGGATGGGAACTGTTTGCTCAGGGAGCCTTGCGAAAAGGTGACTGGAAAATAGTTCATATTTCCAGCGGCCGGGGCAGTGCGGGTGACGGAGATAAGGGCTGGGAATTATTCAATGTTGCCAATGACCCCGGGGAGACAAAGGACCTGGCAACTGCCGAGCCGGAGAAGTTGGCTGAACTACTGAAGCACTGGGAGGAGTATGTCGTCGAGTGTGGCCTTGTATGGGGAGAGAGTGCTATGGCCCCTGGACTGGGAAAAGACGAGGCCCCAGAATTATGGGAGGATGAGACTGAGCTCCAGAAGGTATGGATGGGTGCCAAAGCAGGCTCGATTCCAGCTGTCTGTGAATAATCTCTTGATTGGGGGATTTGGAGTCCATAGTTCAATGAGTGTGCTTGATGCTTACTGCGCGGGTATAAATCTGGTAGTAAAGCCTATCTAACGACTCTCAACTATTGAAGGAATAGACTCTACCAAAAAAGCAAACGAATAACGGACGCAAATGTGACTACATTATTATCAAAGTATTGTGAATGTTTCCCTCGATCTAAATGATCCGAAGCCATCCCGTTCAAGTGGGGCCCCGCATTATGGCGCGAGACCGCCGTTGAATGACCACATAATGCCCCGTCTCCACTTTTGAAGTCTCTCATATTGTCTTGCCATGCGCGTGCAGGATCTACAGCATCCGGAATCCTGGCATCTTTCTGAAGATGAGTGCTTCAGAAGCAAGTCAGCTTGATATAAGACCACACCTGCAGAGTAATCTGTCAGCAGGAACAAAAGCCGCATTCCGCCGCACCCAAACTGGTTGTCGTACCTGCAGGTCAAGAAGAGTGAGTCTTTCCACACCTAACAGCATATAAAGTCTAACAATGGAAATTGTCAGGTCAAATGTGACGAGAGAAAGCCCGTCTGCTCCCAGTGTTGCAAAGGCAATAGGGATTGTCGTTGGCAAGGCCCTAACCAGAAGCGAGTAAGGCTGCCTCGGCGTCCTAATTCCACAGCATGTATTCTTTGTCGAGAGAAAAAGGTAACCATTGCTGCTTAAGACTCAACGAAAGCCGAGTTAACAACCTTCGACAGCTTAAATGTATTGGGGATGCCAACAACGCTTGTGAAACATGCACTAGCATGGGCGTCGCATGTGTGCGGTCGTCATCACGCACAAAACATACAAGCATATTACAAGATGCAATTGCTTCGCCAGCCGGTCGCACCAGCATAGAAAAATTGTCACTCCTTCATATCTCCGCAGATCAGAGTCCAGGGTTGAAGGACGCAGCGCCATTAGGTCATCTGCCAACACGGGGAGAACTAGAAGAGCTAATTCACTTGTACTTTGCTTCCGTGCATCGTACGTATTCTGCTTGTTCATCCGATATAGCTGATTCTAGAAAGACTGACAGATATAGATTTTGGATTTGTTGCATTTATCCATCAACTGCATTTCAATCGCCTCCTCGCCGAAGGAAAAGCCCCTCGCGAATTGACTCTTATGATGATTGCTAGTGCCACAAGGTGAAATCCCTATTCCGAGGTAGTGTCCATGTAAAACGAGAAACTAATCTTTCTTGAAGATTTGCCAGGGATCCTTCTCCAGAAAACTTAGCCAAGGCAGATGCTTGGGCCGATGCCGCTCTCGAAGCTCTGCTTCCACGGATCTACCAGGGGTTTGGAGCGGTACAGCTTATGGTATGTTCTAGATATTGACTCGGTGGCAGTCGGCTAAAGTGAATAGACCATCTTGTTAGCTCAACACTATGAGCTGAACCGAGGTAACTTTACGTCAGCTTGGTTGTTATCGGCCAATTGTACAAGGTAAGGTCGGATATCTCATCTATTTCTGGCCAGCCCGTGAACGAGTGATGAATGTCTAGGATGATGCAAATGATGTCTCTACACACCTTCGACCGAACATATCCAGCGAAGTTCCCCTCTCACTTACAACTTTCACCCCTCCTGTCCCGTGAAGCACTACGTCGGCTCGCATGGAGCACATTCTTTTTCGACTCGATGATTGACGGAGGTCGATACGGTTTCCACTCCGTCGATGAAAATTCATATCGCCTACAGCTCCCCTGTGACCAAGCAAGCTTTTTAGGAAACGAGAACGTGGTCACCGAAAGGCTTTTTCCAGAATCAAATGCTAATGCTCGAGCTAGTATTGGCAATGCCCAGCAGGCACCGCTGGATATCTGGGCCTATGTCCTACGAATTGCAGCTGCTAGACGTCGCGCACTCCACTTTGCATTTCGTGCCTCTCACCGTGGACGGACAGTTGAAGAGATGACCGCCGAGCTTGCTATCATTGAGGCAGACGTCGAATCGGTCGTTTCCGACCTACCGAAGCGATTTCACTTCAACACTGATAATGTGTTCATTCACCGTGATCGACTACTCACTTTTCTGCTTTTGCATGTTATGCGACATAATTTGTTCATCATAGTTGGTCGGGCAGCGCTGTTGGTTTACCAGCGCGATTCTACAAAGGCCGATCTCGTTGCGCATGTGCGCCGAAAGAGGATCTCACATGCATTGCCCATTGCGAGTATACTTGCCGAGGGATTGAAGGTCGGTGTCGTTTTGGATCCTCATTTAGGCATCCAGGCTTATGTTGCCTTAGAAAGTGAGTTCTCAGTTTCGCGATCAACATGCATATTGGCTAACCCGATCGTAATAGTCCTTCTTTTTGAGCCACGGCGCTTAGCTGAAATTGATCCTTATGTCGACCCCAAAGCTCCAGATTTCATGGTTGCGATTCCTGACCTGTTGACTGTGATTCGGGATCTTGGGCATCGGTCGGAGGTGGTCAGGCAGTTGGTGAGTGATTATGCTTTGCTCTTGGATTTGATATTAACATCATCCAGCACATCGAGGCTGTTCATCGATTGCTACGATTTAACTGTGGCCAATTCCTTAACCAAGTGGATATTGAAGCATTTCAAAGGTATTTCACCCTGCACACCCCAGACTAGACTAGCCTCGAGAGTCTCTGATGCTGTTGCAGTGGTTACCGTTTAGTCGGACAGGATCTAGCAGAATTCGACTTTCGCGATTTCCGATGGGCCAAGGTTGAACGAATCCGCCGAGGAGCTCCATCCGCTGCTACCGGCGGGGGTGATGAAGTACTACTCGAGTATCGGGTCGACGGAGATACGGCTGCTCATACGGTTGCGCCTTCGCCTCGTCTAGATGCCATTGATGTGAATAGTGCGTTGGGCTGGTCCCCGCTTGTGCAATCTGCTCCATCAACTGCTTCCCACACGGTGGGTCTATCCGAGGGTCCTCGGTTGGATGACCACGGTTTGGAATCGACGAGATCAGAGTATGGCCTTCTGGACGAGCCATCACTAGACTGGCCGTGGCTGTTGGAAGAGTCGGGACCATCCGTATATCAAACCGGTGACCCGGAGACATTTTGGAGCCAACTTGAGCGAATCTGAATTCAGCGTAGTAGGAGTGGTATTATCAACGACCTCGAGAAGGTGTCTCGCAACTGCCATGTCATATTCTCAATGTATCCTTGTGGCAGCCTCGAGCAGATGAGCATGGCTGGTCATCTCCCCGGTCATCTGATCGGCCTGGCCCGAACTGACGGGTCTTTTTCACTACCTTAAGCACTTTAGGTACACCTTCGCTACATCCGTTGGGGATAGTTTAGTATGTTGGGTCCACACACTCGCCACCACAGATACTGTTGCCCGCACAGAGATCAGAACGGGCCCCAGCGTTGCTCCTTTATCAACATGTGCCATAAAAATAAGACATACAGTTGATACTTAACTAGTCAAAGGTATGTTCACGATGACCAAGAATGAGTTTTGTCATCGAACCCATGTCGATGCCACCGCTACTGTGAACAACTTGAAAGCTATGGTCGCCAGATCGCGCTCTTCTAAGCTCTACAATCCTGTCCCAGATTTAGATAGAACATGAATGCAAAAGAAAACTAACTTAGTTAAATGATCGACTCAGCTCATGAGTCAAGCGGTAGTCAAAGCCTCCGTTAGTCCGTAAGCCGTATAGTTCCCCCCATGTGACTCGGATAGGCCAATATGATTGGCCGTGAAATGGTCCAATGGCCGGTCTCCGCCTGCGCGTGTGTTATGACGGAGCTTCCTGGTTGCTCCTCGAGGGCTGCCAACCTTCTCCAAATTCACTTCTCGTTGCTTTCTTCCCCAACTCGCCCCTCACCATCAGGCCGTTCTCGTGGAAAATCCACCACTCCGTTGCATGCACTTTGTTTGGCTCGCCAACCACAGCGCGCTTACAATTCCCTCGTGATTCTGTCCGTGGTTTTCGCAGTCCGATAAGGTAGGGTACATCTGTTTTGCCCTCAAAGCAAAGAAAGCAGCAAAGATGCGCACAGATAAGAAGCCCAGCAGCCGCTCTGGCCGCTGCTTCGTCCTTGCGCCCAAAAAATCTGGTTGTTACAATGGGTATGCTAACCTTCGGTCGCTTCCTCAGCCGACCCTATCCCCATTATCGGGACGGCCCAACCCTTTTCTCCTTCCAACAGCAGTTCCTCATGGAGGAATCCAGCGCTCGCGAGCGCCGCAAGTCCGACTCCACCATGGGTGCAGATTCTCTGGCCACTACGCCCTCTATCGAGGAGATGGTTGACAACCCGTTCCTGGACGACTTTGAGCACGATGACTTTTACTCGCCGCCCGCCTCTCCCGGAAAGCTTTCGCGCAACCCGTCCTTCTCTAACAGTGGCTCCTATCAAGAGGACTGGGAGACGTTTCCTCCGCTTGACAAGCTCACCATCTTCGATCTTCTCGATAATATTCAGCTGTCACAGCGGTTCGAGAAATGGCAAAATGCGCTCACCGTGCAGCGCGAGAGGGTTCGCAAACAAAGGGAGAGGCTGCGATCTACGGGGATGACTGCGAGGGAGCGGGTGGTGGGTGAGTTGAAGCGTCGAGTGCCGACAGCCGACGAACAGCTCGAAAAGTACCGTCGCCGCATGAAGGACGGCGTTGAGCGTCTGGGAAAACAGTGGAACAAGACGGCGACCGTGACTCTGCGCGAGAAAGCCTCCTTTATCGCCGGCGTGCTGAACATCTTCATCAGTGGCTATCTTATCGGCGCGTGGCCCCAGATTTTCTACTACTGGTACACTGCGCAGCTGGCCTACTTTATGCCCATCCGTTTCTATACCTACCACGCGAAGGGATACCACTATTTCTTGGCTGATTTGTGTTACTTTGTCAACCTACTCTGCATGCTCTCGATCTGGGTCTTCCCGGGCTCCAAGCGGCTGTTTATCAGCACCTATTGCTTGACTTTTGGCAATAACGCGGCAGCCATCGCCATGTGGCGCAATTCTCTGGTCTTCCATAGCATGGACAAGGTGGTCAGGTATGAGTTTTCTCCCCTTTTCCAACACAAGGCCTACGCATGGGATTTTCAGCTGACACTCTCGGTTTTCTTTATTCAGTCTCTTCATCCACATCATGCCGCCAGTTACTCTGCACTGTGTCGTCCATTTGACCCCGGTGGATGTGCTCAAGGAACGGTTCCCAGCCGTCTATGCCATCAAATTCAGTCAGCCCGGGGATCCAGAGCACTATTCACTGGGTGCGATGATTTTCTGGGCTACCGTGCCTTATCTGATCTGGCAACTGTTGTACCACTTTATGATCACTATTCGCCGCGCCGACAAAATCGCAGCAGGACGTCCGACAAGCTTTACCTGGCTTCGCAAGTCGTATGCCAAGGCCTGGATTGGCAAGTTTGTGCTCAGCCTTCCGAATGCGCTGCAAGAACCAGCATTCATGCTGATTCAGTACACCTTCGCCTTGTCTACTATGATTCCTTGCCCCATCTGGTTCTGGTCGCGATGGGCGAGCGGTATCTACATGTCTGCCCTCTTTATTTGGAGCATTCATAATGGAGCAACCTATTATATCGATGTCTTTGGCAAGCGCTTCCAGAAGGAACTCGAGCAGTTGAAGAAGGATGTCGCGCGATGGCAGAGTTCCCCCGACTTTGCCACCAGCCCACTCATTCTCCCCGATAGCTACACTCCTGCCAGTGGCGCCCTCGGTGCTCCCGCTCCCCTGGAGAAGCGTGGCAGCATCGATCGGATTCCCCTTCTGGATTCCACTTTGGCGGCAGCAACAACTGCCCATGAGGCTACCGCAGCCACTGATCGTACCACTCGTCAACGATCTTAGCCGCTAGGGCATTTCTTTCTTTAATATCCCATGATACCCCCACTGGCGCGCACGTCTTTTCTTCCCAGATACGATCTTCGAGCTTAGCATGCACGGTTTTGATGACTGATATTTGATTTTGGTTCCCGCTGCTTTCGGGTACCTGGATTTTGCGAGCTTTCGTTATATGCTCAGACAGATTTACACATATTTTTTTTTCGAAGAGCAAGGGGGTCAACTGCATATTTTGTCTTCAATGAATTACTCACGATTGTAATGATATGTACACTCACATATTGACCATATAGAGAATCACTTCTCGTGACACGTATATCTCCCCTCCATTTTCCGTTAATCCCGAGCGGGTCCACACAACTCCGTCCGGGACTCCGTTCGGGGCCGCCATCAGAGACTTGGCGGGATCGGCAACCATCGCTGCGCTAGTTCATTTATGGCCGCCGTCCAATTAACTCCCGATCCGACACCAAAACCCCGAAGCCGGACATCATCACGTGATGCAAACGTGATGGTCTCGGGCGTCACAAACAACTTTGCCGGCCATTCCCAATGTCAGCATTACATTATCCATCAACATTCGTATTTTGAGTCTGCCTTGAATCACCTTGATATTGTCTCACGTATTGTCTATTCGCTGTCGTTGTTGCGCCAGTCCGCCGCCGCCTGCTCGATTCTTCGGGCTCCCTTTTCCTTCCTCCCAACATTTCCGCAAATGTCCGCCACAATGAGATCAGCCCGCCTGGTGCGCCATACTACCGCATTGCGACCAGCGCTGACCGGTAAGATGGTTCTCATGATGATGATGGTGATGATGGACGTTAATATAGTTTATCTGACTTTGGTTTTCCTGTGAATAGGTCGCTCTCGCGCCAGCGCATTGGGCCCGGCCACGCTGGCTGCGGCCAACAGCCTGCTCTACAATGGCCGAGGCATCCCAGCCCAGGTGTCAGCTCTCGCCATCCTTCTCCCTCAGCGCGGATATGCTACCGAGCATAACACTTCGACCTCTTCGCCCCAGTCATACCCGCCGCCTGGCTTCAATGCCGAACAAGCAAAGAAGCCGATTCCCCAGGATCAAGCTCAGACTGTCAAGCCTGCTGCCACATCGCAGTCGGACGTCGTCAAGGCCCCAGCTCGCGATGCACCTACCAAGGCTGTTGCGAAGGAGGGTAACAAGAGTGTGGCCGAAGAGAAGAAGGAGACGAAGAAGTTGACCATCGGTCAGAAGATTAAGAAGGAGGTCCAGCACTACTGGGATGGTACCAAGTTGCTTGCCACGGAGGTCAAGATTAGTTTCCGGTTGGCGCTGAAGATGGCGGGTGGTTATGAACTCAGCCGGAGAGAGCACCGTCAGGTTTGTAGTCACCTATTCCTGCTGACACTTGTGTTTAATGGCAATCGCTAATTCGGTTTCCCGCTTAGCTTCAACGTACCGTCAAGGATCTCGGTCGTCTGGTTCCATTCTCGATGTTCGTCATTGTTCCATTTGCCGAACTCTTGCTCCCCGTCGCCCTCAAGCTCTTCCCCAATATGCTTCCCAGCACCTACGAGGGCCAAAAGGGCCGCGAGACCAAGGCTCTCAAGCTCAGCTCCACCCGCAAGGAGGTCTCTGCTTTCCTTCGCAACACACTCCGTGAGACTGGTCTACCCTTAACCGCGGCCACCGTCAAGAACGAGGAGTTTGCCGACTTCTTCCGCAAGATTCGTACCACGGGCGAGTCGCCCTCCACCGAGGACGTTATCAAGGTGTGCAAGGTCTTCAAGGATGACCTGACCCTCGACAACCTGTCGCGCCCCCAGCTGGTCGCTATTTGCCGCTACATGAACCTGAACTCGTTCGGTACCGATGCCATGCTCCGCTACAACATTCGCCACCGCATGCGCCAGATTAAGCGCGATGACCGTGCTATCTCTTACGAGGGTGTCACCTCGCTTTCCGTGCCTGAGCTGCAGATGGCCTCTGCCAGCCGTGGTATCCGTACTCATGGCGTGTCTCCCGCCCGTCTACGTGAAGACCTGTCTATGTGGTTGGACCTGCGTCTCAAGCAGGGTGTTCCTTCTACCCTGCTTGTCCTGAGCAATGCCTACAGTTATACCCAGGGCGGTAAGGAGTCCGAGATGGCTTCCCAGATTGATGCGCTCAAGTCGGTCCTCTCCAGCATCCCCGAGGAACTGTTCCACGAGATTGAACTCGAGGTGCACAACGCCGAGGGTGCTGCCACCAACAAGCAGCGTCTGGAGGTCATCAAGGAACAGGAGGAGCTGATCGAGGAGGAGAACGAGCAGAACAGCGAGAATGAGGGCAAGGTTGCTCCCAAGGATATTGAAGACATCGATGACAAGGAAGAGCACAACAAGCTGGAAGCCGCTACCGAAGCCAGTGAAAAGCAGTCCTCCGAAGCGAACGAAGCCATGGCCGAGGGTGCAAAGGTTGCACAGACTCCTGCCGCCAAGGAAGAGAGCAAGGTGGGCCAGAGCTCGTAACTTATGAATTAGTTTTGTTTTGATGGGGAGGTTAGGTTGGGTCGGTCTCGTTACGATAGATCTTTGTCATATTATATTTTGCTTTTCCTTCTTTTTGTTGGCTGCTGGCGACTCTTCGGTTCTCATCTGTGTTATCTCTCCGCTATGTCGATAGACTTTCATTCCCCTTTTCCACATCCCACCCCCATTCCTTCAACTCTTCATCCTTTTTGGCTTCGCTGGCTCTCTTTGTGCTGATGCTGATGCTGGACACGCTCATTCGCTCTGCTTTCCTTCCCTGTCCCAATCTCAATGTTTCATGTTTGGTGGGCTTCACCGCCACCCCAGGCCGTCGGTGTCCGTGGCCACTTGTCTTCCAGGATGGGCAAGACTGAAATTGCAATTCAAATGTCCGGTGGATGGTCGGTGGAAGAGAGACATCTGCACCCCGTGACGTGGGTGGGTTGGAGGCGAAAAGGGCCATACCATTCCTGTATTGATAGAAATTATAACAAATTACATGATGCATTGAGAAAGTGTTTCACACGTTAGATTCGGGGCATTTCTACAACCCAACTACTTGCTCTTGTGTATACACCAAGTAGATCGACCCATCGGTCTAAATCCAATGGTCCGCTCGGCAGCTCATTAGTCACCGAACCTCGGCTACCACCACGCTTACTGTACTGCCCTTCCCCGCGACCCAATGAACTAGTCACCCCGGAACTCTGGGGCTCATAGAACCGAGACCGGGTACACTGCGAGATCGATTTACACTTTCCCCACTAATACATCCCGAGGGATGCGACGACGACAGCTCCGGCTGCTTGAAAGTATCCGTCGCAGCAGTGTACGATTTTCCAGACATACAAGTCCCCGCTTTTGCTTTCGCGGGTTTACCAGCGCATCGCAACTTCTGGGTCTGGGCTGCACGCCAGCAATACCCACAGCGTCGACGCTAATGGCACCCCTCAATGCTGCTTCGCAGGTACGTGTAAAGATCTTCTGTGACTATCCGATGTATGCATGGATGGCGTCTTGCCCCCTTTGCGCTTGGAGAGGGGAGCTATGCTTGACTTGCTTCTTCGTGGCCGTTGATATCCGCTCGGGGAAACGGGTACTCCATTGGTATCGGGAGCTGCGGAGTGTCTGTCTTATACGCCGTTCTTGCTCTTTACCTATGGATCTGGACACCACGGTGTTGGCAAGTCTTTTCTTGAAGTCTTTCTTCTCATGATTCACTTGGGCCGCCACCGCTACCAAGGCACAGCCTTGGAATTGAAACCCTCCCAACACCCGTGGATGTCCATCCCCATCCATCTTTGAGCAAAAAAGAAAAGAATGGCTGAGACCCAACCCGGTGTCGCGTGGTCTGGGGGAGAGACGAAAACAAGAAGAAGAAGCAAAGCGAAACGCTTAGCGAAGAATACGGGCAATGGATTGAACTCAAAAAACTAATTTCTCGGTAACAGGAAGCTATCGATCGACTACGCGGTTATACGCCCCCGCCAACGGCGTATAGCGAGGTTCCGCTGTCTAGGCGGGCGGCGGTGCTGATTCTGCTTTATGCCGATCTCCAGGGCGACCTAAGAGTCGTGATTACGATTCGGGCCAAGACATTGAAATCATGTACGTATCTGCTCTGATGCTTTCCCCTGGGTCCGACTGGATTGTACTCCATACCCCGTAAATCGCCTATGACCTCAATCCTTGGCCTTGGTCTTGGCCGGGCGTGGACGTCGGATGCCTGCCTATGGACAGTCTGGTTTGCAGGATCAAGACGTGTACAGTAACCGATGCTGCACGACATTGCATATGCAGAACGCTAGAACTGATTCTTGTTGATTGCATTTAGACGCAGGAGAAGCTGCTTTACCAGGAGGTACGTTTGCACGAAGACTTTCCCAAAAGAAGCCAGGGGAATATCGTCTTCCGGAATTGAGATCAGCAGCGTCATTCCCCGAGTTAGAAAGAGGTCGAAAAGAAAAAGAAAAGCAAATCTCGGACCCCAAGAGACCCAAGATTCGAAGCAAAAAAGCAAAGGAAAAGGGAAATCGAGCAAGGATATGCCAGAGATAGCTGTGTAACCTCACAATATCCGTTATTTCCGTTGACTATTCTACGTGGCTTCGATATACCCACTGCCACCATTATCTTACGATCTACAATCTACACCTCACTAACATCGATTCTCCCACTCCCCACCAGGCAAAGCAGACACCCTATCAGAAACGGCCTTCCAAACCGCTCGCCGCGAAGCGTGTGAAGAAATCGGCCTACCCGATATCTCTCAGCCACTGCCGCCACCCTTCTCGGTCGAGCATCTCTGCGAGTTACCGGCGAACCTGGCCAAAACCGAGCTGGTCGTGCGGCCGTGCGTTGCGCTGCTGCACTCGTTTGACCCGGGTACGGGTGCCAATGCGGATCCCGAGACTGAGTTGATTCCTCGACTGGATGCGCGTGAGGTTGCGGCCGTGTTTACGGCGCGGTTTGACGATTTTTTGAGCTTGAGGAATTCGGAGGGAAGGGGGGCAGATGATTGGTATCGGGGCTCTTGGAGTCTGTGGCATAATAGTAACTGGAGGAGTAAGTCAATATTCCCATTTTCCATTGTTTTTGTTTTTCCATTTCCAGGCTATCGTTGCCTTTCGATTCCGTTGTGAGTTGTATACCCGCGTGGACATTCTCCCTACATCATCCCTGGCGGTCCATTGTCCTTTTTGGGGTCTATCGCGTTGCCTCCCTTCCATCATTCCTCTCTCGCGCTCATCGACGTGTTTGCCCTTGGTCTTTGGCTCCATTTCCATGCAGGTCGAACCCCCTTCCTGCTCCACAGCCACTCTTTCGAACGAACGGGTTAATCAAAGACACGCACCACATGGTTCGGTGCGACAAGCGTGGGAAAGGGGTGGGCCTACTGTCAACGCCAGACCCACTTCGTTTCATATTTGCTTTCCCCAGGGACAGCAAAGAAACGAGCCCCAAGTCTTTCTTCTATTATGATTAAATAATTGATCCTGCGAGTAACTATATCCCATCCAGGACTGCAGTTCGCAGTGTCGCACCAACCATGCTCCCGGTGGAGATCGCAAGCAAAGAGAGAGCACCTTGTTTTTTTCCCCTTTCCCCCTTTCTTTGAGTTCTTCGGATTCGCCTTGCTTTTTCGATTCTTCCAGAGATTACCCCAGCAAATGAAATTACCCAAGAAAAGGGAAGAAAAAAACAAGAAAAAAACAAAGACTGACCAAGTGGGGGAATCTCTCCCTCGGAATAGTGCACCAATTCTTTGTCCGCAGCGCCAACCACGCGATCAAGCCGCGCAGTCCGGGCAACGAGGCCCAAAATGCCGCCGTCGACAGGTTGAGCCAACAAGAATCGTCCGGGCAGGTCCAGCATTATCGGGTATTTGGAATGACGGCACGGATTCTCGTGGACGCGGCTCGGGTCGCGTTCGCGCGGGAGCCGGAATTCGAGCACAACAGCCACTTTGGGGACGAAGAGATGATTGCCAAGTTACGGCGATTGGGCCGGTTGAGCGAGGTACGTCGGCCGGGAGATGAATTGACCAGGGAGACGATGGAGAGGGCGGCCAAATTGAGTTAGATGGGGCAGGATATCCGATATACAGAGTGACTTCGATGAGTAGAATTGTCTATATTGTCTATATTGTCTATACAGTTAGGTCGTCCAGTACGGAGAGAGTCTAGACTGGACGCGGTCGATAAGATAGTCAGCTCAGCCATGGACGGACAGCTGGGCAGCTGGACTAGGCGGGCCTCAGCCATGGCCCTAGGGGGAGGGCCAAGGCACCAGAAAGAATGAGAAACTAGCTTAGGATCTCTAGATTGGGTTAGATTGCATAATTCAACCATGTGGACTTCGACCTGCCAGGGCCAGAATGATCATCCCATCGGGTATATCTGACAGGAACCGGATTGTTCGTACTCCGTTTACGGTCTACTCCGTAGTGGGACGCCCGTTGGAAGCCCTAAGGGCTCGGGAACCAATCGATGCTAGCCGATCAAGAGCCCCGCTCGTGAAACTATTTAGCGTGGGTGAACTACTTTGGCTTCCAGGAGGAGGACTTGGGCCTTCTCAGGCACCGAGTGTGGTGCAAGGGTTTCGGAGGGCTAGTGACGATCCGGCGTCCTGCATGGGGCGTCCTTGCGTGGCGTCGTCAGAGTCGTTCAGGCTCGGGTTTGGGTCTTGGGCCAGTTGGCAATTGTAGGTGAGATCGAACGGGGGTGTGGTGTTTTGTGGTGTCTCGGGGGTGCACATAGCAGAATATGATGGTATACAATCGTTGATGGACTACATATACTCCTATGCTGGACAGCCATGCTTCTGTGAATCTATATACTTTCGACTATTCGACTACGCCAACTCGACCAGAACCCAGCGTCGTCTGACTCCTCACGAACATCCTCCACATCCCTTGCAGCGTCCGTGCGCTGGACAAACTCATGACGGGGACGCCGATCGCTTGCTGGGACTTTGGGAATTGAGGCTTGGCTTGGCTATCCCCAGCTTCGAACCCTGGAGATAAGTCATTGACTCGTTCACTCGTTCCACTCGTTGCCAGTGCCCAGGCTGTCTTTTCCCAGCTCTCCCCTCGCGTGGTTCCAGGCACGGTTTTTTTTTTGCTTCTGTTCTGCATCTGCAGGTAGAAAGCATAACTCTGGCATTTCATTTCTTTCTTTTCCCCATATACCCATTCCGGTTAATCGGTCCATCTGGTCAACGGAGTTCACATATTTCTTATATTAGTATACTTTCGTCCCCCCTCTCGCTCTCTCGTCATCCCCTCTCTTTGTTCGATCCCTCCCACTTGGGCCTCGAGTCCTGCGGTCTTCTTTGTTGACGTCGTCGACTCCAACTCGATTCTTTGTCTGCCAACTTCGTCACTTGACACTCTTCGCTCTCTTCAACCTTCACCACCGCATTTTGCATCCTGCATCCTGCATTCCAGAACTCTTCTTATTCTTCCATCTCCTCATTTTTGAGTCGCATCTACCAACATCCCGACACTACCACCACCCGGACTCTCCATCTCGATGCTCTCTCCCAACTATCCCCACGCTCGTTCCCCGCCGCCAGTTCGACCCTCGCGGTCGCTAGAAGGCCTCGAGCGAGTCATTCCACCAACGCTCATGTCTCCATACCCCACCACCTCCGCCATCACCATGGGTTATTCCTCCAGCATGCTCTACAAGCCTCATTACTCACCCACCCGCTCCGACCTCTTCCTCAACAAGCCACTCCCCGCAAGACCCCTCGCGGACGCCCCGCCCGACGTCCCCGAGTACTCCGCCATGTGGAGCGACTCGAGCGACGACGAGAGCGATAGCGACAGCGAACTCACCGTCGACGGCTCCACGGTCGGTGATCCCAGTGAACCTCGCAACTCGACGGAGAGCTTCCCCATCTTCGTCAGCTCGGGCTCCGATGATTATGGCGATTTGGTCGATCACCCGGCCCCCGCAGACCCAGAACGTATTAGTTTGGGTCTGGCTCCGCTCCGCTCTTCATCTCCACCGACCATCGCCGTGGAAAGTCATGCGCGCACGGACTCGGTCGAGTCCCTGGTTGAATCAGTCAATGCGAGTAGTGAGCCGGAGAGTGAGTACGAATTGGCCCATAATCCCACCACCAAGAGGTCTGATGCCCAGTACGGTCGGCTGTCCCAGTGGTCGCAAAATCGTACCGGTACCAACCACTATTTCCGCGAGAAAAAGTGGGATTTCTTCCCAGAGTTGGCAACCCCATCCGCTGCGCAGGCGGCTGGGGGAAGGACGAGTCCGGCGTTGGCTTCGCGCAGTGGGGAATCGCGCAAGAAGGATGGCCGTTTGAACGTGTCTAGTAAAAGTCGACGGTGGCACTCGCTGGATCGCCCTGGGTTGGGCTTGGCGTCCGGTGTGCGCCATTCGATCAAGACGTACGTTCACCGTACCTTGTCCCGCGACTCGACCGATGCCAAAGCCAGGGAGGCACCGCGGCCGTCAACTGCCCCGGTCGAGCAGCTGGAGGCAGACATGGCCTTCCACCGTCCAGCAGATATCACGGTCGCCCCTCACTCCGATATCAATGTTCAACTTCGCACCCTCTCCATGTCGACTGCCTCCACGGCTAGCGAAATGCCCCCCAGTCCAGCTAGCCCACGCAGTGCCCGCTCCTTTCAGCCGCGTCCAAAACAACTCGCCGTGCCCATGTCTAACTATCAAAAGTACGGACCTGCGATCTGGGAATCTCCCAAGAAGGCCAAGAAGAAGGCTTCACGGAACCAGATGTATTTCGGGACACGTTCTACCCCAACTTCGCCGACCTCGGGGCAATTCTCAATTGCGAATCCCACACCACCACTCTCCCCGCCATTGAAGCTTCAATTGCAGAATGGATCCCGGGAGGCGCTTCGTGTCATCCAGGGCGGCAGCAGTCAGGTTCTCGTGAAGCTGGATGGGGCGAAGAAGAAAATGTCAGAGTCGAAAGATGAGCGACGGCGAGAACAATTGAAGGCCCAGATCAAATTGATCGGGCCGGTGAATCCGCATACCTATATGCAATCCAACCCTTGGGTTTGATTACTCCTTTGTTAGTGTTGGTGTTTGGCATTTGGCTACCCTTTTGTGTTGTTTATTCGACGTTGCAATCCTTTTATGGCTTTGGATTACACCTTTTATGATTTTGATGACCGCTCATTTGGAGTCTTTATTTCCTTGGTTTGGATCTACCGCACATTCTGCGTTTGTTTTTTTTCTTACTCTAGCATTGCGATATTTGGTCTATTGGAGCATTCTTTTGGGTTCCTTGGGTGGATTGGACATGGTATGGGCATTTCTGATTAGCATCTTTTTTTATGGGCGTTTGATTAGCCACTTGAACTGTGGGCATTGGTCTACCGGCTTTACTTGGATTGCATTGGTCCTATCCAGACATACTTCTCTTATGTCTTGTTTTTATTACTCTTTCGAGTCTGCTATCTGCTGCTTTCAGATATTCAGCAAGAATCGACACAATCTCTTCCTCCTTCACCAAGTATACTGTAAAGAACTCAACCTCAAAGAGGCCTCCTTGCCCGGCGTCCTCGCACAGATGCATAGACACACACTCGACGTGCATCAACTCCGTCGACATTGCATACATGGATCCTCCTGCAAGCCCACGGTTTGCCAGTAGAGTCTCACAATTACACAATCAACTGCACATACATCGACCAGAACCTCCGATCCAATCGCGGAACAAACACCGGCCACCCCTCCCAGCCATTGAAGCCCCCACATTGGCTAGACAAAGACTTCTCGTCATACCTTATCCTGAAGACATTCAATAACGCTGCGCAATGGACCACTCTGCAACACACCCCAGTGTCCTACTGTTTAAATAGCGGTGTCTCCTTCTTGCGCTGCCCGTGCTGCCCTACCAACCGACCCCCACCCCCCTCTGTTGAAACAATTAAACCTATTAGCCGACACGTACTCAAACGCACTATAAATCTCATATAAACCATCTTCGTCACCGACATTTCACCCTCCATATTAACGCTCTATATACGCGTCACATCACATATCCACCCCCACCGTCGAGAGCCGTATCGCGCATCCACACTATCGATTTCGTGCATATCGTGCCGACGACCCGGCATCGCCGAGTGACCTATTATCGAAGCGTATTTCCACAAAAAATACAAATTCCAGATCTAGATCATTCGATGACGATATAATGGCTGCAATATCTACAAACCTACCAAGCGAGCCAATCACAGAGAACCCCCAACCTTCGGCTTCTTTTCCCACTCCTAGCAACACCAACACCAACCCTCATTCAGCTCTGCCACTCCCGATTCCACCAGAACCGCTCCTCATAGATCTCTTCTGTAATTTCATCGAAGATCCAGCTGCGGTTTTGATTAGGGAGTGGAGTCCGGAAGGAGTCGTGGCTGGGTCGTGGAGTGTTGCCGAGTTTCTGAGGGATGTTTGTCTGGTTAGTCGGTGTATTTGGTCAGAGTTGAGTGTTGAGGAGAGAGGAAGACTGGGGAGGGAAGGAGAGGATGTTTTTATTGCGGTTGTCTCGGGTGGTTGCTATGCATTTGCGGTTCTGGTGGTGGCGGTTTATGGGATTGGGGGTGTGATTGTTCCAATATGTCAGTGTTTCGACTCCAATCAGCATCTAGTGGAGGATTCAAGATCGTGGATTGCTTTTGGAAACACGGGACTCGTACAATTCTTCGATTTTAATTCTAATTCTTCTATAGCACCCCACGTCCACCCCCAAGAAACAAAATACTTTCTCGAAACATGCAATGCCTCGCTCGTCTGCGCTGTCCCCAGGACCGCCGACCACGTCCAAGGTATACTCAAAGCCATCAACATGAATATCTCAGTCTTTACCTATACACCGCACAAACCAGACGTCAATCCCTCCGATATCAAATTCCATCTCTCAGACTCACCACCACCTCATAGTTCCACCAAGGGCTTCGCCCTCCTCTACACGTCCGGAACAACCGGTCCCCCAAAGGGTGTCTTCCATGACCGCAGCTGCACGACTGGCGGCTTTCTCACTCATTTCCCCAACCCATCTAGGCCATCCAGTGAAAACGTTTACTTACATCACATGCCCGTGCACTGGGCCGGCGGCTTTATGACATTTTTCTCCGGGATACTATCCAAAGCATGCGTCGAATTCTGCAGTGAAATTTTCTCTACGTCCTGGTTTTTGAAGAGATTAGTGGATGAGAGCTGGCCTCCCGTTACTTCTTTGCATTTACCCCCTCCCCTATTGAATGCGGTTGCCTTGGAGCTTGAGGATTTGGGGGATAGGGATCCGGGCCTTTATGAGACTGTGTTGAAGGGGATTGGGGGGCTGCAGGTTCTGGCTTCGGGGGGCTCAACTGTGACGCCCAAGCAGAGGGTGGTGTGGCAAGTGTTATTGGGGAAACCGCTTTCTGTGGGGTATGGCATGAGTGAGAGTTTTGGGGTTGTTGCTTATACGGATTATGGGAAGAGAGGGGGGGTATCCTCTGGTTAGTGGTTCCATTCATTTGTCATGTGTTCCCATATTCGTGGTGTCTTATTTGGCTATACGTGATGATTGACGTTTGCATTGACCGTTGATAGGATTCCGTTGGACTGCGCATGCCGGATGTTAATATGAAAATTGATGGCAGTGGTGAGATTTGTATCAAGTCGCCCGTTCTGTTTAAAAAGTAAGTTCTTAACTGTTGACAACTCCAGGTGTCGGGAAGGGAATTTGCTAACTTGTTGATGTGTAGATACATATCCCCTCATCCAGATGCCACAAATAACGCCTTTGTTCAGAGGGTTTCTTTAAAACGGGAGATCTTGGAAGAATTGAAGATGACGTCGTATACCTCCTCGGACGAGCGTCTCAAGATGGTATTGAATACTCGATTAAGTTTGATAAATTCGCAATCCCCTCTGCCCGAGAGCTAACCCATCTCAAATAGTTATCCGATACTATTTATGGAGGATATATGCGCCCGAAGTCGAGATCGCGCTCTCCCAGATCGACGACATTGCCTATGCGATTGTCCTTGGCGTCGAAGACTCGGACTGTGGACAGCGTGCTGCTGCAGTGGTGGTATATCGGCAACAAGATCAGACAGGTATGCTAAGCCTTGCGGATCTACGAGATAGACTTGTGAAGGAGTGCAGTCTTGAAGCATTCAAGTTACCTACTCTTTTGAAGGTCGTTGGCAGTTTCGCTGAGATTCCCGTTACGGAGGCAGGGAAGCCGATAAAGAATAAGATTCGAGAACTGTATTTCAGTCAAATGGCGATCGAGAGTGGTGAAGTAAACGTTTGGACCTCGGAACCGCCAGAAAGTAGCATTGGAGCTAGGCCGTTTGATTGGGGTGGGCTGCAGCGTTAATGAGTTTGTAGGATGGTCAGTCATTTAGCTTCTCTATCAAATTTCCAAGTTTCTCTTGGTCAACGATGACAATCAGAATATTCTTAAAATGTTAAACTATTACTGCTTCAAAATGAATAGACATTAGTAAGTAAAGGAGAAACTAAACATGGAAACAACTCGCTATGCTATGCCAAACAATGCTAAAATACCACGGAACACTTTTCGTCGCACGCATCCGCTTATACCTTCCAACAGCCAAAGCTAAACCCCTTTAAACTTCCCGTGATGTGCCCTCACAGCAGGTGACCAAGGGAAGTGACCTAAGGGGACGTTAAAAAAGCCATTGCTCTTATCGAAGATACCGGCAAATGCGTTATACCAGGCTGCAAAAGCGGCCAACAAGCCAAAGTACCCTCCAACCCTCTGAACGGAGGTAGCAACAAGGCCTTGATCGCATTGCATATTGGCAATTCCAAGCAGCAGGTAGTTCATGTCGAGGAAAAAGAACAGAAGGAACATTGCCAGGCTGGTCTTGAGGGTACAAAGGAGCATCATCGTGGTGAATATAAACCATGCCTAGGGATGGGAGACTACGTGTTAATTTGAAGGCTACAAGTTGATATACATTACGACCGGGATTGGACTTACCAATAGGAAAAGACCCATGAGAATCTCTTTCTGGCAGACAGTCTCGGAAGCAGCGATAACCTTAGTTCCCTCTAGGTCTGAAATGACTCCGAAGGTGATCCAGTAGGCACCGTACGAGCAGAAGGAGGTAGCGCTAAAGGTGTTTCCTAATGCCATTTCCCTAGTACAAATCATCATTAGTAATGACGTAAAACACAATTTCAATCATAAGTTTCTTTGGACATACCACATGCCAGCAAGCAACTGGACTGTACCACCATAAATCAAAGCAGAGCCAACGTTCTCCGCAGCAGTCGTCAAGCCGAGGTGTACGTTCATGATATTCGACATGAAAGACGTGAGCGCAAACGCACACAGACCCAAGGGAGCTGGATTTGCAAATTTGCGCACTTCAGGGATCGAATGGATCTCTTCTGGCTTTGGGATGGGCGGTTGCCTAACTGGTGTGCCGGGTGAAACGAGAGCATATTCATGCTCAGACGACGGTGAGCCAACGGGTGTAGGACTTTGTGAGTCTACGTTTGTATGGCTACAGATTTTGGCCTCGGTCTGAGCCTGTTTGATCTCCATTGTCTCGATGAAATGATCCATTGATGCTGGCTCCTTGCCTGTTGATTAGGGGGTTGTTGGATCTTGTACCGGGAACCGCGGTGTAATGAGCCCGCCAGGGAGGCCAGGCGCCCTTAGAATAGGAAATAAGTGTGTCTTTCGTTAGTATTCCTAGTGCCGGGACATTCTCAGTAAATATCTCTTCAGAATGACCAAATACACAGGCCTGGTCATCTGCAAGAAAAGAAAAGCAGGAAACCGGTTCGCCACCTTACCGCACAGAGACTCAACTACACAAGAGGAACGCGGCGAGGCCCGATATATCGTCATGTGCACCTTTCAGCTAGCAAGTTTGACCAGTCAGTGAGCTTCTTTCCCGCTAGTGACTCATGGAAATTGAACAATTGGGTCCTTTCAGGGGACCCGGGATCGGGGTTGGGCCCGGAAAACTAGGATCACGGGTAGGGCCGCAATCAAGGAGAACTCTATCGCGTCAATTGGAAGGGTTATTGGTCTTAGCAGGGGGCTAGAACTATATCGAAGGGTCCCTTCAAGTATCATACACGAGTAGTGTCTAACATTCCGTGATTCTTGCTTTTTCCTTGCTGCGCGTCATGATCAATCCATAGATTGTCCAGAAAATTGTGTTTTGTTTACTCTTATGGAGATTTCCAATTCTCGTGGCTTTTCCCCAGACGGGGTAGTTAAGTGGAAACTAATTGAAAGCCGTAAACTCATGGGGTGCACCGGACCGGTGGTTCCAAGGCTGAATTCTCTTCTTTAACGTAATGATATGAACTTTCCTATTCTCCGTTCCCCACACCATGAAAAAGACTAAACGGCCGTTGTCTCCAACAATGCGTATAGGACGACTATGACGTTGAGCTATATCGCACACTGAATTACTTCAAGTTCAAGACTTATAGCAAAGCCCTACAAATCTTCGGCGAGTGTATGTCATCAAGAATTTACGTGTGTTTGGGGTCAGCGTTTCCGGAAGCCGGCGTTCCCCGCACAAAACGAGTGTTGACCCACAACCGACAGCCCGTTTGGGATATTCCACCCTACTGCGCGAATTTTTGCACGCTAGAGTAGTGCAGGCTATTTACAGGAGAAATTCGAGGCACTGCCTCTTTCATAGCCGAAATTTCTTGACAGTTGATCATTCGTCACGGCGAAATGATTCAATCGGAGTTGAGTTTTGTACACCAGGACGCGGTTGACCTCGGCATCAATTCGTGTGGGCTGGATAGCAGGGAGACTGCACATTAGGGTTCGAGTATCCACTTTGATTTTGAATAAACGAATCTGAGTCTAGGCCGGTCGAATTGAGTGATTGTTTTTCTACTTGTCAGGCGAAGTGACGATTAGAGGAAACGGCTGCATCGATGAGACTAGATAAATTGCTCCTCTACTTTCTTGAAGAAGCTAGGAAGGGCTACGCTGGCGACAGTTCTCAACCACAAGCACCAAATTTGTCTCTTAACAGATCAAAACCTTTCACAGTAGAGCGTCGCCTCTCTTTTAGGAAGGACCTCTGGTAATTAGCAATGATGCTCAGGGTAGAATGGGCCATTTTGATACGCTGCTTCGAAAGTCTCATCCTCCTAGCCCAATGATTTGTTAATGGGCTTGGCATATCTTTTTGCTTGGGCAGCAGGCTCAGATGCCACTACATAGATGCAGAGATGAGAGCCATCCAGCCTGGACCCAGGTCGGCGTTCATCATTGCCCACTTTCGGATTTGGTCGGGGTCGACCTGAAGACTCGGGGAGGTCAATGTGATAACCCAGTCTCTGTCAAGCATTCAGCATTGATCGAAAGACTTCCATTGGCTCGCCCTGGGTAGTATAAAACTGTGAACGGGCCAGGTGATATCCGCCATGCTCAGTCGGCGTACTAGGTAAGGCGGGTGGGTGTATGTCAGCGCTACTAGCTGCAGGTCTTCTTCGCACGTGGAAGGCTTTGCCATCGGTATACCTTGTTAGTGCATCCACATTCTCCCTCGCAGTTGCTTTCTTTTTGTCATTCATCTGGCGAGATGTAGTATATTTGGGGTTCTTGCATCTGTTGCAACGACACCCGAATCCCCAGTTTCGAAGAAAATCATGACGCTCATCTGATTTCTCCGTTGGTTGTTTGTAGGATGCTGTTAAATGTGCGATGGTTATCATGTCGCCAATTGTTGCTGGTGCAGGTGTGGTTGAAAGGAGCTGCCATGGGCCAAAGGCCGGATGAGTATCACTGTACCTCATAGTCTCTGGGAGTAGCGAGATGTTCGGTTGTCAGCTATGTCCAGGCAAAACAGTTATGGCCGCAAGCTACTGAAACTGATCAAGCACACAAGCAAAATTAGAACTTAGGACAGGGAAATAATTACTTGGTTACCAATATATGGAAGCCATGCAGAGGTCAAGAAAGGCACTTCCATCAAGACATCTTGTAACGATGGGAACTTCCGTCTTGCAGTCACGGTTGCCAACGTTTGCTTCCGAGGATGTGCGTGAAGTATTCGGCCAATCAGTGAAACAAGCTGCGGCTGATCTGGCATAGTTTCGGTACCACCACCGAGGCACGCAAAGGCATTTTCATAAAGCAAAAATCACTGGGTTTGACTGAGGTTTTTTTGAATAAGCCGTGTCATCGGCCATCGGTCATATTGATAAATAAAGAGCCTATGAAGCTGGCATGGTCGAAATCTGGGACATGAGCATTCCAAGCCTGAACTTGCATCTTTGCAATGGAAAATCTCCCTTCTCGGCCTCCACCAGTCTGTTCAACACTCGAGTGCGAAAGCTCTTCGCTTGCATATTTCTAAGTAGTTTTGGAAACGCTCTATAGTAGGGTTCTGGTATTCTTTGTGCGGCGAATGATGATACAGCTGTGTCACTCTCTGGTAGAGTTCATCTTCAAGAATTCTGAGAGCATTGGGCAGAGGTTACAACTCCGATAAGGCTTCATAAAAGCGGTCGCGCGTCACAAAGGGCATGAACCTATTCAGCCGGATGATATGCTGCTGCTGCGGTGGTAGGGAGAATGTGTGTGCCCCAGAATAACTGCAACTACCACCATTGGACTAGCTTACCCTCTAAGAAATGAACAAGCAAAGTACATTCGGCGGCATGGCTGTAGTCGCCCAGTTGGAAATGGAAATTCCCAGTCGCTTCCAATATGGTGACCTTCGGTATCTGTTTAGTCCCTTGGGGACCATGTCGCGCCATTTGACACGGGAGTAAACCCCCAATATCGGACGTTGATTTAGATCGGACAGTCTCGTGCATTCATACGTGAGGGTCCACAAATAGGATTATCTGAGCTGTACAGAGTTAGAGGGCGACCGCCACACTACCCAATTGCCAGTGACTGGCTGATAAGTTGGGCCCTTGTCATTCGTTCACGGTTCCTTGACCCACATTTCCTAGAAGAGCCACTTTGAAGGTTGATTTTGTGGCAAGTCTCCCGATGCAAGATAACAGATAGCAAGATAGAAGACACGATAACGCGATTCTGCTTTTGAGGTGTCTCGCTTTACCACGAAAAAAAATATGACGGTGTGCACAGAATCTAGTCGTATCTTCCTCGTCGAACTTACTCTGAGACCATGGCTGAAGCGATAGGGTTTTTGGCTGGGAAATGATTGGACCCAAGCGGGGCGTTCGTGCGGGGAAAGTCCGAGTCCGGGGAGTTTTGTGTTGGTAAATCCTCAACTCCTTCCTCCAACCATCTTTCCTCCGCCACTATCGCCTCGTACTGCGGCAGCGTGATACCTCAGATCAGATTTGATCCATGTCCGTCTCGACAGCCCCCAGGAGAGAGCCGCCCTATCGGCCATTTCAATGTGTCATCTGCCAGGCGCGGTTTAGTCGAGGCGAGAACCTCAAACGCCATGCCGCTGTACATAGCCGGTCCCAGGACAAAGCAGCGCTTGCTTGTCCGCTATGCACGGTGACTTTTTCCCGCGCGGATCTGCGAAGTCGACATATGAAGAGAAAACATCCAGGAAATGAAGACCAACGACAGCCTCCAAAGCGGCCACGACGACCGATTGCCAATCAAAGCAGTGAGAGGTGGACAGAGCGACCCGACGTTGAAGGCTCACTGTCCCCCGCAGAAAGTGAAGCGGATGGATTGTACCACTCACAGCAAGGAGGCTATGACACGATGGACTCACCAGGCGATCCGCATGCCATTGACAGGATAGTCCAGAGTGCGAGTATACTAGAGCGGAATCTACTTTTAGGGACCTCTCTGCTCGACAACTCCCAAGACTTCCATGATCCTCATTTCCAATCAACCACCACCACCACACACAACGAATCCCAACAACCCTCTTTCGCCAATCTCAGCATCCCTCCCGAAATCTCCAATGCGTTACTGGTGACCGGTCTGACTCCACCTCAAGAAGAAACATCCTTATCTTCATTTCAAGTTACACGAGGCTGCGATCTGTTCTTTACGCATGTTTCGCCTTTCCTCCCCTTTGTACATCAATCAACCTTCGACTTTGCTCAGGCAGCGCCTGAATTGATTCTTGGCATGCTATCTCTGGGTTATCAATACGGGGAAGATCCCGATTTGGGTGACAAAGAAGGATCGGGCGCCAGCTTGTCTACACGCTGCTTCCATCAAGCTCGAACCATGCTTGCCTCGGCAGAGGCGAGTACGGAAGACTTTTCATACAATTTAGAAATCGTCCAGTCTTACCTGCTTCTTCAAATATGTGCCATGATGTACCTCTGCGGTACGGATTCGGCGTATGGGCTGAAGATGCATTCCAACATGATTTCTCTCGCCCGGGCTAGCGGCATAATGCAGCCAAGACCGAAAGAGCTATCCACATCTACGGATCTGGAATCATTATGGCGAGAGTTTGTGCGAGCCGAGTCTCACAAGCGAACGGTTTTTGCTGTCCATCAAATCGACGCACTCTGGTATCAGTTCCTGTCAATTCCTCGCTCAATCTCGCACCTGGAGATCAAACATGACCTGCCATGTCCCGATGGTCACTGGTCGGCTTCTTCCTCTGCTGAATGGGCCCATCGACGTCTGGTAGCGAACAGCTCTGGCGCTCTGGTACAATACGCGGATGCTGTTCGACGCTTCCTGACCCCCGATTCAGATCTGACCACTCTTCCTGACTTCGATCCCTACGGCGCCATCAACGTTGCGCAATTTTTGATCTCCAGCGCCCGCGAGATATCGGGCTGGTCCACGATGACGGGAATGCTTAGTATGGAGCGATTTGGATGCTTGAAGAACTCGCTCACCACTCTCCTGCCGTTCATAAATCCCCAGGTCGATCCCTCAAGATTGACACATGCTGCAATGTGTATGGCTACCTGGCAGACTGCTATGCTCGAGCTCCAGATGTGGTCGCCTTCGCATACCGGAGGAATCGTCGGAGGAACGATGGACGCTATGCTGAGTCAATCGACTGCTCTGGCCCCTACGTATGACTTCCTGTGTGAAGTTGACACTGCCAAAGCAATTGAGCCCCATATTCAATGGTTTCTGCGTTACCTGGATGAAACACTTGTCCCAGACTCTGAAGCTCCGTGGATCACAATTTATGCGTACAAGGCATTCCTTATTGCCTGGCAGCTTGTCTACGGTGGTGTTGCAGGCGCCATGCAAGTCGTTGGCGTGGCCGATGGAGATGCCGCTGGAGCTTTATCGTGGGCAAGAACTATTTTCAAACGCAGAAGCCGCTGGAGATTAGGCCAGATGATTCTTTCATGTTTGAATGATCTTGAAGCTCATAACGATGACTGAGCTTGTGACACTACGTCTACTGTATTATTATGAACTTTACATCGCTTTGAATATCAATTTCACTATTTTATATATGACTACTCTCTTGCGAGCTCCATTGCTTCTGTGTCTCCGCAACCCGAGGCTATTCGGTTTGAAAAACGTACAACAGAGTCCCGTAGTCTCAGTTTCGAACGACACTAGTCCCATTGCCGAGATTAGCCGACGGCAATTGAGTCAGTCTACCGTCTAGTTCCGGTCAACCCTAAGGCTGTTACCTCAAGAGCGTGTCACCTGTGGTTGGAGGAAGGGGCTCCACCCATTGGGAGGAGCACCGCCCGATTCACACCCAGATTACTCAAGGATTCTCGGGCTCTGCAACTCTTGGGCGGGACTTTACTAAAGTTTAGCTTGGCTTTTATGGTCAATTACATTGTGCAAGTCACGCAGCCTTTCTCATGACAGATAAATGTGTCTTAATAAGTGTGAATTGTATAGCTTGCATAAAAAATGACTAGAAAAGGTTACATAACTTGGCTTCATCAAGTGTTCAGATCATTCTCAAAACTTAGATCTCTAGACTGGCAGGACAACCTTGACACCCATGTATTCTCGCTGGTGCATTACCTTGCCATCGACAATCGTTTGGTGTACACCCACACGGTTGTTGACTGTATCTGTAGGGTCTGTGCATGTAGCAATCTGAATTTCTCTCCATTGCTTGTTGGTGGGGACAAGGCGGCCCTCCTCTGTGAGTCTCTTGAACTCCTTGTAGACGCCCTGCTCTTCAACGCACCCTTCTCGTTGGATGAGTGGTGATTCTAGGTTGGGATGTTAGAAGACCGACCGTACGTCCTGATTATTAGGTCTTTTACTTACCAATAGCCGGCGTCATGCGCAAATCACCCACGGAGCTGTTAAATAGTACCAACGACAGACGCTCCTCATTCAACTGGTCTACCGGAGGCTTGAAGACTCGATGGCGAGTAGCCTTGAAGTGACCGCCCGAGACGATTTCCAAGGTATCTCCAATGTTGATCACCAGCGCACCGGGCTTGTATGGAACATAGTACCACTGCTCATCACGACCCCAAATCTGCAGGCATGAGATAGGGACGGAGAACAGTAGTGTAGTCAGTCCAAAGTCGGTGTGACCGTGCATCCGCAGGCCCTTGGATGCCTCTTGAGTCTCTTTCTTGACGGGCCGGAATAGAGCGTGGCGGAAGTAGCCTTCACCAGTGGGGCTACCATGTGACTGGACGTTATCCCAGAGGTAATTGTCTGGCAGTTCGAGGACACGAGAGAATAGAGTGAGTAGTCGTCGGTTTACGGACTTGGTGAGGTAGTTGGCGAAAGCTTCGATCTCGTCCATGAAGGGGTGTAGACAGTTGGGGACGCGGTTCTCAATGTCTTGCCAGTCGGCGGTATACCAGTTGAACTGCTCAATGCCATCGGCAGGTCCACGGTGGCGCTGAAGATGAAGAAGATTATATATCAGTATGGATTCAAAGCAGCTTATATTTGGACCATGATCGCTTACCTTGAAGCCGTATGGGTGCTTATATCCAGACCATTTACCGCTATCGGGCTCGAACAAGAGGCGCTGCTTGTCCTCCTCACTGATGTTATTGTATAGGTACTGCGCAAGGGAGAATTGGCGGTGGAGCTGCGCAACAACAAACAGTGTTAGCGTTCTGAATGCAACTTCTCATAAAGGAGTTTTGGCTTTGTGTTTCTCTTACCTGCTCAAGGGAAACACCATAGTTCTCGAGGAAAAGGAAACCATCATCTCGGATAGCAGTCTTGACCTGTTGAATAAGGTTTTCAACGACAGCAGGGTCCTCGGAGTCCAGCAATGAAAGGTCAATAGACTTGAGCTGAGCAAAGTTATGCTTCTCTTGTGTGACTGGAGGTGGGACCCATTCCGGGACAACGGGCTTTCCAGGAAGGTCCGTGGCGGGCGGGTTGAAGGGAGCTGCGGGTGCCATGTTGTAGTGTGATTGGAATGATATTGGATAACTTGATTGTTTTAGGGACAGTCAATTGCCATGGGTATTATATAAGTTGTGTTCAAGCGTGGGCTAATAAGTATTATTACAAGAAGCCGATAAGTGGTTTCACGGGTGCCGGACATAATTGTGTCACGTTTGAATAGATCTTGCCATCCGATTGAACAATCAAGAGGAGCGCCGTATTGATCCCTTTGGACTTGCGAGGTCACGGTACACTATCCCGTGTTCTAAGATGCTCCTCTGGTGCGAACTTAGTGCTCCAGTTCTTCTGGGGCTAACCCCCACTGGATCAGTTGCTCTCTTACCCCCGAAGGCTCCTCCTCCCAAGCTAAGATAACAATATCGAATACGTTACCTGCCACGTTCAATCACAGTAGATTCGTGGATCGTGGATCCAATCTGCAGTTTACTACGGGTTCGGGGAGGAGCTCCTCCTAAAGTGGGGCTGACCAGATAAGAACGGCCGGGCACTGGCTACTGCCGGGGATAGAAGTTCGAATAGACAATAGGAATACTAAGAGCTCCTCCATTACAAACTCATGACCTGAATTTGGGATGAGTCGCGGGGTTACTTTCTTATCTGAATGAAAAATCAAGGTGGGGGAGGGGCAATCGACAATTTAAATCGCCAACTCAGGGAAGTAAATAAATCGGTTCAACAGATTCGTTCTTTCCATCTCATTTCGTTTTAAAACATTCTTCTCGAAACACACATCTTCCATCAAAATGTCGCGCCAACTTATTTCCAGCGAGAAGTTCCCTCCCAAGCCTCATAACTGTCAGTTTACCTTGCCTGCCCATTTTATGAACGGTCGACTAATTTGAGACATTTCGTGCTATGTAGCCCCTGCCACCAAGATCCCGGGCCTTGTCTTCTGTGCAGGCCAAACCGCCACAGGAGAGATTAAGCAAGCTACAGTATGTCTGGCAATGTTCCGATCCAATGAATAAATGACTAATGCAACTATGGCATCAACAGAGGACTGTCCTGCAGAACCTAAAGGAGGTTCTCGAGCTGTCCGGCTCCTCTCTGGAGCAGGTTGTCAAGTACAATGTCTACCTTGCCGACATGAAGGACTTCGCCGCGATGAACGAAGTTTACATTGATTTCTTGCCCAAGCCTATGCCTTCTCGCTCTTGCCTTCAGGCCCTTGCCCCAGGGGAGGGAACCGTGATCGAGATTGAGTGCATTGCTCAGGCTTAAGGAATGACCATTTATGAATATATAGAATAAAAGACCGAAATGTTAAAATAGTTCAGTTCAATCAACCAAGTTTCGCTGGTATTAGTCCTCTTGATTAAATGGCCACTTCTTGTATACCCAACGTGATCTTTTCTCTTATTTTTACTCGTGTTGAGTCGAACAGTCAACCAGCACATATAATAGCTTAATAGTATTGATTCACGATGCTGGACCTTAATAAGTAGGGAAAAGATGAATCTTTACCACCACGGGGGTTTGGATCCGGTGACTTGCCAAGTCTTAAATTTAGTTTTCTTGGCTGTCCTTGTCTTCCTATCAGAAATGTCGAACAATCACAGGTAATTACCAAATCTATCACTGCTTGATCATTAAACTTCCCTTCCATTGGAGATATATACATTGGAGATATATACATTGGAGGACGGTCTCCTCTTGTCAATGTCAATGTACTCTGCAAGACGGATTCTAAGAGGCCCATCGACATCGTCTTTCATATCTTCGGGTCGGACAGCAAGGTTGTGAAAGCCTTGCAAATTGAAAATGTGAATATCGTTAAGTACATGAATCTCTATTAAAGTATTTTCCAATTATATCCAACAGGGCTCATTCCTCATGACCGAGCAACCTCGAGCTCCGCAATATACCAGTTTTGAATTGCCTTGGTGTCTCCAGTCATGGAAACCATATCGTACTTCTTCCTTCCTTCCTTGCTTGCGGCTCCGTCATTCGTCATACGGCCACACCACTTGCCGTGCTTCTTCGCGGCCGCGATGATCTTATCGATGGCAGCGACGAATTCCAGCTCATCTCCACGAGCGGGAGTGTAACCAAGCAGAGATTGCGCGAGGTCGTTGGGTCCAATGAAAAGCAGGTCCACGCCGGGGACGGCGGCGATCTCATCCACATTCTCGACACCGGCTCTCGTCTCGATTTGAAGCATAGTAATGATAGTCTCATTGGCACTCTTCATATACTCGGGTGTCGTCAGACCATGGCCAATAGCAGGGAAAGCGGAGCCTTGACCACGGACGCCCTGGGGCGGAAACTTGGAAGATGCGACCACCTGTCGTGCCTCTTCAGCGTTGTTGATTTGGGGAACCATAATGCCATGGGCTCCGGTATCCAAAGCGCGCTTCAGAATGTCATGAGCGGGTCCACGGATTCGGATAACGGGCGAGACACCGAGGGAAGCAATAGCAGCCACAGAGTTGTGCATCGAATCATCGCCGATATGACCATGCTCCGCATCGACTACGATACCGTCAAGGCCGGTCAAGGAGACGATCTGGGCCATTCTGACGGAAGGGATAGCCATGAAGGTCAAAACTGGGAATTCGCCAGCCTTGAGCTTATTGAGAAGCCTCAGTCGAGGGTTCTCGATTTTAGTCGTTTGAGGGGTTGGGTAGCTCATTGCGACGGTCATTTTGGCGTTATTCAAAAGAAGTCAAAAAGATGAAGATAGAGATAATTCGATTGGCTTGAAGAGATTATGAGACGAAGATGCAGAATTGGTCAACTCATTGAAGAATATCGGCTCCTTATCAACCTCAACTTACCTAGAGTACCTTCAAGTCTTGAATTGAATCATCGCTAACCGGGAATATCTTCATGCAACATTCGCTGTGCCCTCCTCCCTTCAAAGCCCTCCAGAAGATACAAGGGCTCCGCTACACTCCTCTCGTGGGAGGAGCCCCACTCCGACTGGGAGGAGCTCACTCCTCTTTCCTCTCCCCAAGTTCTTGGCTCTCGGACCTCCACTCCGCCCGTCAACTCCTCCCGAGACGACAATCCATGCAGCACACGCCCCATGTACCCCGGATTTCTATCAGGCTGTCAGTCGTCTGGGGAAATTGATCTCAATTGGTCCGATAATGCTTGATTATGCGCTCCTCCCTCCGGTTATCTCCAACCCCCATGATGGGTCCATTTTGCGTCGACGAATCAATGAGTCACGATCCTTTGTAAAGGAGCATTGATCATTAGTCGGCTGATACCTAAGATACCGGTGTCATCAGAAGGAGAGACCTGATAGATAGAGCTCCGGCTCTAAATATACAGGCTTTCCATGACGGGGAGCCCTTTCTTGAGGGCATTAGTCGTCAGTCACATTGTGAAGACGAGATCAATTCTATTTCTCAATTTTCTTTTCTCTATTACAATGGAGGTCAAGAAAGACCCATCATACACTGTTGACGATGATAATGTATCATCCGCTGAGGGACAATTCGATGTCACCAGCCCCTCATATCGTCGTTTGCCTGAGTGCCTTCAGGGACTAGGTGAGGATGAGATTGCCCAGCTGAACAAGAAGCTTGTCCGAAAGATCGATCTCCTCGTCCTTCCTACAATCGGTATACTCTATATTCTCAACTATATCGACCGACAGAATCTTGCCTCCGCAAAGCTTCAAGGTATCACCGATGACCTGAACATGACAACCCAACAGTTTGCGACGGCAGTTAGTATCCTGTTCGTGGGCTATCTGCCTTTCCAGATTCCCAGCAACTTGCTTATCACGAAGTTCTCCCGTCCTGGAATGTATATCTGTGCTGCCGTGGCACTCTGGGGCTGCATCTCTGCTGCGACGGCCGCAGTCCAGAGCTATGGTCAACTTCTCGCCGTCCGAGCCATTCTTGGAGCGGCTGAGGCCGTCTTCTTCCCCGGTGCTATATATTACCTCTCTGCCTGGTACACGAAGGCTGAGCTCGGGAAGCGCATTGCTGGCTTGTATATTGCACAGCAGGTGGGCAATGCCTTTGGTGGCCTCTTCGCTGCTGCTATCTTACAGCTCGACGGTGTGCACGGTATCCGTGGCTGGCGATGGCTTTTCATCATTGAAGGCAGTGCTACGGTCGGAATCGGCGTCGTCTGTGCTTGTATCATGCCAGAGTTCCCCCACAATAGTCGCATCCTCTCTCCGGACCAGCGTGCTCTCGCCGTATGGCGTATCGAATCGGAAGCCGGTGCAGCCGAGGGGACAGAACAGGAGAGCGTGCTCCGAGGCTTTGCCAAAGCCTTGTCCGACCCCAAGCTGATTCTCCTGATTCTCTGCAACATGCTTTCCCAAGTCCAGGGGTCCATCGCCAACTATTTCCCGACCTTGGTGGCCTCTTTGAATTTCTCCCACACCATCAGTCTGCTTTTGACCGCACCGCCATATATCCTCGCCGGTGCCGTCTATTATGCGATCATGTACTATTCCGATCGCAAGAACACCGTCTACCCATTAATTCTGATGTGCATCTCGATTTCGATCGTCATGTACATCATCTCGATGACCACACTGAACGTGGGTGCACGGTACTTTTCGATGGTCATTCTACCTTTTGCCTCAGTGGGGCCTCAGCTCCTTCTATACAAGACCATCAATCTTCATCTTGCACGTCCCATATCCAAACGTGCGGCTGCCTCTGCGCTGGTCAATGCCATTGGAGGTACATCGAATATCTGGGCCTCGTATCTTTACTACTCGTCACCGCATTTCTATGCGGCGTTCGGGGCTCTCATGGCCGCTGCGCTGTTGCTCGGAGTGACCATCACTGTCTATCGCTGGCTGATTTTGCGCGAGAACAAGCGACTGGACTCGGGCGATCCTGATCAAATTGCAAAGGCCATCAAGGGTGGCGTGACTGAGGAAATGGTGCAACTCAATTGGCGATATGAAATGTACTAAGGCGGTTTGGAATGGGGTGGTCAGGAAGTAGTCTACGTGCGGAATTCTCGTACTTTAACGCCGAATGTTTTTTTGTTCGTAATTTGCCACCGATTATCAAATTGAAGATGAACCTCCTAGCCGCTTCATATACTTTATGTTGGATCAATATCGGCTTTCGTTTGGTGGGCGGCCCGCCTAGGCTCCATTTTCTAAAGTCTTCGTGTTCAGATCGACTGCTCTGTCCCTGAAATCAAACCGAAGGCAGGATATATATGCGCCTATAAATACCGCATTCTGTCCGCCGGGTGGGGTCTTCCTCTATGGGCTACCACCGCTTTAATGAGGGTGATTGGGACTGACCTTAAAGGCTTGGTGAAGTGAATATCAGCACGCGCTCATGCTCAGTGATAAGTCAGAACTTTTGGGTCGCGCTGAGCTGGGTGCCCAAAACAGCTTCCGTGCGTCTTACAGAGGATCACTCACCAAGGTCGTAGTAGCTGCAGGAATAGCGGTAATCTAATTGAGGACCAATACTTCTAGGAAAGGCCATCTGGGTGGTCTAGTGGGGCTGCCGGATCTATCTGTGCTACTTTCTGGCGGTCATCTTCTACAATCATACAAGAATTGTCTTTCAAAATTTCGTGTATCAATTTCAAGACTACCGAGTGAATTACTGATTTGTGGTGCCAGTCCTGATGTGATTCGACAGGGTGCTTCATATCTGTTATTAGAAAACATACTGATTCGGAACTTCTCCTTTGGGTGGGCCGGTAAAGGCGAATTTTGCATGTGGATGCATAGTGCGGTGCCTCGTAAGCAGGAGAATTTCTTACACGGCCGTCCAGGGGCTCTGTCTCTTATACAATTGAAGTAATAATATGCATGGGTATGGGTACTGGTCTAGTGTCGTTCCTATTCGAGTGTAAGCACCTCGGCCCTTCCGTTGCATAAAAGTCACGTGGATTCAGTCCAATACACAGAAAATAATCGACTAAATTGAAGAAAGTAAAAGTTGTTACTGAACGGACTGAATCAACCGGTTCAGTCCCTCCTCCAATATGTTTAGCGGGTGCGAAAAAACCAGCCGAAACCACCCCGTTTCTTCTGCCCCATAATGTTCACCAGCCGCGATGTAAATTCCCTCTTTTCGGAGCCTTACAAGAATATCCTCAGCAGTGGCATCTTTTACCACAGCCCTCAAGTTAATCCAAATGAAAAACGCGGCGTTGCACTCAAGGTAAGGAATTCCATGGGTCCGTAACCACTTCGTCGCAAAATGATAGCTGCCAGCCAAGCGTGCCCGATTAGTTGCAATATACTTCTTAACGAAGCTATCATCTAGCAAGAGCGATGTAGTAACCTGGTCTGCGAGGCTCGATGGAATATTGTAGAGGCTAATTAGAAAATTTAGTCAGTGGTCGTCCCCCCTCCCCCGAGTAGGTCGGATAATCTCACGAAATGCCCTCTGCAGCCTCCAGAAATAGCTTATTCGACTGACTAACCAAGCAGCCAATTCTTAGTCCAGTTGCACCGAAATCCTACCAACAGCTGTTAGTTCCGCCTGGGACAAAACCACGGAATGCCATACCTTACTTAAGCCCCATACAGTATGTACAAAGCTAGGATCAATGATCCCCTCTTGGTTTATAGACAAGACGGATCTAAAACCTGGGGCATTGGGAAGACGAGGGTTATCCCAGACTGATAGCGCATAGATCTCGTCGGAAATAAGGTGAAGTCCATTTCTTGAACAGAACTTCAAGTATTCTTTCAAGACATGTTCAGGGTAGCAACGTCCTATACTTCCTGTTAGTAAAGATGGTTCGATTTTGCTCAAGTGTCACGAGATCAAACCAAGCGGATTGTGTGGTGAGCATAAGACAAGGGCTTTGATGCATAAGCCTTTGCTTATCGCTTCAATCAATGCTCTTTCGTATTTTTGGACTGCGGCTATGCTGAATGGATCGATTTCTCCAAAATCGACTTCAAGAAGCTGAACTCTGGAATCGTAAGCCCAGGTAGCCAAAAGAAAATCTAGATGCATTCCTCACCCTGGCCGGTTTCCAAAGGTCGTCCTAAATGCATTGAAATATGGCCGTCCGACCATGAAAAAATCTCCAAGATCTGCTAAACCCCAGGCACAACATTCAAGCGCATTGCTGACGCCAGATGTAATGACAAGATGGGAGGGGCATAGCGCAGTCCGAGGCGAGAATTGACGGTTCATAAAGCGACAAAGGCTTTCTTTGAGATTGTGGGAGCCGCTGAACCCATCCCCGTAGGTCAATGCATGTGCGTTGGTTTGCAGCTGTAAGGATCGATCAATACAAAACATAGAGTCCACTAATGACGTGTTGAGTTAGAGCGGAAGTCTTACATGAGAATTGATGAAGCCCACCATCTCCGCGTGCATAAGTGTCTAGAACGTTATTAACTTTTGTTCAGAAGGGGAATGGTTGTCTTCTCACATTCTCGGCAAGGCCGAGATTCACGATCCCGTTGGGGTTCGATGACGGAGACCATTGATCACTCAATACAGCGAGGAAAGATGGCCTCTGTGCGGCAAGGCCTTTGCCTCGGTCAGAAACCTTGCCCTGCATGGTGAGGATGAGTGGTGAATTTTAGAAGTCAGCCGATTGCAATTTGAAATGGAACGGAAAACTCATATTCATATGTACCCCACAGCGTCTCGATGATGGAATGAAGTAAAGATCATCAGAGTAGATAGAACGTTCTTAGAAGGCGCAAGGCTACCGCGGCACATACGGGTAAAGCGGATATAGCGGGTAATCAGCTTTACAAATTTCCACCCAGAAAGTTTACATCCCTCCCCTCCGCCGCCTAATATGCCGCTTCGCTATGAAACCCTGCTAACAGTCCTTTGGGAAAGTAGCCATGGAAATAAACATCAAAATAATTAATTGAGTAGAAAGAGACCAATGATTATGTATGTTGATAAGGTAAATATGCCAGGTCCATGATGCATGCTGGTATTTTATTTTTGTGCCGGTAGAAAAATACATGATCGTGTGACTGTAAGAATGCAAACTATCTAGGGGACAGTATCCTCTTGCACCATTCCCCCCTCCGTTCTTTGCTTTACCCGAATTTCCAACTGATATCAGCATTTGCATCATCTCTTTTGGCCATTATAATGACGCGCGGCAAATGCGATCCAACGTCTATCGAGCCCGATTTGGCACCATTCAAGGTCGCTGCTGCTGGCTTCGCGAACATGTTCTGCATTGGCACAGTCTACGCTCTAAGTACGTTCCAAGCACAGCTGCCTCGTCTGTTTGGAATATCTTATGCATGGAGTTTCGCACCATTTGGCGTAGCATGTCTGGGCCTTTCAATCGGCGTCCTGACCAGCGCCTCGATGATCATTCAAAGCGGAGCTCATGTTACAGTCGCCAGGGGTACGAGCCTCTGGGGAATTGCAGTCATCGGTGCCGGCCTGTTCCTCAACAGACTCAAATTTGAACTCATGGTTACATGCTTCCTGTTTGGTGGACTAGGCATTGGATGGACGTACCTAGCTGTGGTTGCATTGATTGGCCAGGGGCTTCCGAGGCATGCACTTGCTCGAAGTGCTATTGGACCTCTGGGGTTTTCAACTGCTGCAACAATATGCTTTCTCTTATCGTCTGTCTCTGGAGTAGAAGCGGCGGATGCAGAAACCTTAGGCCGGATGCTTGTGTTTCTAGGAGTGACGTTCGCCGCTGTCGGGGCATCTACTCAGCTGTCATTATCTGATTTCTATGAGAACTCTGCGGTCCGCTCGCAACCAAAATCTTCATCAAGAGATTGCGGACCTTTCTTTTCGATTCTCCTCTTCTTCAATGCGCTGCCTGGAATGACCGTTTTCTCTGGCTTGTTGCCCCTTGCCTCCCACTATACGAACGGCACAAACTACGATATAATGTGGATCTTGTCATATTGTATGATTGCACTCGCTTTTGGTGGCGTTCTCGCACCCAGCATCTGCGCATATTGTGGAGTCAGACTAACATTTGTCGGTCTTCTTTGCTTGCGGGGAGTGCTTCTTATCTTGCTTTCGCACTTTGAACATTCTACCCAGGTCATGTGTACCATGCTGGTAGTTCTTTTCGCCCACGGCACTGGATTTAGCATTCTTCCCGGGTTGATCAAGACACAAAGCAGCAATCAGCAACTTTTCTATTTCAAATACGCTAGAGTGTTGATTTCGTGGGGCGTTTCAGGCATTGTCGGCTCTACCGTGAACTCGATCGTTCTATCTTCAGGTAGTCCGGTACCGACAGGTTGGCTCCTTGTTGGCTTGTTAACACTATCATTCGGTATTGTTCTGTACTTTGTGCCGACCCTCGGAGGCGAATTTTTTGACTGATTATCCGTTGATGTGGTGGTCCACTTGAGGACATTGCCAAGACCTGCCTTTGCGGTTTACTCCCGTGCCTTAGGCCGTGGTGGCCTTCAAGACAGGTACTCGTTTTATACCTCTTCTCGCTCCTTTTTTTTTAAAGATTTGCAGACATTCCAAGATTGCCAAAGAGGCTGCTTGAGTAGAGTCGGGTCTCCCTGTATCTCTCGCTCCGCGGTCAATCCAGGACAGCTATGCCGCTACCAGCCCTATATTCAAGCCGTTATGTATATGATAGATTCTGTTGATCTGCATGTCAGTCTTTCGGCCACAATTCGTTGTTTTTTTTTTTTTTCAAGGGCTCAAAATTCACCTGTTCAATATTCAAAGACTAGGTTTTGATATCACGGCCTAGAGATTCCTTCTGTAGCAATTCCACCAACTCTGGCGCTATTCAGTCCTTTGTCAAAATCAAGCTAATCGATAAAAACCCCAAGGGAGATTGAGACCAAATCCAACTTCAAGAGTAGCATATTTGCAATGAGACAATAATGCCTCTCGCGCATGACGTGGAGAACACAGGAGAGCGGATCATGCAACAAAACAAAAATACATGTCAGTAACGAAGCTCTGCAAGAATGACTCTAAACATACGTGAGTTAAATCTATCTCGCTGTACTAGGGTTCTCGGTAAACATAGCAGAGTCCTTCAGAGATCGATTGACTTGCAGTTGGAAAACATCCAGCCTCTGATATCCTCCAACAACGTCATGATACTGCTTCCCTTCAATGCACCACTCAAGTTCCATATCCGCGTAGAGAATATCCTCCGTTCTATGTAAAAAGTCAGTATATGTCTGGATCTTCGATTCGTTATCAATGGTGAATGAAGGGATAGGTGGTCCTGTTGGGTCCAGGAACATAGTGAATCCTTGAGGAGAGTTCTCAAGTGCGTCTTTGATGATTTGAGGAGAGCTAGAGCCGGCAACAATGGCATCAATAGCCTCTTTATTAAGAAAGCCACTGCACATGACTCCAAAGCATTTTGCTTCGAAGCATTGAGCTGCTGCCCGAAGTCGGTTTGCAAGGATGTTGTCGTAATTTGGTGAGCTGTGACCAGAGTTGGCATTGAATGTTCTCGGGACTTTAGTTGGCCAGATTGCTGGCCATGACGAAATATGGATCTATTCCCCCTGTGCCATCAATGATTATCGTGCTAGCGGATTGGTAGTTACCACCACATATAAGCCCACCGATCCGACTATAAGGCGTATCAGTAACTCGTAGCCCGTAACCATCGCCAGGGCTACGGATTAACTTCTCAAAGAATGTCGGCATCATATTTCTGATGGTGGACGGTAATCTCCCCCTCTGTACCAATAATTGAATTTGAGTTGTAGAGACAAGCTAGGGTGGCATGAGAACTCTCAGAGAAGCCGATGCTTATGACGATATTGGTAACACGCGCAGCTTCTTGGAGTTGCTGAACTTCTTCACCATCGACGAAGATAGATTCGTGAACCATTTGACGAAAATGGTCATGGTTCTCAGTCAGTGCACGCAGAGCACTCCATGGAGGAAATTCCGAGACATGTCTCAGGGAAGACAACCGCGTTGGCTCCATTTTCAGCGGCCTAGTGAACCTGCGAAGTACCCTCTAGCTCCCGCAACAGCCGGATGCAGACCCGCTCAATTTCCCGCCGCCGACAAAACAAGAGTAAAGTTTCTAGTAGAATAACGGAAATCACGAGAAAATCCAATAAACTACTGAAATTGTGCTAATACAGAACTGGCTCGATATCGGTATTGACTTGGATCTTAGCTTCGCCCAGTAAGATGCCCTGGGTAAAGCCAAGGTCGGCGTTACTGTACGAACACTGCTCCGGTAGAGGAACCATTGAGTAATCAGGCGCTACAATAACCAGTTAGTTAACGAGTTAGATACACAAAGTAAGTTAGCGTCGTTCCTATCTTCCGACGTCCAGTCACAAGGTTCTTAGCGTTTGAATTTTGATCGAGGCAGATCAATCAAAACTGCGGAGATGCAGCCCAAGAGTCCACCTTTTCGCCATAATACTCGGACCACCCTACATAGGTCCTGGAGGCGTCTGTAGTGCCAAAGACTAGTTATTGAATAGCCAGTTCCCAGCCCGCCCACCTTTTTTCTCCAAATAACTTCGACATAGCTTGCAAATTTTCGAGGCTGCTCAAAATTTCTAGGCAGTAGGTAATGATTGATACTCTACCTCATCTTCGAGTGATGTAAAGAGGACATGTTCCGACTCATCTTGACTCATCCCCAACCGCGCGTGAAGCGGGTCCGTGCATCCCCACACCTTGCCCGCTTATTTGTTTAAAACATGAACAATTTCCTCGAGATCAAAAGATGAACATCATCACCATCGAACATGCTGGGAAACGATAGCATTGATATCCTGGGCAGCAGCCCCTTTCTGCACAAGTTGTATACCCAATTGTGCATTATCTTTGCTACATCCGAGCCATCATCCGATATTATCGATACCCTAAGAGATGGACTTGACAGACTCGCAGAAGGGTTCCCATGGCTTGCTGGAACAGTCATTAACGAAGGCGCCACTGAAGGCGTCACGGGTACTTACCGAATTTTACCCTCGAACGAAAAGATTCCTCTGGTTGCGAAGGACCTTCGTGGTGACGAGTCTGCACCGACCCTGGAGGGTCTTCGACAATCGAATTACCCCTTCAGCATGCTCGACGAGAAGATTATTGCTCCGTGTTTGACTCTCAATCTTCCTGGCAATACCATTGGGTTAGCTGCAACATCAGCGCCCGTCCTTGCCGTACAGGCGACCTTCATCACTGGCGGCCTCATGCTAACGGTGGTGGGCCAACACAATGTCATGGATATGACGGGGCAAGGACACATTATCGACCTGCTCTCCAAGGCTTGTCACAATCAGCCATTCACTGCCGAGGAGCTTTCCATTGGTAATATGGATAGGAGCAAGACTATCACCCTTTTGGAGGACCCATTTGACCCTGCCGTGGAGCTCAAGCATCAGTTGGTGAAACCACCCTCACCTGACAAGAAGATTGGCGACACCACAACTCCACCGCCGTCTTCTTGGGCCTACGTGACCTTCTCAGCCAGCTCTCTGGAGGCTCTCAAAACACAAGCAACCCAGACCGAACATTCTTCAAGGGCCTTCGTCTCGACCGATGACGCGGTATGCGCTTTCATTTGGAAATGCACAGCTCGGGCACGTCTGCACCGCCTCGACCCCGGTTCTGAATCTGCCTTTGCACGAGCAGTTGACCTTCGTCAACGTATGGGCATTCCTAGAACGTATTTGGGTATGTTTCAGAATATGGCATACAACAAAGACAGTCTGCAACATCTAGCGGAGCAACCATTGGGGGCAATCGCATCTCAGCTTCGCCGAAAGCTGGATCCTACTGTCGTCGACTTGGCCTATAACACCCGCGCTCTAGCTACATTCCAAGTCCGGTCGGCAGACAAGACAAAAACTTCTGCTACAGCATGTGTGGATTCTTCATCTGGCATTATGTTGAGCTCGTGGGCTAAGATCAACACCTTTGAGCTTGACTTTAATTTGGGGCTTGGCAAACCAGAGGCTGTTCGCCGGCCAGCCTTTGTTCCAGTCGAGTCTCTGATTTATATAATGCCCAAGTCACCGAATGGAGAGATGGCCGTTGGAATCTGTCTGAGAGATGCGGATTGGGAGAGATTGAAAGCTGACGAGGAGTGGGCGAAGTACGCCGCTTATGTAGGCTGATCATATGTTTTTCTCATGAATGACAACTAGACATGTCCTTAGCAAATATAGAATTTTGACATTTGTTCATAAGTGATATTTCTGGAGATTGTTTGTTGTTCAACCGAGTATAGTTTGTCCTGGGTGGCCCCGCCGATCGTCACTGGACGTGGGGTGAGGTCATCTTCTCCGCATCCAGCCATCCTCCATGCATAAGCCACTCTCTCCTCCATTCCTCCTTCCCTCCATCCTCCGAGACACTGCTCTGCCTCCTCATTAATTCTATCTTTGTACGGTCTTTGACTCCCAAACGCTCATTTGTACTGCCGTTACACAGTCTCCTATATCCCAAAGCTAACGCCGTCACCATAATGGGTGGAGAAGCTCCGCATCTTGCCCCCACCCCAGCCTCCCGATCGCTGCCACGACTAGCCGAGCGGCCAGTTGGCCAGCGCATCACCAAGCTCTATACCGATAGGCTGCGCCAGTTCACAGCAAATGGCCAATATGAAGGCCAGAACCTCGTAGCGAAATACTACGAAGCAGTCAACTCCGACAGCGACCATGTCAAGCTGTCAGTCTACTCGGTTCCAAATCTGGAACGCCCGACGTTCAAGGAAGCGACGTCGAATGAATTCAGACCGACTCATGTGGGCGAATCATTCGGTCCAAGCTGGTCAACACATTGGTTTCGCATTCAGCTTACGGTTCCCTCTGACTTGCTGAAAAAGGAGCGACTGGAGTTCCACTGGGATGCCAACAACGAAGGCTTGGTATGGACCGAGGATGGACACCCTTTGCAGGGATTGACCGGTGGGGGAGATCGAACTGAATGGATCATCCCGGACGCCTGGCGTGATGGGAAGCAGCATACCTTCTATATCGAAATGGCCTGCAATGGCATGTTCGGTAACGCCCCTGGCGGCGATTCGATTCAGCCACCCAACCCGGACAAGTACTACCAGCTCAGCAAAGCGCAAATTGTGGCGGTCAATCTGCAGGCACGGGCGCTCTACTACGATTTCTGGATTATCGGCGATGCTGCTCGCGAGTTCCCCGGTGACTCGTGGGAGGCACACGAGGCTAACATGGTGGGCAATGCTATGATAGATGCTTTCATTGCGGGCGACGGGAGCCAAGAGTCTATTATAGAGGCTCGCAAAATTGCGCAAAGGTACCTGGGAGACAAGGTAGACTCCGCAGATGTCTATGCACCCGATACAGATCCGTATGTCTTTGCGATCGGCCATTGCCACATTGATACTTGCTGGCTCTGGCCCTGGGCGGAGACCAAGCGCAAGGTTGCAAGATCGTGGTCCAATCAGTGTGATTTGATGGAACGGTATCCCGAGCATCGCTTCACCGTATCCCAGGCCCAGCAGTTTAAATGGCTGAAGCAATACTACCCGTCTGTATTTGACCGAGTGAAGCGATGGGTGCGAAAGGGCCATTTCCAGCCTATCGGAGGCAGCTGGGTCGAGCATGATACCAACATGCCCAGTGGCGAGTCACTCGTCCGTCAGTTCATCTACGGACAGCGCTTTTTTGAAAGCCACTTTGGCAAACGAGTCAATACTTTCTGGCTGCCAGACACATTCGGATATTCGACACAGATTCCACAGATCTGCCGACTTGCGGGAATGAGCCGCTTTTTCACTCAAAAATTGAGTTGGAACAACATCAATAACTTCCCACATACCACCTTCCAGTGGGTTGCACTCGATGGTAGCCAAGTGTTGTGCCACATGCCCCCCTCGGAGACCTATACGGCCGAGGCTCATTTCGGCGACGTCAAGCGCAGTGTTACTCAGCACAAGTCAATGGATAAAGACAAATCGTCCTTGCTCGTCTTTGGCAAAGGAGACGGTGGTGGTGGCCCGACCTTTGAACATCTGGAGAAGTTGCGTCGATGCCGAGGCCTCAGTGATAAGATTGGTACTCTTCCCAAGGTTAAGATGGGCGAATCGGTTGACGATTTCTTTGCAAAGTTGGAAGCAAAGGCTGCCAACGGCACCGAGTTCGCAACCTGGTATGGCGAGCTGTACTTTGAGCTGCACCGCGGCACCTACACGACTCAGGCCAACAACAAGCGCAACAACCGCAAGTCGGAATTTTTGCTTCGCGAAATTGAGCTTCTAGCTACATTGGCTACCCTTCGAGGCTCAGACAAGAGTTACAAGTACCCCAAGGAGCACATCGATGAAATGTGGGAAGGGACCCTTCTCTGCCAGTTTCATGATTGCCTGCCGGGCAGTTCTATTGAGATGTGCTACGATGACTCCGACAAGCTGTACGCTGGTATTTTCAAAACGGGTCAGAAGCTGCGCAAGGACGCTCTCGCAGCATTAGGAGTCACTGGAAGCACTGGCCTAGTGGCTCTGAACACTTTGCCTTGGTCTCGTTCAGAAGTTGTGAAGATTCCTGCTCCCTTGGTTGCTTCCGATGGATCCAAGTATGCTCTGGTTGATGGCTCGACGGGTGTGATTGCATGCCAGCCAGTTGATTTCAAGGCCACCGCTAGGGTCACCGTCTCTGAAGTTCGGCCTGGTGTATTCCGGCTCCAGAATGGCAAACTCAAGATCGACATCCAAGACGGCGTTATCGTCTCTCTGTTCGATATCGATGCCCAAAGAGAGGTCATCTCCAAGGGTGGCAAGGCTGGTCAGCTGGTCATCTTCGATGATAAACCTCTTTACTGGCAAGCCTGGGATGTGGAGGTATTCCACCTGGAATCGCGAAAGGAGCTTCCCGTCAGCAAGACGTTCATTGCAGAAGACGATCAGAACCGAGCCAGTGTCGTGACCGAAACGAAAATCAGTGACAAGAGCTGGGTGAAAACCACCATTAGTCTTTCAGCATCTGTCTCTTCCGAGCCTTCCATCGTCGAATTTGAGAGCGAAGTCGAGTGGCATGAGACCATGAAGTTCCTCAAGGTTGAATTCCCAGTTGATGTGACGAACACCGAGGCTTCTTACGAAACTCAATATGGTATTGTCCGACGCCCGACTCACTATAACACAAGGTACGTTTGGAATCCCGTAGTAGCTTCTTGTTCAATTCTCTAATGTACCCTTCCAGCTGGGACATGGCCAAATTCGAGGTCTGCTGTCACAAATGGGCCGATCTATCTGAACACGGATACGGTGTCTCGATTCTTAACGACTCCAAGTATGGTTTCGCTACATGCGGCAACTTGATGCGCCTCTCGCTGCTCCGTGCTCCCAAGGCCCCAGACGCCCATGCCGACATGGGCCGCCACCACATCCGCTACGCCATTCTTCCCCACTCAGGTAATCTTGATGCCCGCACTGTTCGAGCCGGCTATAACTTCAATCACCCGCTGGTCATCGAGCAGGGCAGCTCCCAAATTTCCAGGTACAATGCTGCCTTCAATGCTGTTTCCGTTCAGGGCGGGTCATCTATCATCTTGGACGCTGTCAAGCGTGGCGAAGATGATGAGGATGTCTCTACCGGTGGCATTCCCGCTCGCCCTGGCAAGAGTGTCATTCTGCGCGTCTACGAGTCCCTGGGCGGAAAGGCCCGTGGCTCGATTCACAGCTCGTTGCCTGTCAAGCGAGTCTGGAAGTGTAATGTTCTCGAAGATGACGAGGAGGAACTGGAGATTCAGAAGTCCAAGGAGGGATCGGTCACGGTTGACATCGAGGTACGAGCGTTCGAGATTGCTACCTATCGGCTCCAGCTCTAAGCTTTTCATGCACTACGGATTTGTTCGGGGGTATCATGTTGCTAGCCCCCAGCGGTTAGTCTCGTTATGAAAAAAAAATCGCATTTTCCCTTGCATAATAATATGAAAGCAAGTATTGTATGCAACGTATAATGTAGTCTTTTGAGCCGTGATGTACATGAAGGGTAATTGGGACGAACAGCCCCCGTTTTTGTCAGCGCCTAACCCTTCACCGAGTCAACTCCTTGATATCAATAACCTCCCAAACTCCAAGTGCAACCCATAAAAAAAACAGAGATGGAAGCGGGGACTCGGCGCAACCGACTAATCTCGTCCATAGCTGATCTTCAATCGTTTCACAGGCGGCTTGGAATCCGCATCATCTGAAAGATCATCGTTCTGGTTCTTTCCCTTGGTATTCTTCGAGCCACCACTGGCCTTCTTCTTATTTTTGGATGAGCCACCGCCACCGGCTTTCGATGCCGTCGTAGAGTCACCGCCAGTGCTCTTGTTTGAAGGTGCGTTCCCACCCGCTGTGGAGGTCGGAGTTGCAGCGTGAGATGGGGTCGTTTGTGCGGAGGATGGGCCGGGGGAATCCTATCGACAGAAACAGAATTAGCGTTAGCGATTAGAAACTTTGTTTCCGTGTTTGAGGTTGCCGTAGTCCTACCAGCATGTAGCTTGCCGAGCTTCGTGAGAAAACTCGGTCGGAATCTGTCACTTGTGCTTTGCGCCGCCCGCCAACGCTTGATCCGAGACTTAGCCCGGAAGCACCGAGACTGGAGCCGCTCGATGAGCCCTTGATGTAATTGTCGAAGCCTTTGATGATGTTACCGGCCGTCGTTTCTTCGAGGTAGGTTTGCTCGAATCGGAAGATCTGGTCCTCGAGTTGGGCCTGTGCGGAGAAGGGTTAGTATAAACGATATCCAGAGTCCGAATGCCCAATCAATGGTAGGATGCGATCCAGAATCAATGCGCCCATTGGTTATCCAGGGACTAATCTGTGGGCGCAGTGCCTGTCCGGCGCGACTTGGCGCGAGACGCAACTCACCATGCTCTTGTCCATCAAGCGCTTCTTCTGTATCGTGTCCCTGAGCTCTCGTCGCAACTTCTCGTAGTATGGTAGGCCTCGATTTGCGGTGTTCTGATCACTAGTCGCATTGGAGACTCCCGTAGTGACGCCGTTCGCTGGTGCTGCGAGTGCGCCATTCGCAGGCATCGCGGCCTGGGCGGGGGCTGTGTCCGCCATGTCGGTATGAAACTGAGGTCTTGTTTCAAGTCAATAGTTCTAGAATGTGGAAAGAGCGTAAACACGGCCAGAATAGTGCGAATCGCGGCGTCCGAGTAGGAACAGCAAGCTGCGGGATGGCGAGGCGGCGGGAGCTGGCGAAAGAGCCGCTCTTATCGCTGTTTGCATCGTTTGCATGTCCACGCCATCACACCCTTGTTGATCCCCTCGTGCCACAGTACCATGAGCTCGAGATATCTGGTTCAAGTGAAGTGAGCCTCGCGCTACTCTTAAGAGACTTCTCCAGCTTTTCTTCACTATGGATCACTCGATGCACATGGACCACAGCCATATGGACCACGGCGATATGGGACATGGTGACATGGACATGGGCCAGTGCGATATGAATGCAAGTACACATGGCATTGCTTCTGCAGCTGTCTTACCGTTACTGACTTCGTCTTCTTTCCTCTAGATGGTCTTTACATGGTCCTCCAAGAACCTTTGCATTATCTTCCGCCAGTGGCGCATCACCGGACCCGTCTCTTTCCTCCTTTCCCTCGTGCTTATCGTCCTCCTCACAGCTGGTTACGAGGGTGTCCGACAAATAACCCGCAAATACGAAGCTTCTCACAACCAGCGTTTGAATGCTTTTGCGGTAACATCAACTACAGGTGGAGGTATGTTGACAATCTGTTCTTTTCTTGACAAGTCTCTTTTCTATGGGGCGATACACATGGTGTTTGTACGGCGTTGGCGTGGCTATTAAGGTTGAGGTTGAGGTACATATGGCCCGTTGCTTCTTCTTGTGCATTTGCTGCTTGGGCGAGCTCTCTCATTGATGTCTTGCTCTGCAGTTGATGGGATTCCCGAGCCGGTCACCGCTAACGTCCGCGATGGTATCCATTCCGAGGGCTCACCACTGCTTGTAGGACGGGATAATAGGGCTGCGCTTGCGCGCCGGGGGAGAATTACTTTGGCTTCGTTGTATGCCATTCAGGTCTTTTACAGCTTCTTTATCATGTGAGTTGATTTTCCATCTCTGCCTCGCTAGGAATGATTCTGATTGCCTGTCCTTCTCTGGCTAGGCTTCTGTTCATGACATACAACGGCATGGTTATGCTGGCTGTTGCGGTTGGCGCCTTTGTTGGATATTTGGCTTTTGCCGACGGTACTCCGGCTACAAAGTCCATTGCTTGCCACTAATGTGGCGGGCTCATATCGGCGTTTCTGGGTCCATGGTTACAAAGCATGGGATATTTGCATAGGCTTCGTAACGTTCATTTCAAATGGGCTATTTCACCAACGAGTGATTTCTATCATATGTAGACCCAATATATCAAGGGACTTCAACGTCGCTATCATCTCCGAACCCAAAGCTGAAGCCCCCCGTGGCGCTTTCAGCTTCTTCGGTCTTTCCATGGACGATTTCTTCCCATTTGCGCTTTTTCCCATCAATTTTCTTTTGTAGCTCTTCTTGAGCCTGTGCCAAAAGATCGGGATATGCCTCTTGCATGCCATTCACGAATTTTTCGTAGGGGTTCTCAACATTGTTCCGGAATCCAGAGACCTGGTCTGGCTTGTTGGATAGGAAATCCAGTGCGGCACAAAGATGCGCACGAGGGATGAAGTTTTGCGTAATCGCAATAGACGGCTCCAAGTTGACCACCAGATGCCACCAGCCTGATGGGACATGCAAGATCTCGCCCTCGCCACAGATTCCTTCCATGCAGCCCGGTGTGCGTCGGGCCTCTGCGTGGAAGTTGAGCAGCCATTCGGCGATACTCAATGGCGATGTTACCTCGCTCTGATCATCAGACACAAAAACACCCGGTGGCGGAGCTCGCTTGTCGCCTGAGGGGAACATGATCCAGTACTTTGGTCCACGTAGCACTGCATTCCAGGCACTAGTCGCGTTAGGATCCTTATGGAACTTACTACCCGAGCGCTCGGGGCCAACGATCAGCCACTGGTGGTCGGGACGGTTTTTACCGAGTACGGAGAAGAAGTCCTCGGCGAAGCACGATGGTGGCCAGTATGCAGCATTGGGGGTCGACTCGGGAGGGCCAACAGCCAGGCCCATCTTGGGGACGAAAGCGCGATCAAACAAGTATAAGGGGCTCTCGTCGGAATTGTCTGCCATATAGTCGCGATAGGTAGACAGTGGCCAATCTACCGCCTCTGCACGGAATTTCTCTTGTCCATGCTCAGAGAGCAGGGACCCGATAGTCCAGTCTTTGTAGACTGGCCAGGCCTTGACGGGTTCGGTCAAGACGAATGGTTGATCGGCCCATTTGGCATGGAATTCATCGGGAGAAAGATCCGGGAAACGTGGAATCTGGTTACGCGCTGGGATCTTGGTGACATAGGGGTCCAGCGCAATATGCGCGCAGTTGAAAGGGCGGTATAGTACGTCGGAGTAGAGATGGGAGCAATCGATCATAGGGACTTTTGATGAGGGCAGGTTGAGATATGTTGATCGCCATGTCCCTCTCCATGTAAAGTTGTCCAATGGGGATCTGCGATGAAAGTTAGTCGGTCACTGGGCACTTTGGGTCGGATATATTCGTTGCAGTTATCGGGCCGCATAGATACCGAATATAGTTCGATGCCCAGCAGCACACAACAACGCCACACGATAATCTACAGACCCGATCTCTTGGAAATAATAAAGAAAGAATCTTACTCAACAAAAAGTGCCTTCCACAGCTCTTCGGCACGAGTGAATGCGTAAAAGGCCTTGCATGTGCGCCCAATCCCCAGTAGACTCGAACCGTCCAAGTGTTCCAGCAACAATAGGATCAGCTCATCGGGTAAAAGCCGGAAAGTGCCTATGGCGTCGCGAAGGCTCCATGTTGCTAGTAGGGCATTTCCGCTAGGTTTTACGCCCAGGGGATGGCTGGGAATGGCCTCGTCGCCCCGTTGACCATCAGAGGCCGGTGGATAGCTTGGTAGCATTGTGATGTCAGGCATTGTCCGCCACTTTGGATCTCTTAGGGCTTTCAAGGAATTTTTTTTTCTGCCCACTCCCCCAACAGCCCCGTTAGCAACCAACGACGGCCCAGAAATGAATAAATATGCGCCACCACCCAAATCCAAAAACGACGAATGAGAATGATAGTCAAGCAGGAACCGTCAAAGAAAAAGAAACCTTCAAAGACAATCTCGATTGAACAACTCGCTTGGAGGCCCGTGCGAGGGGCCCCACTTTGGGCAGGCGGTGAAGCCTCGCCCACCCGTGAAAAAAAAAGAAGCGTAGCAAAAGGCACGGACGGCCGACGATTTTTTTCCTTTTCTCTTCTCCCACCGTTTTTGTGAAACCCATACCAACAACTCATATCACCACATTTTCCTAGTATCTCTCCGCTCTTCACCTTTGAAGAGCCTTTGATACTAGCACTTTCGATCCTCGCTCGCGAACTTTCCCCCACAGGGCACGTTCGCTTAAACTCACCCCACCCGGTCACAGCGGAGAGTCGTCTGTGATCAATCACCAACCGCAATCATGTCGAACGATAAGGGTCTTGAGGACCTCCAGGATAGTACGTTCTACCAGTCTCGCATCCATCCTTTCAGCGCCCTGTGTCGCCCTGGTGAAAACAGTTTTCACCTTGCGCCCGACCCCTCAGTGGCAATGAAACATGGGGGAATTTGGAAAAATATGCCAGACTCAAATTGCTGACATCTGCCTTTTTGCGCTCACTACAGGCCAGATCGAGTCCAACTACGATGAGGTTACCGACTCCTTCGATGCCATGGACCTCAAGCCTGAGCTGCTCCGCGGTATGTGAATCGTTTCGTGGGGTGGGAAACATCCCGCCCGTGGCGGGGCTCTGTGGAAAATTCCACTAACCTGACTGATTAGGTGTCTACGCCTACGGTTTCGAGCGTCCCTCTGCTATCCAGCAGCGCGCCATCATGCCCATCATCAAGGGTGAGTTTCTTGATCGATCCCCGCACTACAATAATACGATACACAAGAATTTGGTCTAACCTTTTTCCCCTCCATCAGGTAACGATGTGATCGCCCAGGCCCAGTCCGGTACCGGCAAGACTGCCACTTTCTCCATCTCTGCTCTCCAGAAGATCGACCCCAACCTGAAGGCTTGCCAGGCTCTGATCCTCGCTCCCACCCGTGAGCTGGCCCAGCAGATCCAGAAGGTCGTTGTTGCCATCGGTGACTTCATGACCCTGGAGTGCCACGCCTGTATCGGTGGTACCAACGTCCGTGAGGACATGACCGCTCTCCGTGAGGGTCCCCAGGTCGTTGTCGGTACCCCCGGCCGTGTCCAGGACATGATCCAGCGCCGTGTTCTCCGCACCGACCACATGAAGCTCTTCATCCTCGACGAGGCTGATGAGATGCTGTCCGTAAGTTAACCCGGATCCTATCATTCGCTTTTTCTCTATATACTAAACTTCCTTTTTTCTACAGCGCGGTTTCACCGAGCAGATCTACGACATCTTCCAGCTCCTCCCCCAGTCTACCCAGGTTACCCTCCTGTCCGCTACCATGCCCCAGGACGTCCTTGAGGTTACCACCAAGTTCATGCGTGACCCCGTCCGCATCCTGGTCAAGAAGCAGGAGCTTACCCTCGAGGGTATTAAGCAGTTCTACATTGCTGTTGAGAAGGAGGAGTGGAAGCTCGACACCCTGTCCGATCTCTACGAGACCGTCACTATCACCCAGGCCGTCATCTTCTGCAACACCCGCCGAAAGGTCGACTGGCTCACCGACAAGCTCACTGCTCGTGACTTCACTGTCTCCGCCATGCACGGTGACATGGAGCAGGGTCAGCGGTATGTTAACTCGGTTTCTCCCATATCTGGATCCTCTTGACTGACCAATTCTCTCTAGTGACGTTATCATGAAGGAGTTCCGCTCTGGCTCCTCCCGTGTCCTGATCGCCACTGACCTCCTCGCCCGTGGTATCGATGTCCAGCAGGTTTCCCTGGTCATCAACTACGATCTCCCCGCCAACCGTGAGAACTACATTCACCGTATCGGTCGTGGTGGTCGTTTCGGTCGTAAGGGTGTTGCCATCAACTTCGTCACCGCCGACGATGTTCGCATGCTCCGTGAGATCGAGCAGTTCTACAGCACCCAGATCGAGGAGATGCCCATGAACGTTGCCGACCTCATCTAAACGCCCTTCCCCCTTTCATGATGTCTTGATGCGGATTTATGATCGCAGAAACTGCGTCAAAAGTGGCTTTCTGTCCCTTGGAGGATGATGCCTCGTCCTCTTGATCAGAATGATTCGGTCTTGGATGTCGGCCAGCCTTCAGGGGACACTGCTATGCTTTTCCTATGTCTCCCCTTTTACACGTCACGGAGATGTGACATGTTTATGCTCCTTCGTGCTGCCGCGGTTTTATCTTTTCCCGCATTTATTCTCCGTTTTCCTCTGTATCTAGCTCGCTCTGGTTGGTTAAGAATGCTGCTTTCTCCGTACTTAATCAAATAGATCGGGCCAAAATGTGACTTGTTCCCCACGGTTTCAAACTATTTCCTTTCTGCCATCTGTACTTTACAGAATAGACTGTTTACAATCTCTCCATAGGTACTGCTGGGTGTGAATTACTGCTGTATTCGATCCTTCGTCTGGGAACTTTCCCGTTTAGGAAAAGAGTGAAGTATCACTATCACATGTTGAATTAATGGCCAGAGCCTGTGTCGTTTGGAGACTAAGATTGCAGATGAACTAACTACATTGATATTTGTTCTTTGCTCTATGACTAGGCAACGCAGAAAGTCTGCCTTGGGGTGAGGGTGCGAGGGTGTGAGTCGCGCGACTCCCATCGCTGCCTCCACCTCACTCTGGCCATCCCAAGTCTTTTTATACCCGTTCTTCTCCTCAATCCCATTCTTTTCTTTTTCATCCACGCTTCTTGAACTCTCCATCGTTCTCCAGCTCTTCGACCTTCTCTCTCTCCAACTTTCACAGTCCTCATAAACTACATTTTCACACCCTTTCTCTCCCGTTCATCCATACCCTTCCTTCACTTCACAGCACCTACACCATCACCATGTCTGCCTCTCACTCCTCCCCTGCCTTTACCTCCCCTCTTGCCTTTCTCTGGCTGTACGAGTTCCGGCGACAGAATGGCATTCTCACCTCCCGCCTGCTGGATATCAAAGACCAGCTGAACCAGGGTGAGCAGCTCACGGAGCTACTCTCCAACTTCCTCAATGACCTCATCGTCATTGTCGCATCCATGGTCACTGTCCTCACTGGCTACTCTGATGGAGCTGAGCACCGCATCCGCCGGCTGCACCGTCTCCTCAGCAAGGCCCTGGTGCCTCTGTACCATTACGACGCCTCCTTCAAGCTAGGCAATCAAGCTCTCATCGATTGCATGGCTCAGCTTGAGGCCCTGTACGACCTGCCTGAATCCTTCTTCGACGGTGATGAGGAGGATACCGCTTCCTCACTTTCCTCTGCTCTTAGCGCAGCGTCAGATGGCTCCCCTCAATCACCTCGGTCTACACAGGGTGGCAGCGGCCCAGAGTCCGCCACAGGAAGTGACCAGAATGACGACCAACTCTCGCGCGATGAGGTCCTGGCCATGAAGCTAGATGCGGTCATGCATCAGGAAGGGCGTGCTTTCGAGGATTACTTCGACGAGGCCAACAACTTCCGCAAGGATCAGATCCGCCTGGGTCAGGCCAACGACCGTGTGTTCATCGAGGCCTTCCTGGCCGGGTGCGATAACAGTCTGTACCGGCGTCGTCTCACCCACGCCCTGCGGAAGAACGGCTGGTACTGGACCTGGCTGACTCGCGAGGCCCAATACCTCATCTTTGAGCAGGAGTACATGGACAAGCAGAGCTATGCCTTGGACCATGTCACCTCCAATGGCTCTTTCCAAATGCCGGACAACACCTGCAAGTACCGGCTTGTCAAGCTGTCCCCCATCACCGAGGAGGACCTGACAGACTCGGACTTGGAGTCTCATGAGAAGTGAACGGATCGACCACTCTCCGGCCCTCGCATTTCGGTCACCAGTGGAGAGAACCTCATCTGCACCAGCCCTCGATATCTCCCTCCATTAACGCCTACGCCACCTCGTGCACATCAACGGATCAACAACCCCCTGTCTCGGGCACCAGGACATCATCGATATCAAGACCCTTCCGCTTATTCTCAGTCGCTGGTGTGGGTGCGGTTGTTCGCTTCGCCTTCCTTATTTCCTTTCTCCCCGTCGTGCTTTTTGTCCCTTCGGGTCCCGGCCTGCGACGAGCGGCTCAGCAGCCCGGGTGGTATGGAGTTTTCATTTTTTTCCCCTCGGAGTTCAAGGATCTGGCTTTCGTATTCTTTCTGTTGTCTTTTTCACTCTGTTTCGTTTGGGTGTTCAATGGCGAAACCTAGCGTGTACTCTAATTTGCAGCGGCTTCCCTGCAGCGCCTGGTTAGTGGTCTCTGAAATTTGCACAGAAACTTCTGCTGTCGTTCCACTTGTAACGGATATCGTGAATTCTATTCTTCCATGCGAATCGGTCTTTGCCCTTGTCAGTCGAATCTTCTGATAGGGTTCAGTGCCATCGATGTATGCCACTCGCTGGCTAACAGCTATGATAGGGTGCTGTGTAGATAGTCAGCTCCATCGATCTTCAGCTGTCATCTCACTAATAAATCAGATTCTGATGTCGTTATCTCTGTATTAATTAATCAGTCAGGTGTGTCGAGCAAATTTAACATGTTGATATAGGTATTGTTGCGGACGGATATATATACGGACCGAATGGCTACGTGTTGTGGCAAGAACACATGCCAAGACTTTCATCTCTTCTCCCCTCTTCTCCTCCTTAAGCCATTTATCTCCACTCTCAAGAGGGATCCATCATTAATCTTCAGAAAAACCCTCATCCAAAATGCAGGTTGCTGAAATATTGTCCGATATTACCTCGCTCCGAGTCTGTGTAAGTCGTGACACTCTGCTCCAACACCCCCAGCATCCATCCATCCATCCCGACACGTGCGGCAGCGCACAGGGTCTGATAAGGATCAAAGCATGGACACTAACATTTTCTAGGGACACAATGAGGCCCTTGCACTTGTCGGTGGTCCAGCGGTATCCGCCAAAGAGCCGCCTGCTGAGAGTGAGACGGTTGCAGCCTCGGATGGTCAAGCTATCAAACATGAAGCCTTGCAACGCGCCAAAGAGCTTGTCCAGCTACACTATGAAGTGAAGTCTCGGCATATCAATGGTGAGGTTGACGAGGAGTTGCGTCAGGCTAGGGAGGACGTCTATCGAGTTCTGAGGGAGTTGGCGTGAGCCGATTCAGCTTGTCGGGCCTCGCCGTGCTGTTGGTGTTTTGGTTTTGAATCGTTCCATCAAACCTACGATCATAATATCATTCTTAGCAATCTACGCGTTTTTCAGTTACGGCTACGGTGTTTTGCGGTGTTTGGGTTCCTGTCAGGGTTCAAATACCCACATCAGAAACCGACCATTCTCGAAGCCCAGCGAGAATACTTTGCGAGATAACAGGGAAAGCGATCGGGTATATTTGTCAGAGAATTTCATCATGCGTGGCTGCTAATGTGTACAAATTCAACAATGCGGTCATGAGCTTCTATGCGGCCTTCACCCTCACAGAGTTTCTTTACCGCAGCCGACTTGGCATGAATTCCCTCATCGCTCAGAACGTGGAGTAAAGCCTTTGAGAATTCCTCGGCCTTGACGCCGGGTGCTGCAGATCGACTGCCGTTGATTCCGATTCCAAGCCATTCAACCCGGGTTGCACAGTCATAGGTGTCAAGCCATTGGGGTAGTACAACTTGGGGAACACCGACCCTAGAACGAACGGTTAGAAATCGTGAACTTTCTTCCGTCCAGAGTATCGGAGAGTACTTACTTGCATGCTTCAAAATAAGAATTAGCCCCGCCGTGGTGGACATAAGTGGTGATCCGACCAGTATCCAGAACAGACATGATATCTGCCTGGATCCAGGACACCACCTTGACCGATCCAACGGTGATGGACGAGCCCAACACCTTTTGGAACTCATCTGAACTCTCCCAGTCATACATGAGCTTCCACAAAACTCTCAAATCAGGACGTTTTTGAATGACTGTCCGGACTCCCATCGCCATCTGAACGGCAATAAACTCGGATAGTCGAACGTGTGACCCAAGACTGATCAAAACGGTGGGTTTCGTGAGCCACGCCTCCAGCTCTGGATCTGCTGTCGAGAGAGGTTGGCATTGCCGGAGAATTGGACCACAACTGATGACATTGTTTGGGACATGCAGTGGAAAATCGAGTTCTTTAAAGGCAGGTGTTAAGCTTAAAGAGTCCTTTGAATATGCGTTCACCAAGGGGAATGGACTTCGTCCTTCCGGTTTCTTGCCATCTTCGAGCTCATCGGGCTCTGATTTTCCGGTTGCTAGTGTCATAACCACCCGGAAAACTAGATAGATATTGTTGAATATGAGCTTCCATGGTAGTGGGAACGGGTACCCTGAGCCCGTACTGTAAAAACAAGTCAGCATGTTCATAATCAAATGTGGTCCAAGAGGGAATACATACACAGGGTATTTCCAGAGTATCCCAGCCTTGGGTTGAATAGCGATAACCACATCCTTCAGAGGAACAGGCCAAAGTATAGCGACTCTAGCTTTGGCACTTCGACATGCATCTAATCCAACATGCAGAATCGGATCTATCACCACGATGTCCGGGCGCAATTTGTCGATCATAGCTATACAGCTCTTGTAGGCTTTATGATACTCTGATGGCCTCCAATTCTTCATAGCGGTAGCAACTTTCCGAAAGCCTTGCGTCGCACCTTTCACCCCGGGTCGATGAAATAGAAGACCAACATTACTGTGAACCGCCAAATCGGTCATTGAAGGACCCGGGATCTCGTGGAATTCCACCGATCGACCGCAATCCACGCGTTTGTTCAATTCATCGACTGGCCCAGCCAGTGGGCTATATGAGCCGAGATGTACGGCGAATTCACCGCGGCGCAAGAATTCCTCGGCCACTGCAAAGGCAACATTGCATTGTCCTAGTTCGCTGTTGGTGAGGAACAGAACCTTGCGCATTGGACCCATATTGAACAGCCAAGGGGCGACCGCTCAGAAAGAAGGTAAAGGGGGAAAGAAATGCGACATGATGAGATTCATCTGGGTCTTGCGCACTTTAAACGGCCGTGGAAGACAGGGCAGAGACGTACGAGATCGCCCCACAACGTTCGTCAGATGAGATGGGTTACACGGACATCATTACCTCTTAGCTTCCACTAAAAGGGATGGTGCTGCCCCTACTCATTGCCGTGTGCTCCCCCTATTGAACAAAGTATGTTAAAGAGAGTCTGGTCCACCAATACCTCCCCTGCCGATTGACCATAACGAAAAGAATATACAGTATCCTCATCCTAGCGAGACGAATTTCACCGATCGCATTCCAAAGCATGGCACTTGAGTGTCACTACCGACTCAGCGGAGAAGATTGCTGAAAGTTAAGTTGAAACACGTTTGTTGCGAAAGACTCAAATTTGGGACTTAATCAACCCTCAGTCCACGGATGGCAATGATCGGGCTCGGAGGGAAAGTGCTCTACTTTAGGTTTTCCCGGCGTAAAACCGGGTCCAATGAGCGATGAACCATCCGAACAAAGCCTGGACCGTGTCCCAAAACTCAATTTCCCAACTCGACCGTCAAGCTATTAGAATATCTCTCGTTGGGTACACTGCCGTGATCCAATCGACACTTTCAAGGGGAATGTCAGGCATAATCTGGTAGGTCTATCCACGTGGCGCGATGAACTCTTCCCATTTATTAAGCATTCGCAATCGGAAAGTCTAGGTTGACACAGCTCATCTAAGTCAGTCGCTGCTAAATCCCGCTATTCGCTGTTCAGTCAACTGTAGGAGCTGTATCTAGCATCTCCGCACGATGGGTAGAAAGTTTCGAATTTTACAAGGCCTGCACAATTTCTATCGACTCATAGACGATCCTCTATGTGCCTGGCCAGAGTCTAATTCTTACCACATACTTAGTCGGTGAACAACCTCGTGGCGCAGATTGATTTGTTCGGGGGTGTTCTATACGAGGAATCCGGTCTCTCGTGAATTTAACTTTGAGTTATGCAGTTGCATCACCACTAACATTGGATCAGCTCTAAGAGGATACAAGCACTATCTCTCATGTAGATGGATATTGGGCCCTGGACTATACAGAGTCCTGGTACCCGACCAAGGAAAGCCTTTATACCTCGGAAGCTTAATCTCCAATTCCAATGAACCTTTTTGCAATTATGACACTCAATATCCATCTTTCCCAGTCCTGACTCGATCATTCGCGTCTCGAAGCACTTGGATTGTATCCAGATATCAAGCAGTCGATATGCCGGGTGATCAGGTTCGAGTTGCGTATTCACCTTTATTCTAAGAAATCGTACCAAATATTATCTTACAAAAGCAATTAGGCCTTTCTCACAGCTGGAAACTCATGTTTGTATCCCTCCATATCACCAACAGCCAAATTCCCAGATGCCACCTTCAACAGTGCCGAAGGGTTGCGGGTTCACGTATAACATCGATATGGAACTGGGGATGTGGACGGGTGATAGAAAAGGCGGTCCCCGCCAGCAGGGAAGAAGAGGCGAGGAGGCATCTAAATACACACATCATGTTAGATCAATGAGATATGATTTGAATAACACAGGGCAACAAACATTCAGCCCCTGTTCATGTCATGACTCGACCGGCTCATCCGACATCCTCACAGTAATCAAAGCCAAAAAGAATATCCCCGTAAGAATGAAGCACACAAAAGAGAGAATGAAGAGGAGTAAATGCTTCGGCTTGACCTCGTCGGGGTCGTCCAGCTCTGGGAATATCGTCAAGGGGATGAGGCTTTCTTCGTCATGTTCATTATTCAGTTCATGTTCATTCGCAGGCATTATCGATCCATAATCGCGATCTAGCCAATTCTGGCTTTTACACATTTTTGAATAGAGTGATGTGGTTAAAGAGGTAGATGACTTATGGCGAGTCTAGAGTTTTTAAGGGCGAGGTCGTGGGACAGGAAAAAGCAGTGACAATTATGCAAGGCTATCAAGAAATGAAAAAGCAAATTAAATGATCAACCACGCAGAGTGATCTCATAGCTGCATCTGACATTTATCATTGGATGATGCATCTTTTGTGCTTTTTTTCATTTGCCCCTTGCCGCCTTAAGTAGGTGATACTGTACATATCACCCCCTATAAAGCGTCTGGCGGCTAAGATTGAAGATCCGGGGTTCTCTGCTCCATCTTTGCTGACAAGTAACAATTTTGAGTTATTGCTTGCTGGAGCTCATCCGAGGCTCCTTTCACTACAACTTGGTCAACTGTATACTTTAATTCCTGATGGGCGAGATCGAAAAGTCATGAAGAGCGACCAGCTGAGGACTTCATCTATATCATGGATTACTGCGCGACCGACTCAGCCACAACATTTTCAGCTCAGTATTCTTCAGGGGCATATGAAGCAGCCCAGACATGACAGAATTATAGGAATTTAAAGGTCAGTCAATCCACGAATCTCGACTAAGATCTCCCAGTGGGGGTCATCACCCTCGTGATCATTGTGACCAGTAAGGGTCACACAAGCTACGCTAGCGCAGCCCGAGTCAGCCAGCCTGGCGATCGTATCACAATGTGGTTCATTGATTCATCTTTATGTGGATGTATAATTGCTGTATAAATTGATGTACTATAGAATAATAAGACCGGGGTGTTTACAATCATAGAAGTACGGACCGTACGGACTGTACTGCCTATGATGTGGAAACGGGGATGTTCCGAGGCACCTTTTTCCCAAGACCCCAATAAAATTGGTCGCGGTTCTCCTATTATCTGTGTTCTCCGGCATTACTGGTAAGTTGTAATTAGTGCCTTCCGAGCATATAGGCCCCTAAATCCCAAGTTTCTGACTAACAGACGTGGGCTAACTATGTTCAAAACGAACTAGCGTAACCACGAGGCTGAGCGTCCCATCAAGCTCTCGATGTGGACCGGGTCGTTTCTGTATTGGAAAGACTCCCGAGCTACTCGCGCCCGCGAAGCCATCAACAGTCCAGACTACAAGAGAGCTCAAGCAATTTGGGTAGCCATAGCTATTATGGAACAATCACGCTACTGCTTTATGTCATAGCCAGCTGGCAGTGGGAGTACGTTCGAAAAAGCGCGATACATTCGGGCTCGTTTAGGATATGTACTTGTGAACCTCGGTGACACTACTCTGGAATGGAGAGGGGGGCTTCCTCGAAGCTTCCTGAGCCGCATTATCAAGGCGCCGGGCGAACAGGGAAGGGTACCACGGCGAAGTGTCCCGTATCTTGTCAGACCTTTATCACAGCGCATTGATTTCAAGGTTGAACGGAGGTATTTTTCTTCCCTCGTATAAGGGGAGCAAGACGATACTCGCTCAGCTAGTGATCGGGCAGCTTGAAGTTCGATGCAGAACATCGCCAGGGAGTTGAAGCCCCAAGCGAGAGGCGGACATCCCAACTGAAGTCATAAAAATCCCCAAATATTCCTACAGCCCTCTTCGCTCACATTGCGACTACACTTTGACTAGGCCTCTGGATAGTCTGTACATCCAGAGCAGAAGAATAAGGCTAACATCGAAGAAATCAAAGACCATAGCTCCACCAAAGATGATAGCGTAGTATGACCATGCTTGCGATCTTTCCAGCGACTCTTTGGTCATCACTATCGCCCATGGCAGCATCCAAAGGAAATTTGACCCTAGGGCTTGGTACAAGAACCAACGAGGTGAAGCAGCAAGCAACACTGCTGCCAGCTGATAGTTCAACCCGTAGAATATGTACGTCCAATCTATGGCCTGCCAAGCACAATCGATACAGGTATTTTTGGTCCGCCAGCCAGGCTAAAGACTTACCCTCCACATTTTTTGCGTTATTGCGCCCACATCCCTCGAATTGGATAAATAGTAAGCAAATCCATCTATGCCACGTACGGATAATGCTATGCAAAGGACCGCCTCAAAAACGAGGACGATCACACACGACAACAGCGCTGGTCGGAGAATTTCTATATCACGATGTGAGTGACGATCATTCTTCTGCGGCGTCGAACTCACTCAGCATGTCTTTGCGGGAGGCTCTTGGATAGCTTGTAACTGCTGACGCACGAAAAGTTCCCCATGCATGACCGACAAACGCAAGAGTTGATGACTCGAGTGCTTGCACTGGCACCATAACTAGTCCCCAGCGGATCGTATTGAAAACACCCCAAGCCGTGGCATATGTCTCACCCATCTGGACAATCCGATTCAATAGCCAGAGGTAGATCGCGTTTCTGATTGCAGATTCTGTGAAAGGGTAGACGCTGGATTTGAGGAGAGTCATGAAGGCCGACACCCCTATGTTCAAGTGCTCTCTTTCGACCGGTTCATTTTTCACTTTCCGAGCAACTACGAGTAAAAAGTACGATAGACCGGCCACGACAGAGACAATATCGCAAACGAGTCTCACGACAGCCTGAGAGACAATTGTCGGGTTTTACTTCGTGACGTGAAATTTGGAGATGACCAGGAAATCCAACAAAATGTTGATAACAAATTTGGCAGAGCTGAAGATCAAGGGCACATCGGGATTATCAAGAGCTTGAGTCGAAGATGACAGGGCAGCTTCCGTTGCAGAGGTCAAAAACTGAACCGAAGACAGCCTCACATAAGTGAGGGAGATCCCTCGGACCTCCTCGGGACAAAAGCCGATGCCAAGCTTTGAGGATATGCAAGAAAGACGATCATCAGGACACATCCTTGAGTAGCTGTGGCTATCATCAAGGTGTATCCCAGGTTGAAGCGTGAACGGACCATTCTTGTGCTTTTATCTCCTATGATATGCCAAGCAGAACGTGGAAAGGCATCGTTGAGGACCTCCGCGATGATACCAATGTAGGTATAGACATCTGTCAATACCACCTGGCTCGAGTCGATGTTGGCAACCCATAGCTTACTGAGAGTGTTGTAGAGGGCTGGCAGAAAGAAAGCTCCCAAGTTGAATATTAAAGATCCTGGATATCTAAGAAAGTGTCTCCGCATCAGCACTTCGGGTCCCCGCTGCGCTCATGTCTTGAGTATGCACTTGCCTCTGGCGACTCCAAATTGAGAGTCTGGAGAGATCTGGCTCCTCAGCGACACGGGACTCGTGTCTTTCCATGTTTTGGGGGGCGATTTTGTGCCAAGCTGGTAAGTGATGCTCTATCTTCTTGTTCCTTCAGGCGACCTTCACCAGCTCTGGAGAGCAGGGATACTGATCAAAGCGGGGAAACAAACACACGTTAGTTAGTGCCTTTCTATATGTGTGCCTTCTAAGAGCTCTGACGCTGTTGACACGCTCTGAACTCGGGATCTGGCCAATCACAGTAATTGAAAACAGCCATCTGTTTGCCTGCCCATTTTCTCAGCGCTATGATGAATACGCGATGATCATGCCTTTGGATCCGTCAACTGGCAACACCTCTCTCTAGAGGTATTCTCCATTAGTTTCGAAGACAGAAGCTGATAATAAAATTGTGAACTACGCATGCTAGGTCGTTGTTAAAGATTCCTGACCACACTGTCACTTAGTACAACCAATGGCTCTACAGGGCAGTCCCCGCTAGCCAAGAGGGGGAGCCACAGCCGCCCCTCGCCCCAAAACATTCAACCCAATTCCAACCTTTTCTTTCACTGGGTCTGACATTTTATCAGTCAGATTGTCCTTCTTTGGGGTCGTCAAAATCGTGTCCTCCTTCTACACTCAATATGTCTTCAATCACTACTCCCCGCTGCACGCATACGTCGGCCTCTGTGGCTAGTTCACACCATGCCACGAAAGTCGGATTCAAAAGACAAGATGCAAAACAGCGCTTTGCTGCAGCGAGACCCCTAAACCCCTCAAAAAGTGCCGAGTCGGAATCGATGCCAATTGATGACCCTTGGACTTTTCCGGCTCCTCTTTTACTACCCGGTGACGACCTCAGTGAAGACCCTGGGTATCCACCGCAGAGCTTCCAAGAATGGCTCGATGAAGAAGACCGCAACTCAGTGTCTTCAAAACGTCAGACGATATATGTAATAACTGCGCCGGAGATTGAGGAAGAAGTTCATTTTATGCGAGCATGGGAGAAGGGTCTGGACGAAGAACATCAAGTCACGAAACCATCACCTCAGGCGATCGTCGACTATCTAAAAGCATTTTACCATGGCTTACCTGTGAAGACGTTATCTCGCTTGGCCCCTGCTTTCACCGCATGGGACGAAGAGCCCAAACCAAACCGAAAATCTCGCCAACCACAATATGTCGCCCTCAAGTTCGGGAATGAATGTGTCCGCATCCGTACTCGTCCATCGCCGGACGGTATCTTTGGTGGTCAGCTCAATCTTGATGATCTACTCGATACCGCTATTGCTATGCTGCCCAACGATGCATATGCACTGTTGCTCCTGGTCAATCAGGACCTCTATGAGGATGAGGATGATGAATTCGTCTGCGGTCGTGCATATGGTGCGAGCAGGGTTGCAGTGGTCTCAAGTTCAAGATATAATCCAGCGTTGGACCAACATCAATCGGTTGAAAGACTCCATGCCTGGCCCGCATCACACTGTAAAGAATACATATCCACGTTCTGTACTACGTCCCGATCAAACGCAAAGCGCCAAAAGACACCAAGCGTGCAAAAGGCAAACAAGCCCAACGACTCTCGCTCTAGCTCATCTTCACCTCTTATGGCTGCAATTTCCATCTATCGAGGCTTGGAAACCATTGATCTCCCTCCATCGGCTCTTTCTACCCTCTGGTTGGGCCGTGTATGTCGTACTGCCGCACACGAGCTGGGACACTGTTTCGGTATCGATCATTGCGTCTTTTATGCCTGTTCTATGCAGGGTACGGGTTCAATTCATGAAGATGCTCGACAGCCTCCTTTTCTTTGTCCAGTGGATCTGGCCAAACTCACATATGCCACGGGAGCTACAGCAGCCCAACGATACAAAGCGCTCCTTGACTTCTGTGACAGGCCTCAGTACAAGAAGTGTCTTTTCTTTGTGCCCTTTGCAGAGTGGATTCGAGCGATGTCAGGCGCAACTCCTCAATAAGCTCGATCTAGAACGACTGATATATATTGAACCCGCCAGTACCCCTGGACATGAGCTGGATAATATCCCACTTTTTCTGTCTTGCAGCCACATTTCTCTATACTCCATCCGCGACAACAGAGTCGTTCTCTCTCCGCTTTGTCGCAGTGCCACCGGGGTCGCCGATGAAAGGGAACGAACAGTGTTCTATTTATTTCCATAATCGGGCACTTCACCAGCTCAAAAAGCTGTCTCTTTGTCATGCCGATTAGGACAGTCTTACCAACATCGGACTTTTCAGTGCTACACACTCATGACCTAGCGATTAGTTGCGAACTGTCCTGTAATTCCACGATCCATTGAACTTGTATATTCAAAGCAATTTCCAAGTATAAAACATGATTCATGACCCCAGGTACCATTTAGGGCCCAAGGTATAGCTTCACAATGCGGAGAATCCCCTTGAAATGCTTAATCAAATGGCCCGTCCACTTCCCCACAATTTCAGTTCGATCATCAACAACTATCCTAGACCGCCCTGTATACCGCTTCCATGTAGATCCAGCAGTACCTTGACCGCTTTATAATATAGCTTCTCGTCCGACGCACCTTTTCCCTCTTCATTTCTTGTTCCACGACGCGTCGCACTTCACCCTCACACTCTTCGCTCGCAAAAATGGCGACCCCTGTGGATGCAAAGCTTCTCAAGAAAACCAAATTCCCTCCCGAGTTCAACCGGAAGGTGGACATGACCAAGGTGAACATCGAGGTCATGAAGAAGTGAGCTCTATTCTCGGATTTTTGGATGGTACCAAGAGGTCGAGAGGCTGACACATGACTGCTGTAGATGGATTGCCAAGCGCATATCTGATATCCTTGGTAATGAGGATGACGTTGTCATTGAGCTGTGCTTCAACCTGCTCGAGGGCTCTCGCTATGTATGTCGTCTCTTTGCTCCGTGAGCTTGATGCGATATAGGTCTCCACTTATATGCGATGTACCCTTGCTGACTTTGTGACTTTCTGTTGGATAGCCGGATATCAAAGCCCTCCAGATACAGCTCACAGGATTCCTCGACAAGGACACCCCCAAGTTCTGCAAGGAGCTGTGGTCTCTCTGCCTTAGCGGCCAGGAAAATCCCCAGGGTGTGCCAAAGGAGCTTCTAGAGGCCAAGAAGCTGGAGCTTATGCAAGAGAAGGTGAAACAGGCAATCTCCTTTTGTATTAAAGCTGTTTCTGACCGGTCGTCTGTATAGATTGAGGCGGAAAGAGCCGCCGAAGCTGTTCGGCGCGAGAAAGAACAGGAGCGCATCCGAGAGCGCGAGCTGAATGATATGAGACGGCGAGAGCGTTCCGATCGAGGCGACCGCAACTTTGGAGGAAGAAGATCCTACAATCGACGCCGCTCTCGCTCTCCGCTCCCTCAATACGGTCGCTATCGTCATCGCGAATCCCCTCCTCGCCGCGACAATTCGTTCTCATACCCTTCAGATCGCCCAGATCGCACTCCCCCGCGCGGCCGTTCCTCCTCTCGTTCCCCTCCTCGATTCCGCCGGCCGACTCGCACTCCTCCCGCCGCCCGTTCCTCGTCTCGCTCTCCTCAATGGCGTCGCCCTTCTCGCACACCCCCGGGCGATAGCCGTCGCGGTTAATCCCCAGAACGCAATGAGAAGAGACCATGTACGAATCTCAATGATCCAGAGGATCTTTTTCCCCCTCTCCTTCACCCCGCTTACCTCCTCCCCAGAGAAAACCCGCACGTATCCCCTTCGAGGGTCGCGAGGCGTCGCCTCGAAAACGATCTCTCGAAAGATACGTCCCCCTCCCTCTTCGCGAAAGCCGTCGAGCGGCTGCCTCAGCCAGAAAATGATATTGGCGAGGATGAGAAGGTTGCCAGGCCTAGAAAGCCTGAGCAACAGCCTAACATAGACGATGCCCCTGGGGAGGGCCATGTGGGAGCAGATGACGCCAGAACGACCATTCCGCTGGACAAGAGCTTGGTCGAGATCCGACTGGTAAGTGATTGAAGCAAATCCTGAGATAGTGTTCAAAAAAAACATGTCCTCATCTCATTGTATGTGGTGCCGAATCCCATTTTCACTTCATCTGATATATCCCTAATAACTGACATATGACTTAAAATAGACCCCCAAGGCTCCGAAGAAGATGGATGGCCAGCCTTACTCTTCAATACCTCCTGGAAAGCCCTGATTGACGACCCTTTCCCCTTCCTGCCACCTGTCCGCTAATCGGCGAGGCTGGCTTGAACGCATGACGTTTAGGCCTAGTCCATCATGGACCCTTCTTGTGTTAGAGTAGAACCTACCTCTCCACTCATGGGTCTCAATCAAATAGATACGCAGGATACTTCCAGTGTTCCTCATAACATTAAAAGAGTGCAAGATGTAGCCTACACGTGAAGTTCTTACATAAGGGCAACAAAATTGAGTTAAGCACCACAGAAGTTTGCGAAGAATAGATAGTAAAGCGCTCCACTGAAATTATTGAGGGCAATGACAAGATTTGACTATTACTTAGATATGACAAGTGATCAAATCAAGTCTTTGGCTATTTCAACCAAAGCTACGAATTCATGTGGAGAACGGACTACAATAATAACCTTACGACTAAAGAGAACAAAAATAAAAGGACCAAGCTCAAATCTTCCACAGCAGATTAGAATTATAATTAAATATCTACGGACAGGAAGGCCAGACATTCACTGGGCAAATCACCAGGGGGAACATGAGGAAAGTTGGGAGTAGGTGAACCCGAGTCTAGAGCAGATACTGCAGGAACCACACCAGTACATATTGTGTCAAAGAGTCATCTTGGGGGCGTGAGAAAGATGCAAAGACAAGTGCGTGGAGATGGGGGGGTATGAAGATCTCTTCACATAGTTTGTCAGGGCATGTAACCGCTTACTCGCAGTCACAGACGGTGTGGTAGATGGTGACGGTCTCGGTCCAAGTATCGGAGGCCCAGCCGGAGCCAGAACCAGTGGGGGCTGCGGTGGGAGCAGGGGCGCCACCAGCAGACCAGGTCCAAGAGCTCTCGCTGGAGCCAGAGCTAGACCAGCTAGAGCCGGAGCCGGAAGAGCCAGAACCAGAGCCAGAGCCAGAGCCAGACGAGCCAGAGCCAGAGCCGGAGGATCCAGACCCAGAGCCGGTAGAGCCAGAGCCGCTAGAGCCAGAGCCAGGGGTTCCAGTGGGAGAGGTGCCAGTAGGAGCAGTCTCGCAAGGAGTGCTAGCAGCACCAGCACCGGTCTCAGTGGGGCCAGCGGGATGGCCAGTAGCAGCAGGACCGCCGGGGATAACAGTGGAGGTGACAACGGGGATGGTCTCGGTATCGCAAGGAGTAGAGGAAGCGCCGTTACCGGGAACACCACCAGCAGGGCCGGTAGGGATAGAGCCGGAGGGAACGGTGACAGAGCCAGAGCCAGAGCCCGAGCCCGAGGAGCCAGAGCCAGACGAGCCAGAGCCAGACGAGCCAGAGCCAGAGCCAGTGGGGATAGAGCCGGAGGGAACGGTGACAGAGCCAGAGGCAGCAGGGCCAGTAGGGACACCACCGGAAGGAATGCTGACGGAGGGAACGGAGCCAGTAGGGGTGGAACCGGAGGGGATCAGAGGAGTGCTGGAGACGCCGACGGGGGTGGCAGAGGGCAGGCTGGAGACGGCGGAGGACGGGGCGGGAGCACTGGGGATTCTGCAGCCAGTGAACCACTCGATGATGATAAGCTGGATGCTAACGCTAACATCAATGCCAGTGCAGCCAGCGAGGAAGGCAGCCAGCTCAGCACGAGCGTCCCAGTTGAGGGTGGCGAGGCTCTCACCACCAGCGAGGAGGCCGAGGGCACCACGAAGGTTGATGCTCAGAGAAGCGATGATGGTCTCGGTCAGGAAGCCGGAGATGTCAACGAAGAGGCCGCTCACAAGGTCGAGAGAGGCCTCGGCAGTGGCAGAAACGGACAGCCAGAGCAGGACGATAGCCTTCAGTTCAACTCCAAGAGAGCAGCTGGAGCCTGACAACCAGACAGCGAGAGCGGCACGAGCGTCAGCATCGAGAGAAGCGGCGAGCTTGCCACCAGCGCAGGCCTTGAGGTATACCAGAATTTCAGCATCAATGTCAATGGCGAGGTTGGTGTTCAAGAAAGCGGCAAGAGAAGCCTGGGCGTGGACGGAAAGAGCACCGGTTTCCTCGACGTTAGCACCAACGGAGGCACCGACGGAGATAGCGGTGAGAGCGGTGTCAGCAATAGCACCGATCTCGACGAGGCCACTGGCGTGCGACCCGTGGCACCAGCCGAGGATGGAGGCCTTGAGAGCGGCCTCGAGAGGGCAGTCGGAAGCGTTGAGCCAAGCAATCAGGGAAGCCTTGACATCAGCCTCCAAGCTGGCGATCACACCACCGGCAGCACAGACACTGAGACCGGCCTGGATGTCAGCACCAAGGCCAACATGGACATCAAGGAAAGCAGAGAGAGTAGTTTGAGCAGAAGCGCTCAGAACGAGAGTCGAGGAGAGCTCAGCGGAAGAGAAGATACCATCGACGGTGACATAGATCGACTCCTTGGCGGCAATGTCGGCACAGGTAGGGATGTAGACCGACAGGGCAGCAATAACGTCGGCGCTCAAGGTAGCAGAGCCGGAGCCCTCACACCAAGCGAGCAAAGAGGTCTTCAGGGAACCGGAGATGTGGGTCTGGCCAGCCAGCCACGCCTTCAGTTGAGCACGAGCACCGGCGTGGATAACACCGGCAGTACATCCCAAAACACCTCCCTCCAGAGCAGCAGCACCGTGAGCGCTGAGGCCAGCCAGGACGGAGACGGAACCGTGGACACCGACGCCGAGCAGGGAGTCGACCAGACCGATGACATCCGCGGCAGCGTCACCGAGAAGACTAGCCAGGAGACCGAAAGTACGACGCTCAACGGCGACTTCGGTAGGATAAGCGAGAGCAGAGCTCGCCAGAGTGGCGAGCAAAAGAAGGTCGGAACGCATAGTCAATGATCAATGTGTTCGGTTTTCGATGAGGGTATCAAAAGTAATGATAGTGAGAGTATAGCAACAATGGCTGTTGAGTTTGTAGTTTGTGTAAATGGATGGATAGGGAATCGATATCCCAAGAAAAAGTCGACAAGATAAAAAGGAAAAAAAAGAATAGAAAGCGACAGTATAGGACGGACCAGAAGCCGTTCCTTTGAAGCAATTAGCGATAGACTGGTGAAGATGGGAGAGAATAAAGAAACACCATACCAGGCGAAGATTCCCGATGCTTATATACCCCTGATCATGGATCAAGAACGAAGAATCACGGATCAGCCATGAGCGAGTGATAGCAGGCAAAGTTGAGTCTTTGGCTCCGTGTGCTCCATAGCAAAGAATAGCACACCCTGAGACGCCCTAGTGCTCTCCACTTTTGTGTTTTCTTTGCCTTCCACAATGCTGCAATCCATCGGAACCAGATAGACCATGGCCTGAAGGGGAATAGACCAGAGTCTGGAGCCCTGCACAAGTTGGTTACCCCGGTCTGGATAGCTCGAATTATGGCCCTCAGCCCACAATTCGAGCCATCCAATGTTGCACGTCCACTGATCCACTGCCCCCTTGGACTTGGCTTTAGCCTCCCGACCTTGGACCTGTTGCCAGGCTGAGTGGAGCGATGCTCATCTCAGCTCGCCAGTGAGCAATCATCACGAGCAGGTTGGTTGCAGCATGGGTGGGAACATCTGCAGCCGGTCGTGCCGTCCAGGTGTGGCGAGGAAGTCAGAGACGGTGTCAGATGGACGGGACGATCAATTGCGATTGTCATACCAACTGCGAAGCCGAATCTCCGTAGAATTTATTGCTGATTTTCCCATGATGGTGGATGACGGTGGTCCGTGGTCACTAGCCAGGAAGGGGGCCTACTGGGCTTCAATTCGAGCCAGTCGAGCCACCCAAGGCTTGGGCCACTAGTTGAAGGCGTTCATTCATTATTGTGGCCGTCGAAAGTCAGTGTTGATGAGGCACGAGAGCCGGTTGAGCGGGTCTCTCCTGCCAAGGCCCAAAGGGGTAGGCATCACGAGGATCCCAGCGAAGCAACGGGGCTTGCATGGAGGATGAAGCGTTGTGCATGCAGTGCGGTCATCTTGGGACTGGGCTACACCCGGACTGCTCCGTATGGCCGGAACATGACCAAGTTGACCCAGCAGGGGGAGGAGATCGTCGAAGACCCACCAACGGTTGACGGACCACGACCCGAAATGCACATCGTCGCCCGTTTTCTTTTTTCCCCTTTTCCAAGTTTGGGGAGTTTTTTTTAGCCCACAACGTAGTCTAACTGCAAGTATGCTGCTTCAAACTTGGGGTCAATACGGAGTAATACTACCTGGTGTAGTAAGGTTACTCCATTCTATCATCCAATCTGTCTCTCGAGCTACTAAATGTTTACGATTCCTACGAGCTTTTGCAGAATATAAGCCGTAGAAAGCGAAAATGGAGCAATTCGATCTGAAACGGGTTCGAGTTGCCCGTTGCAAACGGGTCCGGTGTAGAGCGTTCAGTACTACCGTATGTTCTTCATCTCTCGGTATCGTCTTATACTTGTGTCTGTGTCTCTCTTGCCAAACCCCGCGAGTTGAGAATTTGGGTCAGGTACCAGGCACGCAATGCACGCCCTAAACCTTATTCGGTCTTAGGCCGAGCGAGCCCTGGGCCACTTTTCCATGGTTTTATTTCCACTGGGCCACATACAAAGAGTGAGAGAGACAGGTTCAACTATTTGTCAAGGGATAGTCGACCGCCAAGGACTTTTGGATTCTCGCCCATCTTTGCCGTCGACCTGGTTTGCTGCTCGGGTTCTGAAACGTCCTATTGAGATGGGGGTAAACCCAAAGCGGAAGCAGGGAGGATCTGGAGGAACCCATGGTCGAGGATGGAGTACGTATTCTGCGGTAGCCAAGCTTCAATTCTTGTTTATTTACGTTTCTATTTTCTACTCCACGCGTATCACCATGCAAGAGATGCAAGCAGATTCTCCGAAGAACAGCCAAATGATGGAGATCCTGAGGCGGTCAAAATTCGGGAGTTCCAGCCACCAAATCTACGGCGAGCATGCCATCGAGACTGGTCTGCCAAAAAAAAATAAAAAAATAAAAAAATAAACAAAGCTCCGGCCTAATCACTTTATAATTTTTTTTCTTTGCGTTGGGCTCGAGACTCGATGCTTTTTCTTGTTATCTCAACTACGGGGTAGAGAGATAGGACTAGAGCAAGCCACCGCCCGCATCACAACAATAGTGGTCAATAGTGACCTATCCATGGCCACAAAACTTCGTACGGAGTACGGAGTAGTTCGCACAGAAACAAAACTCCACTGAGAAAAGCCCGGCATTGGTGTCGCAGCTAGACAGCGTAACCCACATGAGAGAAGAGAGACGGAGACATGAACAGCTAAAAAAGTCAGAAACTAAGTCACAACTATTACTGTATGTATTTAGAATGATTTGCCCTAAATTTGGGGCCACTAGTAGGCCCCACCGACGGCCAGGGGAGATCCTGTTACCCGGATCTTCCACATCGGGCTTCTCGGCGAGGGTCTGATTGAAGGCTGATTAGGCGGAATACGGCGTAGTGCTACTCGGAAGCAGAGCCAATTTGAACCTTTTTCGACCCCTTCTCCGACCAATGTATTGACTAATACTTTTTAAGCTTCTTCGCTTCGGCCCTGGTGGCTTCCTACTGGACTCCACGAACTACCTGTGCTCGAGTGAAACTAGCGCGCCGCCACAGGCCCAACACCCCTCGAACGCTTCGGATGGAGAACCGGTTCGTTTGAACTCGAATCCAAGAAGGGGAAGGGATCCAGTTTGGGGGCGATCTTGAGGCGATCGCTGTTTCAGGGCTGCCCAACGTTCCAAACTTCGGCCTTCCAGGGCTCAAAGACATATCGCGACACAAATCGTTGCAGATATAGTGCGCGTGTGAGCTTATTTCCTCCGCGAGGTTCGTCCACACAGGTTCGTGAATGAACTAAAAAAAGAACATTTCGATCGATCGTTGTCGGTGTTGTTCTATGACGGAGTATACTCCAATACCGACGCTGGAATTCGGACTTCGCTAGACATCCGAATGATAGTCTTTCTTTTTCATCCCTTCTCCCCCTTTTTTTTCTGGGCTAGATTGCGAGTAGTCCGATTGCCAACGGGTCAAGTCACAGCGCCAAATTAGCTGCACCGACCTAAACTTTGTTTGCAGCTTACCCATGATGTCGTATCTTCCGTGATGCTGCCCTACGGTCGCTATCCGACTCGAGGAGCAGGTTGCTTATTCCGGGCAATTCAGAAACCAATTTGTCACTGACCATGTCTTTTGTTCCTTTCTTTTGCTGTCTCGTGCAGTTACTGTGAACCCGATTGACAACATTAACCCAACAACCATGACTGTTGATCGATCGCGATTCACCGCTAGAATACAGATCCGCTCCCTATCTTCCTTGCCCAAACTTCGCTGGTCTGATCTGATGATCTCATGGTCAGATCGTCCTAAATTCGCGGAAGATGGTCAAGCCCTTAAGAATCCATTCACGCTATTTTGACCATCTTGTCGATTCTGGCGATCTTCAACCTTCATAACCAGCCTGATCTTCTCAGTGATCTTATCTCGTTACACAAAAGAAATTAATCCTACATGAATACCCTACCTCGGCCATGCGACCGAGAACCGACCCGATCACGAGGATCATATTTTACGTCCTCGTCAAGTGGGCCTTGGCGCGGCATCACATGTACTTCTGGCAAGCTTGTGAACATAGCTCGCCAAAGATTTCCCGCAACGTTGGCAGAGGTAAGTCGTTTCCTTCAGACTTCAGTAGCTTGGAGTGTATTTTTTTTTCAAAGCATACTTTATGATATGCAGTCATGCACTGCGACGCGTTAGCTTCGGTTTCGCATGAGAACGAGGGAGTTTATGTGAGAAATTTTCCATACTTAGATTGGAGAGATCAGATGCACGTTGGGAGTCATGGAATTCGAAAATCGTACCTGTAGTCTTCCTACTTTAGCTTAACTCTAATTTGCGGTCATCTTAGCCGATGCAAGTTGGCAGGGGCTGTCCAAGGAAATTTCGAGTTCTTGGCTCGTTGTTGGAATCAGTCGCTCTAGGCTCCACGAAGTGTGTACTCCGGACACCGTACTGCCTTTACCGCGCAGAGTCATGCCATTGAACAGTACATACGTAGGGCTAGGGCGACCGAGCTGACCCTTTTTATCGTTGCCTATAGTTACCTAGTGCTTCCGTCTAAATCCTACTCTGCATGCTGCCTTTTGCAAGTTGTACGAGATCTATGTGTACTGGCAACCCTGGGAGTATCGGAAGCACGGTAGCGTCCTTAATTTCGAGAGACATTATCAGGTCATATCCATACCTAGGTAGGGAGGACGGGAAACTTACTTAATTTGTATTTCAATGCCATGGGAGCTGTTTGATTTTTAGTTAGTTAGTACAACCCAGAAATCGGAGGCAGGTGGTGGACTGAGTCCAACAGAAGCTGTTGTGCCCAAAAGCCACGCTCCGAGGTCAGAGATACATATCGCGAGGAGAATCTCCCTCACAGCCAGCCCTGCAACTGACGACACGCGCATCTACCTACCCTTGCCTCGATGTAGTAGTCACACATGTAAGATAACTAATTTATCAAGAGTAAAGAATACAGCATGGTACAGTTATATTAGAATAACATATTCCCAAGACGAATTTGTTAGATGCTCATTCTTGGTTACATGAATTGACATGCGTTTGTTCAAGGTTCAGATGGCCACCCTCCGACGAACCTACCTCGGACGGGGGTTTGGAAGGATACTCAGTATACCATTCAAACAAATTAACAACCTCCAAGTATTCCCTGGCTCTGTCAAAGCTACCATTGACACGCAAGGCAGGGCTAGCTTTTTGGTCTTCTTTGGAGTATACACGTCCATCGAGGCATGCCTTGTTGTCCCTGTCTCCATGGCAACAACCGATCACGTGATCATACTGCACGCCGGTTCCCAACTCGCGATGGATCCTCGGGTCGAGATGAGCGGACTTTCCTTTTTGTGAATAACAACAAACATTCGACAACTTCGGGCCACCCGAGGCCAGCATTGATACACGACTTCAATGTAGTGCTTTTCCCGCCATGGCCTCTCCGAATTCCCTCTCGTCCGCCTACAATAACGCCCTGTATCAACAATCGAACCGACCGATGTCCCGATCCGCGGTTTCACGTCCTGGTTCCAGACGGGCCTCTCCAGCGCTCCAATACGCGGAGGCCAAACCTTCCATCTCAAGACATTACACTGGGGACAGCTCAGATGATGAGGTCCCAGAACCAAAGTTTAGCGCCTCGGTGAAAGCGCTTTTAGACGGAGACGGTTTGGGTTCGTCGCCACATCTGCACAAAGCCCAACAACAGCATCAATACCAACATCAACAATCTTACTCATATGAGCGGCGCTCACCGGCGGGGTCGCGACAACATAGCCAATCGCCACGGAATGCATCACCGCACAGTCAATCCAATGGAAGTCCTGCGCCTCGGGTCGTTCGAATTGGTGCTATCTCGTCCTCCTCGAGATACTCCCGCGAAGGCTCTCCGCTTTCGAATAGCCAGAGTGCCGACTCTGAAGCTCAAGACAGACCGAATGACTTTATCACACCCGCTCCCCGACCACGAAGTGTCCGCATCAATGCCTCGCGAAGCAGTAACCGCTCCCCATCGTCCATTTCACCATCGGTGAAACGGTCAACGGAACGCCAACCAGGCGAGGAGTATGGTAGTGGTGATCGGTCGGACAGTGACCGGAAATTGCGTTACGATGAGGACCCTGTCTCGCGAATTGGCACTTCATCGGCTCTGCGCGGTCGCACTGGAGAGGATATTGCGCCCCACAGCTCTCTGCGAGTGAAGCGAGTCGGACGACTCACTGGTACATTCCTGAATGGACCTGCACGGCGAGGCGTGTTGCGTCGGCAAAGTGAAGAGAACAACGAAGACAACTATCTGCTGAATGAAGACATCATTCGTGAGCACGATGAGCCGCAAGCTGCCAATGCTGAATATCGTTATCAGCCTCAACGCTCGGCGAAACCGTCATCACCCAAGGTATCCTGGGCAGAGCCCAGCCCCTCTCACAATGACGATCGACGAGATCAACAACAACATCCTTCCCTTCCAGATCGACCCGCGAGCCGGGCTAGTGGGGAGGGACTCTTCTCGCGATCCTCGTCGCCAAAGTCTTACGTGTCGCAGTCCAAGTCCACGCCGGGGTCCTCAGAAGTGTCTTCCAAATCGTCGAGTGCTAAGGAGCAACCTGCTTTCAAGGTACCGTCATTACCACCTTCACTTCCCTCTGCAAGGGACCAAGAGAATGAGCCTCCGCCAACGTTCAAGCGCGCCAAATCACAGGGCCTCAGTTTGCTAGACAAGCCTGAGAAATATGCCGTCGTTTACGACACAGACAAGAAGGATGCAGCAGCCGAGACACCCGCAGGCAATTCCCCCCGGAAAATCCTTGCAAGTCGAAGCAACAACACTCCGCACCGACCGGCTCCTCCGCCTCCGAAGATGTCTGTTCTTGAAACTGCTACTGCTACTGGTGGTGCTTCTACATCCCAGTCTCGAAAGAAGCGGACCCAGGTTTCGATCAACCACAAGCACTTTACTCGTCTTGACTGTATTGGTCGCGGTGGAAGCTCCCGTGTATACCGTGTGATGGCCGAGAACTACAAGATCTTTGCTCTCAAACGAGTTAATCTGGAAGATGTCGACCCCCTGACCTTGACAGGGTACAAGGGTGAAATTGATCTCCTGAAGAAGCTCGAGAATGTGGATCGGGTGGTGCGCTTATTTGACTGGGAGCTCAACCTGGACAAACATTGCCTCAGTGTTCTAATGGAGATTGGCGAATCTGATCTGGAGAAGATTCTCACCTACCGTCTCAATGCAGAGGATGCTGTTTTCGATATCAATTTCGTCCGATTTTACTGGAAGGAGATGCTAGAGTGTGTTCAAGCGGTCCACAACTACAATATCGTTCACTCTGATTTGAAACCAGCCAACTTCTTGATGGTTCAGGGTCGATTGAAATTGATTGACTTTGGTATTGCCAATGCCATCCAGGACAACACTGTCAATGTTCACCGGGAGCAACAAGTTGGCACACCCAATTACATGTCTCCAGAGGCTCTGGTCGACTCTAATGCATCGCTGGGCCTACCGGCTAGTGTGGGCAAGATGATGAAACTAGGCAAGCCCAGTGACGTATGGAGCCTGGGCTGCATTCTGTACAAGATGGTGTACGGTCAGCCGCCTTTCGCCAAGATCGCTAAATACTACGAGCGTATCATGGCCATTCCCAACCCCCGTGTCCAAATTGATTTCCCCACGCATGGTGTCGGCGGTATTCCGGTGCCACCTGGGTTGATCAAGACTCTGAAGCGATGCCTTCAACGCGATCAGACTCTTCGTCCGACCATTGAAGAGATGCTTGGCCCGCGGGATCCCTTCCTGCACCCCGATGCCCAACTCGAGGGTGCCGTGCCTGTCACGCAGGACATGCTTGGCCGAATTCTGGCCAACGTGGTCAATCACTGCAAGGCACGCGGCGTTCCCACAGAAGAAGAGTTGGCTGCATGGCCCGCCGGCTTCTTTGCAAAAATAAAAGCAGCACTCGAAGAAGAAAGTACTTGAGGTGCTCTGCCGGTCCTTTTACATACTCTCCTTTGTTTCTTATACCTCCTCTGTTCATTTATCCCTTCTTGTTACTATGACCTCATGACCGGTGTTTAATGGTGTTGTCTCTGTTTATTCTTGGCCCCTCCACAACTTCGGGGTTTCATTGGCTAGAAGCTATCTCACAGCTGATCTGACTGAGATCTATCTGACTGTTCTTTACTTTCCTTCCACGTTCTGTTCCCTGCGTCCCTTCTTTTATGTTTGGTTTTGACGTACCCGCCTCTTCCATTGGTGGTATGCGGGTAATGCGTTTTGTCGGAGTACCATAAGCGATGCTCGTGGATTTCAACCTTTTCATGTATATGACTTTCTTTTCGTTCTCTTGTTTCTTTTCATCCACTTGCATTGATTGGCATTTTGAGTCAAGCATTGGGTTTCTCGGAGTTTCGAGCAATTTGGCTGCCTTAATGGTAACCCACGTTTAATATGACCATCTTGTTCCTCTTCCATCAAACAAGTGCTTTACAAAACCGAAGTTCCAGGTCTGTAGTACTATTCATGCCACCTATCTATCAAGAACTTACGTAGGATGCTACCTTGCTATTTTCTGTCATAGTACAGATTGATTTATCATGAACTCATTGTTTGGTGTGCATGTAGCTAAGCTCATCTAGTTAAATACACCCCCCCAAAAAGGGTCGAGCATGCAAGGTAAAATACTTTTTCGTGAAAGAACCAAGACAATATTGTATGCGCCAGAAACACCGAAGAGCGGTTCTCTATCAACCATATGAACCACGAGAAAAACAACCAATCACAGTCATGCCTGGAGAGCATGGGTGGTATCGAAGACAGACGGAGACGTCTGTCAGGAATAAGGAATCAATAGTGGCAGCCTTGTGAGGCGGGCTTTAAACGAGGAGGACACTTTGAAGATGTTAGTGTGGAAAGGAAAAAGAAGGGTCATGGGAGTAGGAATATTGCTTACGCATTGACACAGCCGTCGTTCTCGGGCACGTTGGTGATCTGGGCCCATTTACCCCAGACAACCTTACCGGTGGTAGTGACGAGACCCAACTCCGAGACGTTGACTTCGATGATGGTACCCTTGGTCAAGACACCCAACTGGGTGAAGAGCGGGTTGTTGGGGTTCTTCTTGACGGAAAGGATGGGCAGCTGAACGGTGACACCGAGTTCGGGGCTAGCAAGAAAAAAAAATCATCGTTAGCCATCGTTTCGAAGGGTGCGTCCCAAAAAGAGAGCAGTCATGACGGAAAGTGTCTTCCTCGTTGCTCATGGTTCTTGGAGAGGGAAAGAATGAACATACTGGGTGACGTTGGCCTTCTTGTAACGCAGACCCATGGGACGAATGAACCGCTCGTACTTGACGGGCCGACGGGTGAAATCGTTACCGACGAAAGTAGGCTTGGTGATCATACGCTTCCAGGACTTCTTGTGGGTCTTCTTTCCGGTATTGATAACCTTGAACATCTCCTCCTCACTGATACCCTTCACCTTAGGCAAAGGCACGGCAAACTTGGCCGCCTGCTCCTTACGCTTATCCTTGATAGCACTGGACAAGGCCTTGGCGTTGGTGGCTTGGGATCGGTCGAGCAGGTACTGGGGCAGAGGAGTCTTGGACGGCTCGTCGGGAGCGGCGGACTTGACGTTCTTCTCCTCCTGAGCCTTGATGCGCTTCTTCATCTGAATCTTCTCCTTGTGGCGCTTCTGCTGGTACAGCTTGGCCCTCAGGCCAGTAAGGTTCTGGGCATTAAAGGACTGCTTGTGGCCCTCACGAGCCTGGCGCTTGCGGACACGCTCATCGTGATCCAGCCGCTTACCATGCTGCTTCTGCCAGCGCTCGATATACCTAGAGGGAATGTGTTAGTTGGAGAGTTGGGGGGTGGAAATATCTGGGGCGGTTCGGGGCGGGGGTGCGACGAACTCGTTCTGAGGCTGTTATAGGGAGGGAAATTGGTTAGTTAATCTGCTCCAGTAGGATTTGGCAAGTAAAAGGCCGTAAGACATACCATGATGAACGAAAAATGAGCACAAGTGGTGGGATAAATGTAGATGGGGTTGACCTGCAAGATCTAATCGCAGACCGAAAAAGTTGTTTCTGCGGCAGAGATAGCAGATCATGTGATCCCCTTATCGACCAGCCACAAATCAGATCGATTTTGTTACACACATTGCGAGACAACAAGACGATCAGAAATCGAAATACAAGGTCTAAGAGATATAAAATAATGTTAGAAAAGATTACCAGTCGGTCAATTAATAATTTCCATTCAAATGATTGTCGTTGAGTGACAGACCAAGTATGGTATAAAGACACGTGATCATACGGGGAACCATGCGGCCACAAGCGCAGTTGATGATTTTCTCGAGCAGACCAAGAGCCGCTCTTGCCAGTAACTTGACCAACAAGGAACCATTGATTTCCCGCAATTCGCTCTACGCAACGGGGAAAGGTTCTTTCAAGATGTTCTCACGCTCAGTATTCCGGAGTCTAGCCGCTGACTTGCGGTTGTCTGCTCCGTCTTCTATTTTGTCTGCAGCTCCCCTTCGGCAACGAGCTTGCTTGCACCAAACCGCCCTACTTCGAACACAGCAACAAGAGACTCAGACTCAATCATCTTCTCCAACCCCCGAATCACCATTGAGTGCTACTCCTCGCGCGCAAACTTCCCAGCCCGAGACTCAGAATGCACCCGAGGTGCAATCCTACGACCCATCCTCTCCCTCCTCGATCCCTCACACGCGCGCCGATGTCCCAATTGCCAAGCAACCGGTTGCACCAACCTTCGATTCCCCTCTTGAAGTGACCAAGTCCCTCATGTCGCGCCTCCCGCATCTGGCTGGTCAATCGCCGCATTATGTTGTTGCAGAGCTGCACGCCCGGCCTTACCTCTTAACGGAGGGTGACCATGTCCGTCTTCCTTTCCTCATGCCTAAGGTCAAGACCGGAGACATTCTCCGCTTCAACCGGGCCAGCGCTCTTGGTTCGCGCGATTTCACAATGAAGGGCTCGCCGCACCTCGACGAACGCTTGTTCGAGTGCCGAGTCCGCGTCACTGGTGTCGAGTCGGAGCCCATGCGCATCAAGGAGAAGACGAAGCGGAGACAGCGACACATCAAGCAGGCCCGGAGCAAGCACCGCTACACGATCATGCGGGTGATGGAAGTTCGGGTGAAGACTCCCGAGGAGTTGTTGGAGGAGGGCGCCGTTGTCATTGAGGAGAACGAGGATACCCCTAAAATCGAGGCTCGGTCATGATATGATGAAGGCAATTTGGAGGGGTGAGACACGGTCGTGGATGGCTGATAAAGCTGTTCACCTGTGTCACTCCGGGTGTGACTTGTGACTCGCCGAGATGATGCGTTGATATCTTGCATCATGCTTTTTGTACAGATAGATGGGATTTTTTTTGGATTGATCTCTTGTGCATTGTATTCTATATCTATTTTCAAATCATGTCCATCCAGAATGGGACTTTACAAATATTCGCTATGACCGGTGCTATGTTCTAGCAAAGGCTTCAAAATTACGCCAGGGCAGTGACTGCTGAACGTCAGAGGTCATGAGAACGGATTAAAAGACGGTGGTGTATAGTACGATCTCATATATCGCCATACATATATATTGCTATCAATCAAGATTATTACATTAATGCTTCATCCTTGATATTAGACGACTGTCTTTCGAAATCCTACATTGCTGGAATGCACTCAACGAATTGATCCGTGTTGCTGATATAACTAGTAGGGGTATCACGAAATCTTGAATTTACACTTCAGACCAAACGAAAGAACAGACTGCCTATGCAAAGGACTCTGGCCGTGGGATATACCCTTCAGGGTTTCCACTAGATTCCTCAAGGGTCCAGGAGCTATGGCCATGGTCTTCAATAGTGTCCATCGCTGGAGACGATGACACACGATTGTGTCCCGAGTTCATCTGGGACACGAGGGGAGTAGGAGACGTGGGGGACGCCAAAGAGTCGAGAGAATTCTCCTCGTCTGTCTGCGATCGTCGACCAGATAGAGGGCTTCCTTGAGGAAATTCGGAAGAAGAACTGTCTCTCTTGCGGATACTACTGGCAGAGCTGCCAGTCAACCATCTGAGAAGCGGTCGGATGGTTGGCAGACATGCACAGATAATTCCAACCGACTGTTCGATCGAGGACCAGGTCGATGGTACAACGCTGTCATAGGTGATATTATCCAGAGGGTCGAAATCGAAGCTTGTGATCCGAAGTACGGAAACAACACAGACACTGTTATTTATTAGCAAGTGAAACGAGCAATGGACAAGCAGAGAAGGACTCACAAACCGCCGAGTAGAAATATGCCAGTAAGAATCCACTTTTGTCTCAACGTCGTTTGCAATCGCCACGCCATCGGGTATGGAAGGCATAGAATCAAAACATCGAGGAGCATATTGCCAACACCGTTCCATCGGAAGAAGGCGATCAAGTCAATACACGTTCCAGGAATACTGGAATCCCAGAGCTTAGATACCGGCCTACAGCCGGCTATTGAAACGATCACACAGGCAATGTAATAACCGATCACTAAGGCCCCGGATGCCCAGAGAGCCCAGCGGAATCCTTTCACAACTCCAAAGATTCGATGGTATAGAAGGAGCAAGGAGCCTTTGGTGAGAACGGCATTCGTAAAGTATAAAATTTCTGTAGCCAAGAAACTCTACAGGCTTATCAGCAAATAGGTTGACTTTGTAGATTCAGGGTCCATACCTTGCCCAGGGCTTGGGTTTGACCGGGCGGTGCATGTACATAATGTTGGCCCAAGCCATAATCTGCGATCTGAACCCATCTCGTCGCTGCCAGGGCCCAGTTGATTATCTGTTCCGATGGAAGAATCAGCCTCTTGTACAGCTCGAGTACTAGAGAAGGCTTGTGTACTTACCAGCGCCCCAACAATCGTATAGTCATCCCACCAAAACCCAGCTTTAGCAACGTGTCGAGCGATAAATCGTAAAACCACTACGATAGTGGCAGGTACAATGGTGATAATTGTTCCAACATATATGCGCCAAGATGTGTTATCAGACGCTAGATATTCAATGGATGCCATGCACTTCAATGATCTACCGCCGCAGAACGATGTACGATGGACCGTGCCTTAACCGGAGCCCACGATATTATTTATATATATTCTATGTGTTTTGAAAATTTCATCTTTAAACATTTGAAGAAATCCCTAAATAGTTCAGATCCGAGATCCCTAAGCCACCTGGCTGAGCCTCATGTACTCTTTGATCTCGTACGGCATCACTTCGGCCGGGAGGCGGGAGGAACCGCTCAATGGTACCGAGTACATAGTCAAGAGATCGGGTTGCCGTGTACCGGGCGCTTCCGGGCACGGCATTACCCCGGCCGAAGAACGCATTAGGATAAGCGACGGAGAATCGCCACCATGCCTCCCGCCTTGGACCAAACGGTATATGGGATACCTATTCAGATCTGAGAGCGTCATGGCAAGGCTGTGCAAGTGATAGACGGGTAAAAGGGCTGGAGACGAAGGAGTCTCGATTAGAACCGAACTTGATGATGCCATAGACTTATTTTCATGCCTTCCTGATTAGGGGAGTTGTTTCGTCACGAATCGCTCCATCGGCATCTTCCGATATATCAACCCAAGCACCCATAGCTGAAGGTTTCAAAGTGGACTATGGGGAAATCGTATCAGGGGTTGATATTCTCCATTCATCCAACGCTTGAACGGCGGTTTTATCTATTGTCCAAATTTGGTAAATGGGCCGGTGCAAGGCTACTCCCTAAATGTAACCACACGTGTGCATATTCCTGGCTGTACAGATTGACAGTTTGAGTGTGAAGTCTAGCCGAATGGCATAATTTTGCAAGGAAGTTGTGTACTCATTCGATAGGGAGACTTGAAGCAATAAAGTCATCAAATTAGAGAGATCTCATCAATGGCATGACATCAGATATAGTAGAGTAATATCGTAACATGAAGTTAATTAGATTTGTAGATAACTAGCGAAGCATGATGTGATGATAAGGAACACAATGTGGCAGCAAGACAGCCCCTATGATGTGAGCATGCAAGGCTTAGACAACAATCTCCAAACCAAGCTGATTTTCACAACGTTGAATAGACTCCTTTTGCATCTCAAAGTAAAGATGGAATTCATCCGCGACGCAGGTCCCCAAACAACGCTGGAACCCATCCAGGTCCGGCTCCGCGCTCATAATAAGTTGTTTTGACAGACAGACATTACCCAGATTGGAATTAAAGATGCCTCCCGCAGAAAGTGGCAAAAAGTCTTCGTAAGTAAGAGGCTCATAGGCCAAAATGTCCTGGTCTAGAAGCTGTTGGGCTGATGTTTTTCCCCCGAATTTTGACAGAACTGCGCCATCTTCTGCGAGCTTTTCGCCGGTCGAGGTAACCCGATAGCAGAAATAGGCTAGGTTCTGGTCGCGAAGTTCCGACAAGCTATCGGGGAATGCCCTGAAATGGCTTTCTAAAACCTTATCATAATCGCCTCCCTTGAGATTGTTCTTTGTGGCGTCACCATTGACCTGGTCTAGAATCCGGTCGTACAACTGACGACCCTTTCGTGTCAGAGCATACCCTCGCTGCTCCACTTCTCCAAAACGTGCGGTATGAGATCCTTTCCTGTGGCGATCGAGGGTATCTCGGAAGTAGACTGTTTCTTCCAACGCCTTGAAGCTTGTCTGCCGGAGAAGGATAGGGCACCTTCGTTTGGGAGGCCCCTCTATTCGTTCTTTCGCTGGCATCCCTTGGTTCACCATCAGCTCCTGAACGAGATCGATGTTGATCGTGCGAGGTGTCAAATGATTAATATGTGAACTGGGGAATGAGACGACATCGGCGATAAGGGGATGTTCAGCTTTGAGCTGCATGTATTCATCAAGAGTGACCGTCGCTTTTGAGTGCCAGCGAAATGTTTCTAGTCCATTTTGAATAAACTCGGCGCACTCAGCCGGCGTCAAGGCACCATTCTTCTCGACCAGGTCTAGAAGCTCGAGAAGTCTGGGCGTGAAGATCTTTCGCTGTGCCAATGCTTTCTGTGCTAGTTTCCGCGTCTTTTCCGTCAAAAGTTCCATGCGCAGGACTGTGGTGAAGACCCGAAATGGATGTTGTGACAATGCATCCTGTGTTTTCGGCCGAAACGCTGTAGCATGCATAGGGAAGCCAGCGATGCTCAGGTCATAGTATCCCACTGGATACATGCCCATGACTGAAAACATGCGACGTATCGTACTCAACTCATATGCCGTCCCCAGTCTGATGGCGCCATGCCTTTCTACTCGATGGCGAGAAGGCAAGACGTCATCTGGATTGATAGCTTTGGCTCCTCCTAGCGTCTCACTCGCCCGTACTGTTTGTGCATCCGCCTCCCAGACAACATCGATCAGGTCACCGTAAAGTGGAACCTCACTCTTGTACATTTCTGACAATGCATGACAAAAGTCTGCCCGTAGCGCGTTTTGATTCCAGGTTATGACCATGTTGACTGTTGTTATAGATGCTTCTGTGTCTTATATGGTCAAGCGATAATCAGAAGATTATATTTGAATTAGACGGAAGATATCAGACTATCACAAGGGATGGGTCACCTTATTTATATGATCGCCCCTAATAACTTTCGAAATAGCCGGCTATAACCCCATTCGCCCTCGCCGTCCTTATCCGCGAACTCTCGGATGCCTCCCGTCGGAGTCGCTGATAAGATATGGTACTAGGTATCACCATGGAGCAGCCGATAACAGTGTGGCTTGTTATCTTGTTTCTAAATTCGGCCTTTCCACAGAACTCGCACCGTTTATCCTCGGCATTCTGTCACCCACGCGGGGAATAGGTTGCTGATCCAATTTCCATTACGAAATACAACAAAAAGAGTTATGGCTATTACACCACGTCTTGGGGAAGCAAGGCGCTTTGCGGGGATATTGTCTGGCGTACAAGCCAATAGGATGTAGGTCCGTCCGAAACGATCGTGACCGTGCATCTCTATCGCCGATAATCGCCGTGTCGCCGATGCAACAAGTCAAGATTACCTTCCCTGAATGCACTTTGGTTCCTCTTGAGATTCCTCTTTTGACTGCCTGCTCTCAAATAGCCATGTAGTAATGCAACGTTGAACTTTCAGGTTCTCGATTCTCGTGAATACTAGCTACATTATGAGATAGACATGCACTATTTGATCCAGTCTAGAAGCTAATCTCGGTTCGTTTCATGCACATCTAAACAGAGAGGGAGAAAAAACACGTCCTTTATGACCTATCGTGTCGGTACTCGTTTCAAGATCGTATACACCGTTGCCATCGGTGTCGCGAACGAGGCCACAAGCAATCGTTGGCTCACCGGAAGTCCCATGGCCAATGATAGACTCAACATATTCGAACAAGTAAGCCCCTCGCTGTGGAATGGACCTAGTACGGATGTTTCGGTTCCACTGGGAACAGCGGGGTATTAAATGGCCTCAACGAGAGCCGATATGCTAGGATATTCGACAACAAGACGAGCTCCGGACGGACATGGGTGAAGATCTGATCCAGCTGCATCGGCTAGTCCATGTGATGCTCTTCGAGAAATTCTCCTGGGTCACCTACAAGCGTGAGAACTTGTCAGACTTGCTCTCATTCATCAAATAGCAAGTTTGCATCCCGGCCATAGTCATGCGAGGCCTTCACAAGCTAGTAATCAGATATCGAAGGCGCGGATTGTCGCACATGGAGTTGATTTGCATCACAATTTCAGTGATGTCTTCGATGGTCAAGTCCAGCATAGGAGGGAGGCGAGCCGCAATGTCCTCTGGGGAATCAGCAGCTCATTTTTCTTTGGTGCAATCATTAACACCATCCAGTGCAAGATCCTCGATGGGAATTTTGTTCTCATTAGCGAGAGATATGATGAAGAGAATTGGATGGTCTGACTAACCGACCTTATCGATTCTCAATAGAGAGCTTTATACGTTCGTATTTCAGCCCTTTCGTACTCTATAATACCCTCAGATCTGAACAATGCTCATGTATTCCGTTCCCTATTTCCCCGCATTTCATGTTTCTTTGTACGCAGAGAGGTCTCTTCGAGGGCGTCTGTGGATCCCATCGTCTATCCGACGGATCCCAGCTTCCGTCGGAACCCGGCCTCTATGTCATAGATAGATAGATACCCTCTCAGATTGTTGCTAAATAGGCCATATAATATTCATTTGGGCCTTAAAAAAATGCTCCGAAAGTATTGTATATCAAGACATCAATCTATCGCTAGGCATGTATGGAATATGCCTGTGGTTTGAGCTATACTCGGTAGCCGAAGGACTAAACGGCAGCCAGGCCCTCGCTGGCAGCAATGAGGAAAGTCCCAGATAGTAAAACCTAATTCTAGAAAATAATATATCAAAATCATAGAGTACATCAAAACATTCATAGAAAATTACCCCGGACCCCACAAGACCCCGCGTTCAGGATCATGGAGGAGCATGGCTCATCCGAGAAGTGGCGGTCGGTTCGGCAGTCCTTTTGCCGCTTTTGCTGGATCACCACGATCCGTCGCAATTGCTTCCCAACAACGACCCCCGACGAAACAGGAGGTATTGCCATCTGTCACGATAGTATCAGATCTTTGATGCATTATGGATCCTGTCAAGGCCAAGGCACGATGGGCATCGCAGCGTCGCGTGCCGAGAGCTTCACGCGCGTGCGAGACGTGCCGCTCTCGCAAAACCAAGGTATCCGATATCCGTCGAGCTCATTTTGATGATCACGATGACCATTGGTGAAAAAAAAATCATACTTATTCATTTGTCTAGTGTGACCAAGCACAGCCTTGCTCATATTGTGCCTGTAAGTTTTCTAAATTGCAGTATACACGCAAGGGACAATACAAGAGAGCCAAAGCCTAACAAGTGGTACAGATCATTCATTTGACTGTATTTATCGCACCTCTAGTGGTCGTGGGCCAGCTAGAGGATCTGTATCTGAGAAAAAGCGAGTCGTCCGAAGTTCGCATCAAAAGTATGTTATCCACGAACTCTAACTATTCAGCTACATATGACAAATTTTGTCCATTTGCTGAACTGCATCAAGTCAGGATAAAGCTGCGCGCCCATCACCATGGCCCGGAGCATGCCAGAGCAATACTGAGACAAACCCACATTCTCGAGAAGCCGTAATTCCCGGGCCTTCTTATCATCTGTTGGGAGAGACAATTCGCAGATCAGATTCGGCTGAGCGGAATCCTGCCACTCCGGACACACTAACTGCCTCATCGATACAAAATGACGAAACGCCCAGTAAGTCTCTCTCAACTGATCTTTGCAAAAATACTAATCTTACCCCATACCCAGCTGTGCACTCAGAGATCGGCGATGCAGAATCTCGAGACGGCTTGAGTGGAGTAAACATTCACACCAAAGGAACTGAATTCTACGGCAACTCGTCAAACCTAGCATTCCTAGGAAACCTCTACACAAGAGCAAAGAACCAAGCAGACACACGTGCTTTCGAATGTCCAGCTACAAGGTCCTATACGACAGCTGCTACAAACAGATCACAACCACTTTCACCTGCAACCGTCACAGGGGTAAGGCCGCTGTCTAGCAAGGCACAGCTTTCCATCGTGAACTTGCTGTACAACGCAGACTACACCGGTCAACCTTCGCCACAGTCACTCAACAGTGTCGAATGTGCAGCGAAAAGCAGTCCTTCATTCACCGCCGGCCAAGACGATGCCGGTGCTGTCAATAGTGGTAAGTCCTGATCTACTCTGCCACCACGCCCGAACTGAGAAAGCTTCTACTCACTTTTCCAATCAGCCCAAGATATCAGTCTTCCCGCTGTGTTCTTCAATCTATCAAACACAGCTCGACTTGAGATTGAAAAGATCTTCATCGGCAGCTACTTCACCAACAAGCACTATATTCACCCCGTCCTGACCAAGGGTTCATTCATGCGCCGCTGCGAACGGGAAGCATGGCCTATTCCCAAACGTACCCCTCTCTTCCGTGGTGCTGTCAAATTTGCCGGGCTATACTTTGCCGTCGTAGCGTTGGGCGCGATCAATGCCAGTCCGAACGAGACGGCCCTCCTCGACCACTTTTGTCAGCAGCTCGAAGATGCAGATAAAACGGTTCCGCCTAATACACGATTTTCAGCCCTGGATTTCGCCAACTTCTACTTTGACATCGCGAAGCAGGCACTTGGTGATCTATTCGAGAGTAGTTGTCTTGAGACTGCGCAGGCGCTTTTTCTCATGGTATGTCATCTCCGAGAAGAAGTTGGTTTTAGACTGTTACTGATAAACTATTTCAGAGTGTGTTTCGTCAGAACTCGTTGCAGCCGCATAGTTGCTACATGTATAGCGGGATGGCTGTGCGAACAGCGGCAGCTATCGGGTTGGCCTCGAGTATGTCTTCTTTGCCTCTGCCTATGCGGATGGAAGCAAAGCGCACGTGGTGGTATGTCCGTCTATATCCCTGTCTATAAGTCTATGCTAACATCTCCTTAGGTGTATCTACTCCCATGAGATGTAAGTTACTGTACCGCGGTCGAGATATCTATGTTCTGACGTGATCTAGCGAAATGTGCTGTTCCTCCGGACGACTAGACAGCATGAAAGATTTACGCTACTATCAGGTTTCCCTGCCAAAGCTCAAGGTAAAGCAGTCTCCAACAGGCACCATGCTCTCACAATCAAACAGCAGACTTTTAACAAAACTCCAGGTGAACGTCGGCTCCCTTGAACCCGACGCAGAAGACAACGATATAGCCATGATCCCCACAATGGTCTCTCTCGCACAGATAATGTCCGAAGCCTCCCACCAACTCTACCACTCAACGCAGCGCTCAATGGGCGAAAAATCCCGACTCGCCATGACCCTAGACGCGCGTCTCTTAGACTGGAAAGCGAATATACCGTCCTTTCTCAACCCAGATGCAACGACACTAAATGATCCCGAATGGGCATTCAAACAGAAACTAGTCCTAAGACTGCGTACGTTTTCTCCAACAGGTTTGATCTGAACTCGTCGAGTCTATTTTCAGTCCTTAATCATTTCTTGGTTATTCTCTAGGATACTATAACACCCGCATCTTAATTCACAGACCCTTCCTCGTCGCGGCAACGTCCAACACGCACTCCGACGAGTTCCGTCACCATCTTCATATATGCCTTGAAGCAGCGCGGAACAGTATCACGATGCAATACGAATCCTTCATGCATCGAATTTACATTCGAACTTGGTACGTAGGAGCACCTCCAGCCTTACAACCCTTTCAGTCTTGCCGAGTGATGAGATTCTAAACTTTTGCTCCCCAGGTGGTACAACACTACCTACGCCCTCTACGGCTCGATGATCCTTCTCCACCTCATTCTATCTAATTATCCCAATCTACCAGACGACGAACTCCTCGAAGATGTGGAGAAGTCATTGCAGATCTTCGAGTCGATGGACGATATCGTCGTTGCTAGACGGTGTGCCGAGATGTTGAGAGAGGTACTCGAGGTTGCCGGGACGTGTCTGCTAAGGAGGCGGCGTGGGGAGAACGGTGGTGTGGTGGATCGTAGAGGGTCTGGACTGGCTGTCACTGGCTCTAGCTCTGGGGCTGGGATTGATGCTGCATCTGGAGCGAAAGCGAAAGCTTGCGAGTCGTCTGATGGGTGTACGCCGCCCGCGATTGGGACGGGTACGGCTTCTTTCGCGTGTGGCGGCTCTTCGTCTACGACTAGGGTGTCGCTCCCGAGTCTCGATGTGGACGCACAAGCATACGGCTCGTCGGGTGCTCCTGCCCTGCCTCTCGAGAATATGATCACCAGCGAAGGACTGGATGATCGCTCTACCGAGGAAGATTTTTTTTTCTCCCTCTTCAGCCAAGATCCCGGCCAGCCACCAGACCGAACACGCACAGAAATGCTCGCAAACCTGGTCGATCCGTCTATACTGGAGGATTTCGCTTTTGGCCAGGAGATGTCTTTCTTCTAGGAGGCTTCTACCGGAAAACAGCACTCTCAAGGTTCAAGAAAGTAATATCATAATTCGTTCATAGCCCAATCTATGCTTGTCCAAGTCTATACAATCACTTAATCCCATATCCAGTGGAATATCCAATTCCAAGTATCCAAATATCCAAATGTCCAAATGTCCAAGCAAAAATATCCCCGGGCGTATCAACATTAAGCAGAACAAAAAATCAGACCAAATAGAACAGTTCCAAAACAAGCAGGTGCTGATATCGTAATTGTAGAGATCCTGTTCGCGCTTTTGAGCGGGCAGGGTGGTGTGGAGAGTATATGCAATTATGCAAAGAGGTATTCAATCATGCGCTTTCATCCGAGGAAGAGTCCGTAAACGCCGAAGATGTCGTGAGTGTGTCAAGAACACAAAGGTGGTGGTAGAGGTAGAGGAGAATAGAGGACGTAAAAGAGAAGAGGAGATAGAGGGTATAACGATCATCGGGCAGAGGCAATTTAAAGAGGTGTCTCATCGTCCTCCATATCACTGACGCTAGTCGCCGGCGAGGCCAACCCAGAGATAACCGACGAGCTAGCTGCCCTGCCATGCATATCGACGTCGCCCATAGCCTCGTCATAGTCACCGGGGCCTATCATCGGTCGCGAGGGCTGCTTGGCTGAACTGGCCATCAGCTCGTCAATACCCGGTTTAGCGGGGACATGCTTATCCAGCATCGTCGCGTGGTCGAGGCTTTCCAGCGCAAAGCCCATGAACTCGGCATTCTTATGGGACACGCTCAGCGTCCAGCGGTACTCGCATAGCCGCACACGGTAGAACTCGGCCTCCTCGTTGGTGGGCGCCGTGATGCGCAGGAGCATGCCGAACGAGCCAATCAGTGAGAAGTTTGTGCGCGCCGAGGCGGGCCAGAATGAGCGCAGGTGCGCAGGCCGCAGTCGGTTGACAAAGTCCATGGCCGAGATAAGTCGTGTCTTTGCCGCAGAGCGACAAATATGTGCGAGGTAAGAGTCTGTACCGTCACCGGCCAGCGAGCGCACGATGCAGCGGTGCAGGGTGATTTCGGTCGCGAAATAAGCCAAGTGCAGAGCGCCGTTGCGGGCGTGTTCATCGGTGATGGTCTCGACCAGCTCGCCGCTGGAGGACTCCATCTTCAGCGCCGCTGGTAGAGAGGAGAACCACTCCTTCAACCGGATCTGTGCAGGCTTCGCCTTATCCAGGATGATGCGAGTGCGCTGGTTGCCGGCAGCGCGGAAGTCCTCGATCGCTTGAAGCGTATAGAAACGGTCCAGGATGTCGGAGAGGATGGTCGTCAATGCAACCATATGGCAAAAGAGAAGAGGCCCATGGCCCACATCTCCATTGTCATGGACAGAGTCCGTGCCAGACGCGAAGGCGTCCGAGAAGTCCTGCTCCACGAGATCCTTGACGGTCCAGTTGAATGCGAAAATCTGCGAAGGGCGGCCATGCACAAGCGAAGACCATTTGTCCTGCATGTACAACGCCCAGGCCAGACGTTTGCGTAAACCCTTTTCCCAAGTCTTCATCCGCCAGTTCGAGCAGTCCTGGTGCAGACCCAGCTCGAAGCTTGCCGTGACAAGCTGTCCATTCAAGGACGCCGTCGCCAAGGTGGATTTTTGCGTCAATAGCAAACCCGCCTGGATAGTCGAGATACTCGGGGAGGGCAAGGACTCGATCAACAGCTTCAATGCCGTACTCTCCAGTCGTGAAGCATCGGGCCTCCGTGCCGTTTGCGACGTCACACCGACATCCACGAACTTTAATGTCAACACGTACACGGCGGCCAGCAGCAGCGGCGATAATTGTCGACGCTCACGGTATGACTGGCGGAATGCATCTTCCATAAGAATGGGGAATGAGGGGTGCACATGCTCAAAGAATTTTTCAATCAACGTTGACCCGTACGGAGCGACCAGGCTCTCGATAGCGTCCAGCGACACGGCCTGCGAGTCGCCGATAGGCACAGTGTTGACAACCCTCATGAAGGTACAGTCGTCTGCGCACCGACGGATGCGCGCGGCGGATACGGTACACTCGTGGTACTCATCCAATGGGAGATATTCAAGTAGGGTGGGCTCCAGCTCCGTGGTCATGCCAATGTGCTGAGTGGTTTGGTTGAAGAAGCCCGAACGGATCATGGCTTGGGTGTGTTGAGGGCGAGGGGCGTCACTCTCAGAGGTCGAATGATTTGGTTGGACAGTGGAGGGTCTGAATTGATAGAGTTAGTGCGAAGCTCTTGATAAATACTTCCCACCCAAAAGTAGCACCGGAATGTGAGATCAGCATCAATTGCAACCATACCTTTTTACAGATTCTCCAATCTCCCGCGCAGAGTCGTCCAATTTCCTTTTCTTCGTCGGAGCTTCCGCGGGGCCTCCAGATAGAGTAAAAGTGCAATCCTGGCGATGGAAGTCGCACGAGTAGCACTTGTTGGTGATGTCATTCATGGCGCAACGACTCTTTCTACGAAGGCAGGCGTCACAGCTCGCTCCATCCCGTCCTGGGACACGGGGTATATTGGATTGACTGGCAACCGGGGAAGGTGAGAGAGTATTGGGTGTGGTAGTGGAGGAAGGGGGAGCACGACGACGTAGATGCTCGGGGGGCGAGTGGTGAGCCTGTGAATAGACTGGTGAGGCAGCCGAACCAGCCGTGGGAGAAGGCTGGATGGTGATGACGGTGGCCATGGGAGGTGGATAGTGGGAATCAAGAGGTTTATAGATAAGAAGGCTTAATAGCGTAGTTGGGGGGTGTCAGGTACCGCCGGGGGGGTTGCTAGCGGGGCGGGCCCGGGGCGGCGGTGGGAGTATTCCCACGGAGAGATAATGGGAATGTTGGGGTACAAAGATAGATAATTGATGGGCTGCGATTCGTGAAATCGAATTCGTCACGTAAGGGTCCTCGGAGGTTCAGTGTTGGGGCGTCTTTGAATCCGGGGAGGCGCGGGAATAGCGAAGGGACTGGACCTTCTAGTCACTCCACAATCCGGACTGGGGAGAATCGAATGCTGGGATTGGGGGGAGGGCAGAAGCAAGAGGAACAGCTCCAAGCCACTACGACAGTTAGCCGGTGGCCATGAATCGTCGTCATTCGTGGGCCATGTATGGAGATTGGACGATTGACCATTGATGATGAGGAGTGGGAAGGGTAGAGATAAGGGAAAAAGCGTAAGGGGGGTCCGCGTACAAGAGCTTATCAGGACGAGCCACGAAAAAAAAAAAAAAGGATTATCTCCGACGATCAGAGTACTCCGTCACCGGAGAAAGCAAAAAGATGGCAGGAGTATCAAATATTCGGTATTTCAAGACTCTCCTGGGTGCACAAGTAGTATATACCTTTCCTTTTGTAAGGATGGTATAATAGCAGAAAAATAATAATCGAGGATGGAAAAAAGAAGAAGAAAAGGAAAAAAAAAAATTTAAGCAATAATCAGTCAGTTCAACCAGTTCTATCAGGCCGATGAGCCCGCTAAAGACTGCAGCAAGATGAGATGGCGGATCGTTCGCTCCGTCATTCCTACACCTAGCAGCTAGGTCGACGCGTGCAGAGTGCCGGTTGCAATTTGCTGGCCGTCAGGCATAGGGTAGAAGCAGTTGTCGGAATAGTTTGGTAGTTTATAGCTTTGTTGTTTGAAATCCCGCAATCAAGCAGCCGAAGGAGGAAAAATAGAAGAAAAGAGGTCGTCCCAGTGATGACATCGACTCGAGTATATACTACTCGGGAGGTGGACAGTAGATCGATCATAATTGGGATCTTAGCCGTGCAGCGTTTCCGAGTCCCAGACGATCCTCTTTTCGGTTTCGTAACAAGAATCGGCTGTAGCCAGTCCCAGCCAGCTCCCGAGGATTCAGAGCAATAACGATGAATAATAATTAGGCGGGCGCAATTGTCATCTCTGATAAGTGGCCTCCTCCTGATTGGCCGGCGGAGATGAGCCGCCACCATATTACGTACGGGGAATCCGTCTTACCTAATCATCAACGTGGATCCGCGCCTCGTGATTGGATCGTCTTACGCCGTTCAAGGGGGTTGGATCTGAATTACCTGATTCATTCCCTTTCGTTCATCACGGAGCACGGCGTAGGGAGATGGCCACTTGTATGATGATGATGATGATGATGATGATGAATCCCATGATTGCTTTCCTCCGTGCTATCGCCGAGTCTAATTCCCTGCATGGATGGAGTACGGAGTACATACGGCTTATAACTAACTATGCGGATGGGATATTTTAGTCACGAGCTGACGACGGAAGAACCTAACTAACTACACTGATTCATTCAGACCCTCGAACTCACATGCACCATCCCGCCTTTTCACACAGAACTAACCGGCCTGATCAAGAATGGAACCAAGAATCGAGACTCGCCAGGGACCGAGCATCCCATTACAATCTTCTCCGACGCGGAATTCCCCCAGCCAAGAACGAGAGTCCCCCAGATTGGGCTCCAATTTGCCATCTCCTGTAGCAGCCGAGGCCCTTTCGCTTGACTGTAACGAAGTTCCCCACCCAATCAGAGATCTCTGATAACGGCTACTTCCATGGCCAATCACAGCATCCTTAACGGATGAGCATTGCAGAAAGCAGCCCCAAATCCATAAAGTCAAAATCCACATCTACTTGTGGGGAGCCCACCGATCAACGGGAGGAGAGATGCACCCCAAGTTCCAACCTCTCCGAAACCGTACACTTCCCAGCGGGCCTATAGGAACCCTCCGTTCAACTGCTTACTCGATGGGGCCACCGCCGCGGTACTGTCGCCTGGACAGGTCGTTCGTTTTTGGTTAATTTGGGACTCGAGACGCCGAATTCTCGCGTTGAATGGTTCATCCGCCTTGACGAGTTCGTGATTCTGTAGGTTCACGTTCAGTCGATACTCATGCTTACATAACTCTACGCGAAAGGGCGTCCACGGAGGTGTGCGCCCAGGCACACTGTGCTCCGGTGGCATTTCTCACGCCCTGCAATGAGTTTAACGGTGAGGGACCCGCTCGGTGGAACCCAAGGGGCCCCACGGAGACGGCCAGTTAGTCCCCGGCCCATGTGCTCGCCTTCCCTGTAAAACGCTTAGCCCCGAGTGGCAAGGGGTGACCTCGGGATGGACCTGCTCTGGGCATGAATTGGCTCGAGAATCGAGATTTATACACAAGTGTATACACATTGCGGTATGGGTTGTAATAACGCGGAGATGATAGAATTAACGCGGGGTCTTCGGACTGAATATCAATTACGTAGACTTTCCATCAAAAAAGGTCTACGAGTGTATGCGAGGGGAAGCGTGACGAGATATGTAGTACGGAGGACTGCATTGAGCGAGCATAACTCCATGCACGTTCCCACGTCTCCCCGAGTACTTCATAACCAGCAACGAGGGTCCTATTCAAGGAGAGCAGTTGCAATTGGTAAGCTTAAGAGGCACTGTGATTTGGTTACGGTATCGGCTCTATGTGCAACGCTCCCTCCATCCGCCCGGAAATCCTCCAGGGCCCCATGAATCATTTCCATACGCCCCCCCCCCCCAAAAAAAAAAACAAACTCCATATGCCCAACGAAAAATGTAAATGAGATATCAACGCGGCCAAACATGTATGCCTGAAAAAGCCAATACACTGGCGACAAGCGATGGGCCCCGAACGGTACTGGTAGTGCCTTTTGTTTTCTTCGTTTCGACAGCCCATGACATGCGTGTCTACTCGGTGAAATTCCGCAACTTGGTCAACTCATCCAGCAACTCTTGCAACTCGCTATCGGAGATTTTGTTCTGCAAACTCGGAATGAGTGACTTGGCCTCCTCGGCATTGTCACAGCATAAACTTCCTAGAAAGAAAGAAAACGGAAAGACCCTGTCAGTACAACCTCACGGACCAATTTGACAAGGTATATATGTGCATAGCCACAATCTTCACGAGAGTTCCCGAATATACCAGGGGTGTAATCTTCCGACAGCGGCGATTTGCGGGAAATTGGCTCAGCCCAGGCCGGGACCCTAACGCAGCACTCGGCCAGCACCAAGCCAGACGCGAAACGCCAGGCTCAAGCTTAAGCTTCTCGGTGTGTCACTTATGTCACTTACCCAATTGCGACCGCTCGAACATCTCCAATTCCGTATGCGAGTTCAACAACCGCTCCACCGCCTTGATGTTCTCCTCATCCTTGAATCGCGCGAAAATATCCAGGTAGTCCAATGTCTTGGTCAGGTTCCTATACAATTGACGCAAACACGCAGTCAGTCACGTTGCTCCGCTATCATCGTCGCATTGTCGCTTGTCGTGGTGTCGGGCCGGTAGATCTAATCTGGCCAGTCACGTAACGTACTCTGGCTCCTCGTACTTGCTTCCTCCGCGGCGCTTGTTCTCCAGAACCTTGTGGATGACGAGACGAGCTTCGGATAGAGAGAGGGTATGTGTGTTCTGATCAGCGCCGAGCTTGAGCGTGGAGGCGGCCTCGAGCTCGCCTTGCGGGAGCGCGCGCTTGCGGTGAGTTGCGGGGGGAAGTTGGACGCTCATTGTCCCTGTATCCGTGGAGAGTCGATGTAATATGAGGCGTAAGATCGATTGTTAGAGAGATCTTGAGCAGAGCGGACAGAGTATTTGAGATGGCGGGGTCGTTGGCAGCAGTTTGGTGGGCTCTGAGGCAGTTTGGGATGTTGAAACTGTGCAGGTTTGCGCGGCAAATTGAGGGCGGTGAGAACGCCGCCTTTGGATTTCCTAATCGGGCATAACATAACCCGAGGTTTTGACTTGCGAGAGATACGAAGGTATCTCTTACTTCATTGAAGTGGATATTAAATTTCTTTCAGTTCACAGTATTTCAGGGTATCAAGTGGTAAATTTTTGTCTATCTCCATTTTCCCACATATAAACAAGGGATTTTTAAACGCCTCTCATGCTTCAACTATATACCTCTAAACCTTACGGAATGCGACCTCCGGCGGGAGGCGGAAGCTCGCGCAGAACATCTGCTTCTTGGGGCTGACAAGTCGAACATTGAATATATCGAGTTCGATCGCAGGGTTGCCAGTGCCTCCAACCCGATCCTCGGGAGTGATGGTAAATCCAATGCGCTCGGATACCCGCTCGCAGATATCCTTGTGGTCATCCACCTCGTTATCGGAGTTGCCCGAGAAGCAGTAGACGTGCACCATCGGAAGAGTCTGAGAAGTGTGGGGTGTGAACAGTTCCTCCTTGCCAGTATAGAGACCCTGGAACGCATCCAGGAACTCGATGGCAGTCGCGGGCAGGTTCATAACGTAGTGGTCGACAAACTGGGGGCGGATATATTTTTGCTCCGGATCCTGCTTGATCGCCGCGCCATCGTTGCCCTTGCTCTTCTTATCCTTTCTTCCTTTGGGCTTGGGCGCGATGGTGACAGTCACGGGATCAGTCTCGAGGAGCGACTTCGCCGCGAAACGGATGAATTCGCGTCCATCTTTATTGAATGGAGTTACAAAGTCTTGAACCTTGTTGCGCTTGGTCGCATCTTGCATCACCTCGTAACCATGGGGATTCAAGTCATTGGCCCAGACAAAGATTCGCTTCCGTCCAGCAGGCACGGCGAAGGGACCAACGCCTGCCATCACGTCGCAAACCATCTGACCAGGCTCGAACTTTTCCACGAGCCGGCGGTGCTCGGTCTCCAGGCGGCTGTTCCAGTAGACACGGGAATAATCGAAATGGAACTCGCAATCTTGTTCGTGCTGAATGACATTCAAGTCGTTGTCACCGGCAAGCAGCTCGAAAGGGAATGTGCGGAATTGGCTGTGCGAGCCGACATCTTCGGTCTTGTTGATCACAGTGCGGACGGAGGGGTTTTTGTCTTTGAGAATCTCGGCAATGATGTACCTGTATGGGAGCCAATGCTCTCGGAGATTCAAGTGCACTGCAGTTTGGTGTTAAATCTAATGCGCCTCGCTTGCTTGGTTATGGTGGGTTGGGCAGAAACGTACAGACGTGCCCCACCTGTGTGAACCCTTGGGGGACCTCTTCCATTTCCTCCGGGAGAATGGCACTGGCAATCTCGGCTATGATATAGTTAGTTTCAGGAGATAGATGTAAGATAGAGGTCAGTTGGCCATACCATAGCTCCAGTAGTCATACTCCAGCTCCAGATCGTATGGAGACACGTCCACAGCACCCTTCTCAACGAGTTCGTTGATCACCGGCGACCAAGTTGTCTTGTCTATCATCCAAATCAAAATCCATACACGCAAACAGTTGTAAATTGGCCCCGCGCTCATCCATCACCCACCATCGGCTTTGACATCCTCCCGTAGCAAAAGGCCTTTGCGAACTACCCCATCTTGTTCCTTGAAGTCGCGCACAACGTTGAGACGGGGTAGAACCAGTAGATCGCGATTCTTGCCGAGAGCCTGGCGGACGCTTGAAATTTGCGATTTCTCGAAGATCTTCGCGGCAGCAATGGGCACGGTTTTGCGGAAGAACGATCGGTCGAGCGTCTTCATGGCGCGGTTGACGGGTGGGCGGAACATGGCGGGCAGTTCGCGGGGAACCGGTTGGAATTTCTCTCTGCCTGACTCCATTGACAAGAAAGGCCTGCACCTTGCGGGGAATTCGACGAATTGCCAAGGTGGTTGCTTGTTGGGGAGAAAGTTGCGATTCGAGCATCGGAGATAATTTGTGTTGCAGGTCCTTATCGGCCACGTGATGGTCCTTATCAGTCGATCTAAATGCTGATTATGGCATCAATTAAACCCTCGATGGTGTAGTTGGATATCACGTTCGGCTGTAATGGATCCACATATAACCGAAAGGTCACCGGCTCGATTCCGGTTCGAGGGAACATTGATCTTTTTTTTTGCACGATCAAAATACAGTCTGTAGCACAAGACCACAACATCGCCCATGGATTCGGAGGTGGCCTAATACTGTACGAAACATATAGTAACACGGAAGCTTATTTTCAATCGACCTCCCACAGATGCAGGATGTATAACAGTCCCTAAGATCAATCAATCAATGCAAAAACAAAAACATACAACAGCCAGGATTCGCATGTGGTCACCCACCATACTACTAACTGGCCGGCGTGTGGTTTAAGTACGGCTGAGCGGACGGGAAGCCCTGTTCTCCACACCCTATGGTCGTATGTGCTAGATTAGGCAGAATCAAGAGATCTATGGTGATGTTGAAGATATATTGAGTATCACAGGGCGGCCAAAATCAAAGGTAGATACCTCAAGGGAAGGCTAGTAGTAAGCACGGTCCGGCCTAGCCTCACATCTGTCGCTTCCCGAACATGGATGGCCGAGAGAGGTATCTCTCAAATGGCTTCGTAAAAGGACCTCATGTTGATACTTTTATTATTCTGTATGAGGTTTCATGAGGGTACATAGCTCATTCCATGTCTGCTGGTCGAAATGACGAGATTGTATATTCACTCTTGAAACCAGTGTTCTGGGTTATCGACAGCCATGCTTGGCTGAAAGGGTTCTATGTAGTCTCCAGGTTTCCTTCCAGGTCACTCCTCTGGAAGTTCGATGATTTAAAATTGCATAATCATATGCTTTGTTGTTAGAATATATCGAGTCACGAAATTCTGGCTAACAAAGCTAACCGATGCACAGCAAATAGATTTAGACTTTGCATATTATCATCATTACATATCTATTAGCCCATGGAAAGCCGGGCCTTGATAATTCGCCGCATATCTAATCTAAGAAGCGCCATGTTTTCACTCCCACCTCTCAATAGAAAGATAGACGCGTGGCATAGACTCGTTGATGCCGGCCACAGTAGAGACAATGGCATGACACCATTGGTTACAATATACGCTAAAAAACGCACCATAGCCAAGTCAGTCGCGATCAACAATCGAGCCACTAAGTTAAGTCTAGACATTGTGCTAAGAGAATAATCCCATCCTCCAGGCCAATGACTGCTGTCTGCCTATGTTCGAATGGAGAGCATTAGCTTATTGCTTATGCCCGGCGCGACTTTGGAGGTACACATCTCTCAGGTACATACCTTCCGCCCATGGATGTACGACTTCGGGCATGCTGATGGAATCACTGCAGCACACCTTCTTGAAGAAGAATAGTACGTACGCGCCACATCGTAACATTAAACGCCACCCGACGAAGAGTGAAATGGACTCTCCGGAGCACAAAAACTCCTTCACGCCGCAGCCAGCGCCCATTCTTCAGCAGACAGCGAATGAATTATGCTCTTGATAAGCCCCCGCCCCACCTTGGCTATTTTCCTTGGCTGGGAAGTCCGGCTTAACCCGCCCAAGTGGCTGTAATTGTGTCGCCTAGGTGGATCTAAGCAATCAGCGATGCATCTCGGCAAAGCTTCTTCAGGCCAAGCTTCGTGAAAGATTCGCCGGCGGACTCCGGAGTTTACCCAAGCGAGTAATTCCCTGACGATCGCTATCTCTCGCTCACTCACAACAGAGCCCCCACGTCTAATCACAATGCCCTTGTTTGCGCCGCGGCAGGAGAGGACATGGAACGGCTTTCAATTCATGGCACTGATAGGTCTCCAGGCTGGCTGAATTGGCCAAAGTCCAAACTGGTCAAGTCTTTTTTTCTACCATTCTAAATGCCGCAAGGTAAGCTTGCTCAGCAATGGGGTCATTTGCACCACCGATGACAACCTCCACAAACGATGTAACGTCTGAAATGCGGAGGCCCGCCGGTCGATTGGTATTGATAGTTTCTCCTCATCACACTATGTGAACACACCTTGTACTTTTACGGTTAGGGCATGCATCTAGCTAATTTAATTCCGTGATCGCGACTTACAAGTAGATAAATAGAAGTGCTGATCCCTACCTTTCTCTTTTCTCTGATTCATTCTCATCTGTAGAAGAAACTTGAGCTTCTAGAGCATCCATAATGCACTCCAACGTTTATGCTGGGCTGCTCTGCGCCCTGGCCGGCCAATCCATGGCCGTAGTCTGGGAGAGCTTAGCTGCCGGAGTTCCAAGCACCTGGTCGCTTGTTGAGAAGCCTTCTGCTAGCTCAAGTATGGCTTTGTCAATTGCCTTGAGTCGCCAGAACCTTGACCAGCTTGAATCCAAACTCACCGAGGTCTCGACTCCTGGTAAGAGCGCATACGGACAGTGGTTGAGCAAGGACGACATCGACACACAATTCCCGGTTGTTGATGACACAGCAGTCTTGAAATGGCTGAAGAGCGCGGGCGTTTCCAACATTGCTAGCGACGGTGCCGTTGTGAACTTCACTAGTACTGTCGAGACCGCCAACAAGCTGCTAAACACGACCTTTGCGTACTACCAGAGCGGTGATTCCGTCAAGCTGCGTACTACCGAGTACTCTATCCCGAGCGATTTGACCGAAGACATCGATGTCATCTCACCCACCGTCTTCTTTGGTAAGACCCGTGCCGCTATGCCGGCTCCTTCGAAGGCTCAAATGATCGAGGCCCGCAAGGCCTCCTCTACTGAAGTCTCTGCTTCATGCGAGACTGCCATTACCCCGTCGTGTTTGAAGGAGATGTACAACGTTGGCGACTACATCCCCGAGCCTTCTGCTGGCAGCCGTATTGGATTCGGCAGTTTCCTGAACGAGTCTGCTTTGTATTCCGATCTGGCGCAGTATGAAGAGCTATTTGACATTGCTTCTCAGTCTTTCACTGTGGAACTGCTGAATGGTGGCGTGAACAATCAGAATGCTAGCGATGGGGATGAAGGCGAAGCCGACCTGGACGTGCAATTGATCGTCGCCATTGCCCACCCGCTACCTGTCCACGAGTTTATCACTGGCGGTGTTGCGTAAGTATCAACCAAATCTGTACAGTTCCCGAGAAATGTTTACTGAAAGTTTGTCTACAGCCCCTTTATCCCCGATGCCGATGAGCCTGATGCATCGGACGACGAGAATGAGCCTTACTTGATCTACTATGAGTACCTGCTCTCGAAGGACACCTCCGAGATTCCCCAGGTCATCTCCCACTCTTATGGTGATGATGAGCAGGTAAGTCGAGTCCTAAAGTCATTTCCGAGGAAACATTGCTCATCGAATACCAGACTGTTCCCGAGAAATATGCTCGCCGTGTTTGCAACCTGATCGGCCTGAACACTCTGCGTGGACTGACTATCATTCACTCCTCTGGCGACGAGGGTAAGATGGCCCCTATAGCCCATTAAACTCTCTACACGGTCTAACTTTACTAGGTGTCGGCTCGGCGTGCCAGGCTACCGATGGGGTTACTCCTCAATTTAATCCTATCTTCCCTGCCACTTGCCCCTACGTGACTGCAGTTGGAGGTACCTCCGACGTGAGCCCCGAAGTTGCATGGAATGCCTCTTCTGGCGGTTTCTCCAACTACTTCTCTCGCGCCTGGTTCCAAGATTCAGCCATTGAGGAATACCTCGACAAGGTCAGCGAAGAGACCAAGGAATACTACGGCAAGTACGCCGACTTTGAGGGCCGTGGGTTCCCCGATGTTTCTGCTCACAGCTTGTATCCCGAGTACGTTTCCCCTCCTTCAACCATATCCCCTCCTTCAACCTTCTAACTATCTGCAGCTACGAGGTCATCTTCGCTGGCAAGAAGAGCCTCTCTGGCGGTACCTCCGCCGCCGCACCCGTTTTTGCTGGTATTGTCGGTCTCCTGAACGATGCTCGCCTGCGTGCTGGCAAGTCGACTCTGGGTTTCTTGAACCCCTTTTTGTACTCTGAGGGTTACAAGGCGCTCAATGATATCACTGGTGGGAGCTCCTACGGTTGCGGTGGTATTGATCCGCAGAGCGACTCGGCTGTCAACGGCAGCCTTATCATCCCCGGTGCTCACTGGAATGCCACCGAGGGCTGGGACCCAGTTACTGGCCTGGGTACCCCCAACTTCCAGAAGTTGAAGGAGCTGGTCCTGTCGCTGTAGATGTGTGATGCTTTAAGGAAACCTGTACATAATGTGGCGTAGTTCAATAATGTGTTTCGAGTGAACTGATTTATCAAGATTTTTGGCATAATTCCCGCTCTCATCTCTACAAAGACTATGTGCTTCCCAAGAGTGACATTGGTGATTGTCTAAGTCGCATTATCCCATTCTAATTGGAAAAATGCATTACATGCAGAGGGTTTTCCTTGAGGTTTCTTCTCCTTAGAACTTGAGCCATATACTGTACTATTCCGACCTATTACTGAAATAAATAGAAGATCGTATGTAAGATGAAGCATGAGGGTCTGATAATTCGGAAGGAAAATGTAGTTGGAGTTGATATTGCTGTTGAAAAAGAATCATCACATCGTTATTGCGGGCAGAAACAAACCTTCAGCGCTGAGCTTGAAATGAAACAACTCATTCAAAGAGAGGGGGAAAGGAGAAACAATAAAGAAGTGCGAAGAAATACAGGTCGCCATAGGCTGAACCAGACTCTCCAAATGATACCAAGATTAACGCTTCATACTATCGATGATACTTCGATCCATCTCGTTCTGTGCAAGGAGATTTGTATTCTTCTCCTTGAGGCGGAATATCTCGTCATCTTTCTTCTTCATCGCCACTCGCAGGATATCTCGCGCACGATTAACTCCTCTCATCTTCAAATCGTGGCGATTTAGAAGCTCAACAAGTTCATCGTATGCGCTATTCGGCAGCACGACGCCATGTTTATCTAAAATAGTGCAGGCACTCTTTGACAGGTCTGATTCATCGGGCCTCGAGTTCGAACTAAGTGCATCGCGATTTCTGACGGGCGTGGGCGTCATGCATAGCTCGGCCGAGGATGGGGGAAATTGAGCTGACTGGGCGGTACGAGATGAAGCAGGTGTCGCTATTGCAGATGAACTACTGTTGGACTGGTCGAACGCAAACTCCGACAGCTTGCGTTTACCGGGAGATGTTGTTCTGGGCGTGCGCGGTGCTTTCGATGGCAAATCCGGGTAGAAGACCGGTTGTGACAATATAGTCTCATTTGCCTGGCTAGAGGACAATACTTGTGCAATTTCGTCATTGTCATCAGAGCCATCGCTCCAGCCAAATTCGTCAGAATCCTCCGCCATCATCCTCGTCTTCGCGCTCTTGGGTGGTGTCTTGAACTCTCGCGGTGGGATATCAATTACCCGGCGCTCAGTTTGTGGCGTCAGCAAGCCATTTGGACCGCGCTGTGTAGATTTGGTAGGAGTTCTTGGGACTGAAGGGAGAGGATCGAGTTCGGAATGGGCATTTGAAAGAACGACGGCTTTCTCGCGGGGTTCAGCTTCGTCGGCCCAAAGAAAGAAACCGCACTTTTTTGGGGGCAGCTGTGCGCAGGTATAGACTGAGATTTTTAAATTTACTCTTCAGCTTGAACTGTATAAAGATAGCCTGATATCTCCCGACACTTACACCATCGTCCATGGTTCTTTCCACCGTTCTTCGTCTGGCGCCGAGCTGCGGGGGGCCGAGCAGGACAGTTGCAGCACCAGATACCATCTTTGAAGAGGCCATATAGAGGCACCGCTGTGTGTGGCGACTTTGAAAATTTCTTGCTTGGAGAGAACATCTTATCGCATGCCCCTCAGGTTGCTGGCGGAAGCATTCCCCGGCGCTGGAGCTGATGCAGTTGAAGTACGTCCGTTCTTGGAGGGCCGTCGCCATGGGAACTCCTTATCTGCCGTTATCGCATTCTCTTATCTTATCGGTTCCCCATCGGACCTTTTCTGGCCCCACGCCATTGCCTTCCCCTCCTTTCGTCTCTCGACGTTCGTTTTGGGGGACGATCTTCCAATATGACAGCCGGACTTTCCTAAAACCGAAGCGCTGTCTGGTAGTTGGAATTGTGGTAGGCTGTCGCGGACTAGCTGTACCCTAGAACTGACCAATCCTGACCTGCGGGCATTGCTCAAGCTGGGTACCACCACCCATTTGATTTCTGCTAGCTTCTGAATCGGGTAAGTTTATCCTACCAAGCATACAGTCGAGACTCGTTGAAATTACGTCTTGGCCTGGTTAAAGAAGTCTAATATGTTAATTTATCGGCTGACAACATCGTCTCAGGCCTTTTCCTCACATAGATTGCTATCAATTAGCTTGAAAGATCTATGATTGGTAGCTCTCGCTGGACGAAAGCGAGTGAATCTCAGACCTCTATACGTTGTAGCATTTCAACCTTTGGAAACAAGTGCTCAGCACAGGCTGAAAACATGAGGCTGTATCTTCGAACTGCATTGTGTGTCCCCAACACCGAGGTCGAGTACTATTGAATTCAAAACTGACTGCAAAGAATACTCCATCATACCTTGACTCAACCGATATAATACGTCTTTTTCCAAATACATATCTCCCAGAATTCGTTGCTCTCCCACGAGATGAATGACCCGCATTCGCAATCTCCGCTTTTCTTACCCCCGGAGCTCCTGCTCAATGTTGCTCGATTTCTCACGACCGCCCGCGATTTCAACGCGTTCGTCCGAGTCAGCAGAGCTCATTATGTATTATTGAACAGTATACTGTACTATGACGATGCGAAGAGCGAGAAGCCACATGCACTCTTCTGGGCCGCCATGCATAACCAAAAAGAGACTGCCACCAAAGCGCTCAAGGCAAAGACCGATCCACAGATCACAGCCGACCTGTCTCGCCTTCGGGGCGCTACTCCAATTATGCTGGCGACATATCACGGTTCCACGGACGTTCTGGAACTCCTCCTTGCCAGGGAAGATATCAACCCCAATGTTCGCGATCGCATGTACCTCTGCCCGGCTATTACCTGGGCCGTGAAAAAGAATCAAGTCTCAACTCTTCGCCTATTACTGAAGGACAAGCGTGTCAATGTCAACCTCCAGGACAAGAATGGAGAAACGGCACTGATGACTGCTGTGATCAATCAGCCCGATTTGATACCCGTGCTGCTAGGTTGCGCAAGAGTCAATCCACGAATTGGAGACAGGATCGGTCGCACTCCACTTTCGCGAGCTGCGCAGCAGAAAAATCCAGATACTCCATTGATTCTTGCCGCTCATCTGCGTCTCATATTGGATGGAATCGATGATCGAGAACATTGTCAGCAGGTGTTCTATTCCGCTGCCATATTTGGCCAATTTGATATCATGAAGCATATGGTGTCCTTTTATGGGGGTAAGTTGAACCCCAATGGAGATGCGAGGGGCATCTCAGGGACCGACCATGCGGTTTTCACCGTGGCGGTTGAACGCAATCTTCAGGAGGTTGTCCAGTTCCTTCTGGAATGGGACAAGACTGATCCAAATCAACATGACACTTGGCAGCATAAGACACCTTTGTTTCGTGCGGCAGATCGCGGTCTTGATAAAATGGTCTCTATATTAAAGGAGCATTACCGGGTAGATTTGAATCTGAGCAACATCCATGGCATGACGCCCTTGATGGTTGCTATAGAAGGGGGACGTCTGGAGATTGTCCAATGTCTTCTTTCTGGCTCGCGTTGTCCAGACGTCAACCTGACCGATAATACTGGAGTAACGGCGCTCTGGCTTGCGGCAATACGTGGAGAGCCGAAGATCGTGCAGAGGTTACTCGAGGTTGAGGGTATTGATGCCTGTCTAGCCGACTCACAAGGCGTGACACCCAAACGTATCGCAATGATGCATGACAACACTGAAGTGGTCAAGATCTTGGAAAACTTTACCATTTAGCGATATTCTCGGGTGATTGTAAATAATGTAATTTTGCGGTATATGAATACAGTGGACTTCGCGGTCCATGCTTCGAGAGACCTTGTTTAGGCGGTCCCAGAAATCGGATACTAAGCAAACAACAGTGGCATCAGAATATGAAATTTGAACAAAGAGCGATGAGCTGCCAAAACCCTTGACGCACACCAGTAGATTGACATAAGCCTTTGAACCAATAGATGTGCTATTTAAGAAGGGTGATATTAACGGCACGACAGAAAAGTTCATGGCACGACAGGGCTAGCCCTAATCAGTAGCACCCCCTCGCCGGCGGCCCTTTGACACAAAATGATACATTCGAGACTTACATAGTACCTACCGAGTCTTTATGCATATAAAACCCTATATAATAACACTTCTCGCTAGTATTGTCAGCGACTATTTGCGCTAGCATCACGTGAACTTTAGTTATCTATCTCTTTCAAGATCTATGCGTATTTAAGTGAAGTAGATAGCTATTAAAGACCTTGGAAAAGACCTTGGAAAAGACCTTGGAAAAGACCTTAGGAAAGGGTGATGGTAGGAAGCGACGTAGAATCAGGGGGCGTTCCTTCTTAGCATTAGGCTTGTCGTGCCACGAACCCTGTCGTGTCGTTAATGCCGCCCTTTAAATAAAGATGCTTCCTCAAGTCACAACCAAACCATAGCTTATTCCTTTCATAACTCGTCCGTTCAACCGTAAGGACTAACTAAAGCACATACTTGAACAGCGGAGACTTATCTCCCATATCAAACAATTCGTCTTCAGTATACTTGACCCTCGCCTCATCCGCAACCTTAGCCTTCTGCGCATTCGCCCTCTTATAGCTCCACTCAAGGAAGAAAGCCACAAAAAACCCAGCCCCAGCCAGCGCAAGACTCAACCCAAAGCCAGTAGGATACTTAGGCTTCTCAGTCTCGATATACATAAAACTCCCAATAATACCGCCCACGTTGCCAACGCAGTTCATAAGCGCGATGCCGATGGCTCGTCGCGCTGACGGAGCAATGTTATTCGCGTTCCATGATGCGGCGGCGGATTGAATCGGGTAGATACCGGCTACGCCGAGGACGACGGCGAAGTAGGCTACTCCTCGCTTGGATTCGAGGGCGCCGTTGAGAGAGAATAGGATTGCGTAGGCGGTTACCACGATTATCATGGGGATGGCGACGAAGGGCATGCGCCAGTAGAAGCGATCTGACAGCCGGGCAAATATAATGGCTGAGATGGCTGCGACGACGTATGGTGGGGCAGAAGTCAGTTGGGCGTTGGTGGAACTGAAGCCCATGGCTTTGGTGATGGTCGGAAGGGTGAATTTGGTACCTGGGCACGTAAACTTTGATTAGTTCATTGCCAGAATGCGAGGCCAATTGGAGAGTTTCTTACCATATGACAGGGCCGACTGGCAAAGCAGGAAGTAAGCCTGCACGTAGATTCTCCAGTTCTGAAGGACCTTCTTCAAATCTCGCATCTTGAAGCTTGTCTCCTCGCTGCTGGTTCCACCTTGCTTGATGAACATGGAAAGTTCGAGGAATCGAATTTCATCGGCAGACAGCCATCGTGTAGAGAACGCGGGCGTGTCGATAAGAAAGAAGAAACACATTACACCTAGAACGACACTCAAAAGTCCCTCCAGGATGAAAATCCATCGCCAGCCTTCAAGACCACCGATGCCATCCATCTTGGCGATGGCGGCAGCAAGTAGACCGGAGAAGGCACCGGACAGTGCGCTGGCGCAGTAGAAGTATGAAATGCGGAGAGCGAGGTCCTTTGGCATGTACCAGTAAGAGCAGAGGTAGATTGCACCGGGGAAGAAACCAGCCCTATGATTTGGGATGTCAGTCATGTTATGTTTACCGTCGGAGGACTAAAGGATTAGAGGAACGTACTCGAAGATACCCAGCAGCACTCGGGTAGTCATAAGACCTGCAAAGTTCTTGACCAGTCCAGTACATGTCATGATGATGCCCCAGCTGACGACTAGAACACCGAGGTAGGTAGAAGGGCGCTTGAATTTCTTGAGAAGAATGTTGCTGGGCACTTCGAACAACACGTAGGGAATGAAGACTATCACGAACATGAACCAGTCAACAACAGTCCTCAAAAACGACAAAAGCTAGTCGATAGAAGGACTCACAGATAGAAAGTACAGTATTATACTGAACCCCGGTCATACCCAAATCCTGAACCATGCCCTCGATTTTGGCATTGCCGATATTGGCACGATCGATGTGGCAGATCAAGTATAGCAACGCCAGCATTGGGACCAAACGAACGTCCACCTTTCGAAAGACCTTCTTTCGACGTTCCTCAGAGAAACTGGTATAGAATTGTTCATCGTCGACGGTCAAGCCGACAACGCGAAAGGTGTCAATCTCCGTGACGTGTGAAGGCTTGGGCAGATTCTCGACGTGAGCAGGCTGATCGACAACCTCGACATCCTCCTTGCGAATCGATCCGGGACCCATGGCTGCAATATGATATATGTGGAGTAGACAACGCAGTTGTTCTACTTGTCAATAAGTTCAACAACCCCGAGTGGACTGTAGATATTTCCAACACGGTCCATCATCCATCCACCGGAGCGGGAGGTGGTATATATACACCATGTCGGATAACCCTCTTGGCAAGGACATGCCACGACTCTCTCGGCATGGCTGACTTGAGCTTGACACCCATCAAAGTCCATCTCTCAACCCAAACCTCTGTACCCCAGCCTTGGCAACTAGCTCACCCAGTGGGTCTGATAACCCCAAACGCGGGGGACAAAGGCCACAGCACTATCCCTCTCCACCCAGGCGCAAATGCGAGTCCCTTTCGTTCTCATTTATGGAAAAATGCGGTCGTGTGTGGCCCGCGGGACGGATAAGTGTCCAGTCAAAGCTTCGTTCGTCTCGTCAATGGGCAGGATGAACATGATTGGCGCAGATACCCTGAAGTCTAGCGCGGGCCAAGCCTTTGGACTACCTGCGGGGTAGACAGCTTAAACGTTCTCCGGGCTTTCTCCGCGTTCTGTTTTCCGAGGCTTCGCCCGGAAATGTCCTGGAATGGGCTTCTCCGGCGCGGAATATGGTAAACAATTTGTGCAGGTGTCGCATTGACATGGGCTGTGATAGTTCGTGTTTGTACAGCAATCAAAAGCGAGTCTAAATCCTGGCCAGTGTTGACCATGAATCTATCAATAGAAAAAGGCCTTGAGTCTCAAAGTATTCGACCTAGGTTGTTACCCCACGAGCAGTGTCTTGCTGCACTGGCAAAGAGACTACAAATCCGACCTAAAAGAGTTCCATCCTGACCGCACGACGGCAGTTCAGGTCTCTGATATGCCCAAAAGCAAAGCACTGATACCATATACCAGGTCATCATACTACCAAGTCAGAAATGCGTCGCAGCAAGCAATTAGAATGTATTCAATGAAGTCACCCGCTCTATTTAACACGCAAGCCATCCTCTCCACTCTGTGGATTACCCAGCTTCGCCGGGATATAAGTATATCTAGCCGTATCACCCGTGCACTGGCACTGGCACAGTAATGCAAACCAAAGTCTTCATGAAATGGAACCAATCAATCAGAACCTAACAATGCAAAAAGACCTTCCTTAGAGGCCGGGGTCATCACGAAGCAAAAACACATGCAAGGCATCTCATGGTATCGGGCTGCAAGATAAAAAGGAAAACCATAGCAGTCAGAGCGGGTCTAATCAGCCAGGACGTGTCGGAGCATCACGACGAATGGATCCGTCAGTTTCAGGACTTCGGTCACTTCGGGCTTGACGGGTTCGCCGGCTGTGCGGCGGAGTTGATCTTGCTTCTTGATGCGACGGCGGCGTTCGACTGCGATCGGGTCGTCGTCATCGTCCTCTTCGTTTTCGTCTTCGGAGTCGGAAGCCTCATCAGAGATGGTAAGGTCTTCGAGGTCGGCCTGGAAGTAAATAGTTAGAATTGTGCCAGGGAAACATAGAAAGAGAAGTGATTAGAACATACCTCGTCAAGACCAAAGTCGCTGCTGTTGAAGGTGCTTGTGCCGGGGATCGTTTCTCCGGCACCTTCGGCAGCCATCTTTTGCCGCGTCTTGTTCAAGTGCCATCTCTTGCGGTCCTCCTGCCACTTGATCAAGGCGTTGATTTCTTCCAGTGCAACCTCCTTGTCAATCTGGCCAACACCCACGGCACCTTGGAACAAAGCGTTCATGTCCATCTTACCGCCCCGTGGACCCTTGCGCAGGAAGTCGAGAATCTCCTCAATCCAGGCCATCAGGGACTGGAAGAGCCCATTGTCGTGCAGGTGCACCTCGTGGATAAACTTGTAGAAATTGTCTTCATGACGCGCGCACAGGTCGATAAAGGCCTGCACAGTCTGGTTGGGATCGGCTGAAGCATCTTGTCGCTGGGCACTTTCGATCACCGCTATCGCGTCATCGGCGAACAAGGCAAAGTCGGTGATGCTGCTATACACATTCGCAGACTTGTACACCCGGACGAGAGGTTCATAGAAGATGGTAAACAGATCCCGGAAGAGCTGGAGGGTGACGGGCTCCTCAACAATGCTCAGCATCATCGCCTTGTCACGTTGGCGGGTGTACAGCTTCAGGAGCTGCTTCATGTTGGCGAACCACTGAGCGCCCTGCTGCATCTCGATGTCGACATTGTCGACCGCATAGTTCCATGCTACCCAGCTGTTAAACACCTTGCCAATTTGGTCAGGAGTCAGCGCGGGCTGGATAAGCTCGGAGCGCAGGATGGCGACGACAATATCGACGTCTTCTGCCTCTGCCTCCTCTCGGATGATATTCTTGACAGCCTCGTCAGAATCCACAAAAGTCTTGAGCTTCTGACTCAACACCGTGTCTTCAACCTTGGCGACCAGAGAATTGATGTGCTTCTGGAAATCTTTGATACCCTCATTCAGCGTCATCGAGAAAATGCGCTGCAAAAGAGACCGTGAGCCGAAAGGCTGAGCTAGGAAAAGGTCCAAAACGCTAGACATGACTGCCGCTGGGTTGGCGATACGGATCACATTCTTCATCAAGGTGTAAGGAACAAGGCCGTGGATGCGCTTAGCCTGTGCGAACATTTCAGGCGAGTTATCTTCCGCAAGGAACAGGTGGTATATGGTTGCAGCAACCCTGATTCAGTCAGCCAAAAGTAACACACATTCTAGAAAGGTAAATAGTGAACTCACTCAATACGCAGCCATTCGGCAAATTTCTGGTATTGCGGGCTGAGCTCGGCGATGCAGGATTTCTCCCGAATCTCGGCGAAAAGTTTCGTGAGCCCATCTAGCAAGAGCATTAATATTAGCACGAATCTCAAGACATAGAAGACCATGAAGGTAAACATACTGCTCTCTACAATATCCCGTCGGAATTGCTCCATGTAGACATCCAGCTCTGCAGCGCGTTGCCTGGCGATTTCGTAGAAGCGTTTCTGCTCCTCGATTCTGATTGCATCCATTTCCTTGCGGCGATTCACGTCGATCAATTCCTCCTCATTTAATGAGATAGGCTTGGAAGTCAAGAACTCCTCCATAGACTTGGATTCAGCAATCCGCTTGTTCTGCAACATGGTGCGCAGGAACGCACGAAGAGAGACACGCTGTTCCTCACGATACAGAACGGTCTGCCGTGACACAACATCTGTTGATACACGGGGAGAATTTGAAGACCGCAAAGAGCTTTTTGATACCGATCGGCGGACGATACTTTCGGGAGCCAGTGTTCGGCCCGTGCTTTGGGTTGCCTCGTCTGGTGTGGTAGCATCTTGAGTAGAGACGGAGGAAACCGATTCGTTGTCATCGTCCGTGGAGCCGAACCAGCTGGATGTCGTTGAGGTCTTGTTCTTGCGGGGGAGCGGTGGCAGATGCTTGCCGGGGAACTCTGTTCGTAGTCTGCGATGGAGCTTGACGAATTCGCCATATCTCCGGCCGATGTGGATCTCCTCTTTGCCATCTCTGCGCACGCGAATGATGAATTCCTGTGGATTTCTGACGTTAGAATAATTTTCCTTTCCAACAGGAAATGTCTCAAGGCACGAGTCTACTCACCGCGTGGGGGTGATACCGAACCGTCCGCTTCACCGACGTCACCCGTACCGCTGCCACATTAACGTCCCAGCCATTAATAGCGTGGCCCTCGGGCATGTTGACCAGGAGACCCTTTTCGTTCGCACCGCGCTCAACGATTTCCATCTCTGAGAACTGAATACGCTCCTCATAACCCGACGCAGTCGGCACGCCTGAGACCATCATAAGCTCCACGAGCTTCTCGCTCTTGCGCGCCAGTTTCCGGCGCTTCGTCTCCTCCAGGCGATCTTCCGAGGACGAGACATGTTTATTGGCAAAGGACTCGAGGAACTGTAATAATAGAAATCTGTTAGAGTCATGTGCCACCCGTCTGCAAGACCTCCTCCCACACACCCTGGGAAACTGTTCAGACGTACCACTTGAAGCTTATCCTGCCAAAACTGCTTTTCCTGCGCCTGATCGAGGAAGGGGAAATTCCGGACATGATGCACGAAGATGTATCGTAGAATCGGTAGTTCCGAGTCGACCGGGGCGACTTCGCCAAATTCTGATCGAAAGGGCGCGCCAAAGCGCTGCAAGGCGGTTGGGGAGTTAAGCTCGGAAATTTCGCTGCGCACTTGTCGAGAAATGAGCTCGCGCTTGAGGTCTACAGCACGATTTTACAGAAGACGTCAGTCATCATTCATTTCCAGGTGACAATTCCTCCATTCCAGCGTGTGGCTTGGCCCACTTACAGTGCTCCTGCTTGCCCGTCAGGATCTGTCCGTCCGGCGGGGTTGCTGATTGACCAGCTCCGGTCTGACCGTTGGCGACGGTCTTCTCATCGAGCGCCGACATGCTGGGCGCGAGTCTGCGGTCGGAAAGGTTGCAGAGTCGTTGTTATTGATCAGACACTCAGCCTGTTTAAAGGAAAAGTGGTTGTGGTGAGATCGGAGAATAGGAGAACTCTTCTGCCTGGTCAGGTCAGGTCTGGGCTGCGGCTTATCGCCGAGATTCAATAGTCTCTGGGCACCACCGACACAGCCCCCGTGAGAGTTTCCCGAACGAGACTCGCTGGTGGATGGGTCAGAGGTTTTTGGTAGGAATAGAAACAGAGAGCCTTTCAAGTGATACAGGACAATTGCTGGTAAAGACGAGAGAAAACAAATGATGTGTTGTTGATGGACAGAAAGCGGGCGGAGGGACTGATGTCGTCACCGGGTCACTAGCCCATGCCGCGTAGCCTTTCCCTCCACCGATTCTTCTGTTTGACCACCGTCGATTATTCGCTCACAGACGGCCGTTATCCCTGACCCATCGGGTTCCTCCCGCGCGTGGATTTGCCCCGACCGACTGGATGATCGCCGGTCGAGGAACAGCCACTGCATCTGATGAGGAATGACATGTGTGGCATCTCGATCATCTGGCTAGCCCAGAGGTTTAATTTGAATTTAGATTCTACATTCATATGATCAAGCCACAAGATCCCCCTCCCTCTAGCTATTGCTCCGTTGTATCGGGCATTATACTGTCTCCCTCCTTCCTAATGACAATCACGATTCCGTCCGAAATTGGCCGACCAGCTCTGGTCAAAGCTAGTATTATGGGGACACGCACGGCCAAGGAAATGGACAGCATTAGGGAGTAAATGGTACAACTAGGCATGTTGAAGTATCTGCCATCGATGCAACTCTCGCAAGTCCAGTGGCACGGGCGGCCCTAGTATTTGTACCACTGACATGCCAACCCTCAGCCCTGCAGACACAACTAGGCAGCATGATATTCAGCCCTACGGGCGTCTATTTCCTGCAGTGCCAATGAATGCCAATGCTGGGTCAGGGTGGAGCTGGCCGCGTCAGGCAAATCTGGAGTACGTCCCGTACTTAGTCTTTGTATTCCTGTCCAACCTGACGAGGGGAAAAATACATCACTGTCCTGAGGTTTTGAATTTAGATTGCCCTAGCAAGTGACTATGATATCAGTCTCTACTCTACCCAAATGGCCCGTGGAATAATCTGAGCTAAAAAGTCGTTAAATTTTCCTATTTTTATGCATAATCAAAAGGCCTGGGATGTCTTTTTGATTGTCAAAGATCATGTAGGAGCAGGGCCAAGACTATCCTAATCAAATTTGTGTATCGTGCCGAAATTCGAATCTGTCAGGTCGCTAACAGGATCCTATTGATACTGCTGTCTTGATATGGTATAGATTCATCCAGTAAAAAGGCGACGAGTCGCGCTGACGCACCGCAACATTGTCGGTGCTGGCATCGTTGACTATTCCTGCTGGAGAGGAGATCGGTTGGAGTTGAAGTATTGGAAGCACCGGAACTGGTGGAGAAGAGATTGCGAAGGGCGAAGTTAAAGTCGACCCGAAGCTACTGAGCCATGGAGAGACTAGACAAAAAGTTGCTCGTGATGGCTGGCGTAAAGACGAAATTTCCCGTGAGTACGCAGAGGAAACAGGACTAACAACCTCATAACACTACCATCGTAGAGGGCTGACCAGGCATCGTTATGTCTGTGATCTAATTCGATCGAATCGTTACGGTGATAGATATCAAGACGGAAGATCAGAGATACTCGGCTATCAAACGAAGTCAGATTGAAACAAATATCAGATCAGATTTGCGATATTAAATCTTAGTGTAGATCAACTAAGATAAAAAAAGAAACGTTTCATCATTAGATTACATGCAATTTTGCATGTAAAAACAAAAGAAAAAGAAACAGACCAGACCAGACCAGACCAGCGCCAGGTACGCCAATTTACACCATTGACAGGCCAAGCGCCGAGTCAGGCGAGCATTGCATGCCCAACTGCTCCGACAGAATGGCCATGTCAATTTCGGCCATCATCTCCGCAATCGTCTCGTCCACGGTCACCTAGTTCGTGGGCAAGTACTGGCCCTGCCCGTAGGGCTGCGGAGTGCCCTGCAGCTGAGGGCCGGGAGTGGCATCACCGTACAAGGTGAAGTCGGTGCCATGTTGCTGCGCCATGGCGACGCCGAAAGGGAAGTCCTGGGAGATGTTGCCTCCCGACATGCCGAGGTCGGGGGAGAACAACATGATGTTGCCCTGGGCACCGGGGGACAGGCCGGACACCGGGGCGGGGGCCCCAACGAACTGGTTCTCGACTTGCTGAACGTCGAGCATGTACTGGTCCTCGGAATATCCCTTGAAACCAGTCTCCAACCCCTCCAGGTCGGAAGCAATGGGCTGCTGGACCTGGTACGAATTGAACCCGTCCAGGTGAGTGATGAGGCTCTGGGGGTCGGCAGCCGCGAATTGAGCCTGGAGACTTGCGAGTCCGTCGAAGTCAACGGAGGTGAAAACCGGGTCGTGACTCAAGACCTGGTCATTGCTCATGCCCGCCGAATACGAGACCGACTGCGGTGAGGGATTGAACCCACCGTAGTTCTCGAGACTACCGTCATTGGTGACACTCCCTGAGGTGGAGGTGTGATATGGGGACTGTACATAGCCCATGTAGTTATCAATACCGGTCTCGATTTTGGCGGTGTCGGCGGCCTCGACGGTATTGAAGGTCTCGATGAAGCTTGGGAAGCCATTGCCCAGGGCCACGGGAGGAGGGTCGGCGAAGTTGAATTCCAAGTTCTCGGGGAACTCAATGGCAGCCTCGTAAGGAGAGGGAGTCGGGCCCACACTAGGGGTACTGAAGTCGGTCGGGCCGGAGGCAGGGGTAGACACACTCGGAGTGGCAGGAGTGGCCTGGGCAGAGTTGGCCCGCATAGATGTGCCGCGGTTGCTTCTGGCACCCATGGCACGAGAGCTGTGCTTGGAGCGAACGTAAACCCAGCCATGAGCTTTCTCCATGTGCTGCTTGCAGTTGCTCTCACGCTTGGAGTTGTAAGTGCAGGGTGGGAAGTTGCAGCTGAAGATGTTGGGAGTGTCGGAGTGCTTGTCGTTCACGTGGCGATCACGCTCTTTCTCAGTCGGCCAACCGATTTGGTAGTACTTGCAGTCGGTTTCGGTGCACTTCCAGGGGCGCGAGTGGGTCTTTTCATGCTTGGTCAGGTCACATGGACGCTTGAACACCTTGTCGCAGTGAGCACACTTCTGGTTGATGTCCATGGGAGGTGCATTCTTCTTGCGACGAGCCATGGAGCGCTGAACGCCTTCGTCATGTTGCTGCTCATCACTGAGGTCGATGGCGCGCTTGACGGTGGCAGGGATAGTTCCCTGATAGGGCAGGCCAGTGGCCATGGAAATGAGCTTGCCATCTTGCACGACAACCAACTCAACAGGGCGGCCATTCTGGGAGAGACCACCCTCGAGGGCGGCGGAGGGAATACTGTGAGATTGTCAGAATGGTGAGCAATGGCAGGAAATGCAGGTCAGGTCAACTTACAGGGAGGGTTGCTCGTCCTTCTTGGTGGACTGAGCCTGAGCGTCCTGGGTCGCTTGGACCCGTTGGCGATTAGCCTGAATCATTGCGGCGTAGCGTCGAACCTGGGTGACAAGGTCGAGGAAGTAACCGTTAGTGTACGGGCGATCAGCGGGAAGCCGTTGATCCCGGGCGTTGAGATGAGAAGCCGAAGTGTGAAGACACTGGATGGTAAACTCGCAAAAGCCGAGATACGAAGACCGAGACGCCGAGAAATTCTGAAGCAGGAGACGTTATGAGCTTCAACCAGAACGCCAGAGAGGAGAGAAAGGAAGGCAGGGGGTAGTGCGGGACGGAGATAATTGGAGGAGACCGGTGTGAGCTCCGGAGAGGGAACAGAGGAAAGGCAGAGGAGACGAAAAGGGTGGCAGTTGGAAAGGGATGGGAGTTGAGAGGACTGGAGAGAAGAGAAGGGTCGAGGGTTTTGAGAAGGTTGGAGAAAAAAAATAAAGGATGGAGAGTTGGAAATGGATCAGAGTTGGGAGGGGACGAGGGTTTGGAGAGGTACGAGAGTTGGGAGAGGATGAGGATTGGAAAAGGACGAGGATAGAACAAGAACGACGAACGGAAAAAGGGCAGAGGTGACGGGGCCAAGGCAGCAATAGGCAAATGGATGTGGAAGACGAAGGAAGATGGAAAGATTGAACAGACAAACAATGGAAAGATTGGACTTACAGGAGCGAGCCACAGGAGGATTTTTTCGAGATCTCGAAGGCAAACAACTTGCTTGTTCACAATGCGAGTCGGGATACTCCTGACGAGAGGGTGGAACGGCTTGAGCTTCGGTTCCTTGAGAATGGGGACCAGAATAAAGCGCTCAATCTTCTTGCAAGCAGCGTACGACAATTGCCGGCGAGGGCTGGTGCCTTGAAGGATATCAGAGGCAGACTTGGTGATGGGGGATTGTTCCATGTGAAGATCTGGAAGAACAATAAGGTTAAAGGTAAGCCTTGGGCCCAAGAAAGAACCAAGATTTGTTTGCTATGGGAAGAATTAATCATCACATGCACATACCTTTCTCAATTGGGTCAGCCTGCGAGTCACGGCTGCTGACTGAGGATCCAAGGCCACTATCGGACTCGTGGCCGCGGTCCTGGTCGCGCTGATGTTGTTGGTTTTGTTGCTGCTGCTCCTTCTTGTCCAAAGGAAACAGGTCATATCCATCCTCACTCGACGGCGTCGAGGGAGTTGATATGGCAGACTTGGACTCGGCATTGACGTCGTGCACACTACGAAGACCTTCAAGGGTATCAACAGAGGACGAGTTGTCCTCAGGCTGATCATCAAGGGTCAGGCGCTCAAGAATGGACGCCATACGCTGCTCACTAGCGGCAATTGCGTCAAGAGAAGTGGGCGAGCGACGAGGAAGAGATCGAATGTTCAACACTGGATCACGATCACTCGACGGCGGGTTGGTTGGGGTATTGAACGTCTCGCCCTTCTTCAGTTGCATTTTAGAAGAACTTGACTCCGCCTCGGGGGTCAGCGAGGTGTTTATGACGGGCCGCCTACGCGGATGCACCCGAGCGGACTCGAATTGACCAGACACCATGATGGAATGGTTCTGCATCGATGCCAACGTTAGTACGATTGGACCCAGCGCCCTAGAAGGACAGTTCCTTCGGGATGATTGGCTAATTCCCAGTGACTCACCAGATGGATGGTCCGGCTGATACGCGATACGACGTACGGTCGAGTCAGAGACTAAACCCGGGCTCCAGATTTGGTCCAACTAGCGGCTTCGAACCGGGACTTTATATGTAGAGGGCACCTGTGCCCTCTTGCGTTGACGAAGTAACAAACGTTGGAGAATCGTGGCGATGGAATCAAGCCCTGGAACACGGATCCAGGAACAGGAGACCAAAGAAGACGACAAAATGACGAGGTGGGCTGTTTTGGGGTAGTCGTCGTCTGGCGGATCAATCGATCGGGCGCACTCCAAAAGGCCTTGAGAAGCCTACACGAATCGAGGACAAAATCTATCCGAGAAATCGATACCAGCGAGGCAAAGGAAATTGAGCGACGTTCCCAACGATCGACGATCGACGTTAAACGCTTATCGATCAGGGAGTTTCCGGGCGAAGAGGGGCAGTTCGGCCACCTATATCAACAGAATACTGGTGATAGCGAGAATTCTACACAGCGCGGATGATGGCGAACGAGAAGCTTATTGCGAGCAGCAGATACGAGGAAAGAAAAAGGAATCGTGGAGCAGGAGGAAAGATGACGGAGCAGACTGAGCAGATGGACTTGCGCGTTAGATGTCTGCCTGATGGTCCAAGACGCTAGCCCCGAAGGGGTATCGTGTGCGATGGCTGAGCAGATTCAAGTGCCGTTGATTGGCTTTGCCCATGGTACGGTATTGTCACCCTCAGCAGTTTGGGGGGCCACAGCGTGGCCAACGTATGGCCAACAGCGTACGGATGGGCCAGAATTATGGCAAACCCCGACCCTTCCGCCTTGTCGAACATATGGCCTCATCCCGTCATAAACTGTAAAATACAAAGCTCCGCCACGGGCTCCTAAAATGGAACACGACGGGATCCGCGGAGCAAGAATTGCTCCGGTCCTTTTGATCTATTTTCCTGCGGTCCCAAAGTCAGAGCCTCAAACCCGCTCCCCCTCGGACAAGGTTTCCCTGCGACCAGGGGTGCACAGTCTGCTTCCATTCAAAAGACCAGAAAAATCACTGCCTGCGTCGTCAGCTTTTCGCACAAGGGTTTTCTCTGCAGGGCGACGTCAGATATTCGGGCGCCTAGAGAAAGCGGGAAAATTCCTCCCACTTTTGCAATTTCGCAAGACGGCACGATTAGAACAGAAATAATGAAATAATAGTCGAACCTTCCCCAGCACGTTCGCTCTTTTGGAACAAGCATTCTTTTCATCCGAGTATGCTTCGCAAGTGTAGCCAGACCAGTCGTCCGGGGGAAGAACACGTCCGATCCGCTGATCTCCACGTCCACATTCCACCCGGGCGAATGATGGGCCGGGAATCAAGCAATCGTTCAATCACAAAGACCCTCACGACCCTGACGACCCGAAGCCAACCGGAAATTGCCGTCGGAATGTCTGGCTTCTTCTTTGGGTGGACCCGCCACACGTGAATTAGAGCCTCGCGGCTGGCTCGGCCGGGTGGACTGGCCCCTCCTCCTCGTATTCTCGTTTCGACCGGCACTCTGCCATTATTTTTTCGTGTTCCTTGTCTGCCTGGCAATTTGAAACTGACATGGGTTATCTTTTCTGGTCGATCGGGGCTGGGCGCGCTTCCCTGCGTGCCAAGTGACAGCCCTCCGCTTTTTCAATCCCAATCTAACCCGCTGATAGGGTCGTATTGGGTATGAGAGGCTTAATGTGGCGGTGAAGCTGCTGTGTCTTCCGTCTTGGTCGTTATGGACAGTCGAGTGCTCCGTAGAGGTCAAGGTACAAATGGAGAGTGTGGACTTACCTTGCCATTATATATCCTGAAGAAGCGCCAGGCCTAAGCTTGCGGGCGCCTTGGAGAGGGCTGTCATCTAGGCTGTAGCGGGTCTTGCACTAGGCATCCTGAAGGCGACAGTGAGGATTGTAGGCGCCAGCATCCACTTTGGAGTTTTAACTCCACAGGATGTACTCAAGGGTATTCTGAGCGACTCGTATAAAGAATCATATAATTCCTCCTCGACCCTGAACCAGTATTTTGCGAGATTCCAGAGTCTTTGCGCGTTCTGTGTCAGCTGACTTGGGTGCCTGCTTCGATTTGGTTGGCTCCGACGAATCTCTAGCAGTAGCAAAGATCATAGTAGCTCATAGTTAATCGGATCAAAGATCTGTCATCTTCAATGGGGGCTTATAGGTATGGAAACATTCCCTGCCTGCATTCCAGAGGCTATGGCAGGTCTTGGGATAGAGAACCCGAGTATACGGGAGTTCCATGGATGATGCTGGCCTGCTCCAACTCCTCGAGCTTCGGCATACCTAGCCTACACAAACTGCCTCATCGGGTAATCTCTAAATATCTTGACATCGTATAACTACCATACTCCCAGATCTCGTAATCTGAAACCAGGGCTATCTACCTCCCTCATGGCTCGGGTGGGCTGTTGATAGGTTTTTGTGGAGATACCTACACTCGACTGGGGGATTGACTCAGGATGATATGAGCTTGAATCCGATTAGCTATTCAAGCCACAATTTGGTTACAACAGCCCAGCTTATCTGATAATGCTAGATTCTGGGAATGACCAGTGGGGTTTCTATTGATTCATAGATGTACCTTCGATTGAACTGAGTTGTTCGCGGTACCGGCTGCCCGGGTGACATACCATCCACATTTGGAATATATATCTCCACAGATCTTTAGAAATTTAGGTTCTATAAGGTTTAAATACACGAGAAGTTAATAGTATCGTCGCAAAGGACGTATGATTTCAAAATGCAAACTACATCGGCTTTCCCCCGAACGGTGCAGCGCGCTGCTACTTGCTCAGATCACAAGCCGAGGGCTGCCTAATGCATACCTGTGTCGGGGTGACGAGTAGGCATAGTATGCAACAGCCACGTAGCTCACCACTATCCAGCAAAATGATATCCAGAAAATCTGAACAGACATCAAACTGATCACACAGAATGTTACCGACACCGACAGAAAGCCGAACGCCGAATGCCCCTGGATCCAACCAAAGCATCATGAACCTCGGCTTCGGAACAGGCGACTGGCAGAATCGGGCGGTGCCGAGTTGCCCGCGTGTTGACTTACTTCCCCCGGATTCTGGATCCGGCGCATTTCGTCCTTCTCCCCCGCGCTTGCACGTTACAGTTGCACATTTCTGGCCTGATCGAATGGTGCGCCGGTGGCCTGCATAGGCTTGGATATCTTTTGTCGTCGTCTCTTCTCGTGAGACCCTCCTATCCCAATCCGTCCCCGTGCTCTTTCCCGACGGCAATTCGAGTCACCGCGCCAATGGAGTTTGATCATTACGGACAGAGCTCTCAGCAGCCTCGACAGCGGCGGAAACGTGTCGCTAAAAGGCGACTTCGCAATAAGCCTCCGGTCGCTGCTCGTTTAGCGCTGGATGCCCAGCTCCGTGGCAATGTCGGCCTGTTATCGGAGGACTTGGCAAAGGACCTCTTTCCGCAGCAGTCGCTTCAGGGTGAGTTGGGAGAAAAGACGACTCAGTCGAGAAATTACAATTGAAATTGGTAATGAGATGATTTGCTAAACTGCTGTATTTAATCAGACGTTGCGACGCACGATGGTGTTCACTATGTAGCCGTTTCCCCGCATTCCCCAACCTTTTCCTCGGTGGAGGACAAAGCATGGACGATTCTACCTGTGCGAATTCACAGCTCAGAGCGCTCGCAAACACCAATTTCACATTCCACCGTCCTTTTTCCCGATTCCGCCGATACCCTGCAACCATTCCTCCAGGCCCTCGGAAAGCTCGACGCATCCCGGAATTTGTTACAGACTCACCGGGCGGTGGAGATCCAGCTGCTCGATGTCGCCCCGCTGCAACTCGATACAGTCTTCGTGACCGTTGAGCGCCATCTACTCCGCAATCATGACGATGTACAGAACAAGTTCGGCGGGGGCTTCCCATCCAATGTTCATGGGCCAAACGGAGTCTGGTCCAAGACGGGCAAGGTTGCCGACGCACGAAGGCCATCGAAAAAGGCAGCGGCCGACGCCGAGCAACGACTGACTGCAGCCGTTCGTGAGGCATTGGCCGCTCAAAGGCTAGTGCATATCGGTGACGTCCTTCCACTCCCTCTTCCTCCACATCCTATCACCTATGCGCCCGCGCCACCCGCTCGTATTTCTTTCTGCGAGCCAGTTTCACAGGGTCTCCTGGGCCCGACGACAAAGGTGGTACTTGTTCAAGCTCGCTCGCAGCAGGGTAACCGGGTACCACAATCACTGCCACCGCGGTCTGCGCTCCTGAAACAAGTGGCAGAAGATGAAGCCGACGATACTTCCAATGAACAGTTCTACTCTGCGGCCGAGGACAAAGCTGGAGAGAGTGGCACTGAGGTGGAAACAACGTCTGCCGCCGAAGAATCCGAGACCGAAGGATCAGTCGGTTCCATGAGCGATGACTCTGACGATTCCCTCGAAGACATGATTTCGCTTTCCGCTCCCGAGCTTCCTCAACCTCCATCCGGCGTTATGTCTGCTATCACCTCCGCCACACCTAGAGCCGGCGGTCGACGAATTGATGGCATCCATACCCCAGGCTCGGTTGCGTCGAATTTCACATCGGCAACTATGCGGCCTGGCCGCGGCGGCGGGAAGGTGTTCAAGGTTGAAGGACTCTTGCAACAAGTCCCCAATGAGGTTCTCCATCCTCGCCCTCGCGATGACGAAGATGTGGATTCCTTCATCTTCGTCGATATCAGCACACTTGCCAAGATCGGTTGCTTCTCGGGCGATTGGGTTCGAATTGAAGCGACCGAGGAGCCTCAGCTCGGCATGTTCGCCTCGCTGAAGTTTGGTAGCTTTAATAATGATGCCGCTGAGGATGCTGGAGATTGGCGGCCTGTCAAGGTCTTTGGACTACCGGGGCTTCCATCTGCTAAGCCCCGGTATGCAATCAACCACTCCGGTGCTCGTCGGTCGAGCTTCTCGCAGCTGGCTCCGACGCGATTGACCCCTTCCGTCTTCGTGCCTCCATTGCTTCTGAGTAACATCGAGAACCCCAAATACCTCCGTATCTCCCCGATGACTTTTCCAGCCGCCAACGGCGTGTCGAAGCCTGGCCTCTTGCATCACATGAAGAACAGCGCCGTGAAGAACCCTCCCCTGGCGAAGGAAGTCACCCTGCTTAAAGTTTCCACGCCTCTGTCGATGGACCGGATTCTCCAGCCAGCTCTCTTTGCCGGGCTCAAGCAGTACTTTGAATCCCGACGGAGGATCCTGAAGAGTGGTGATCTTGTTGGTATCAGTGTCGACGAGGGATTGGGCCGAGCGGTCTTCTCTGGTACAGCTGGAGGTGACGGTGCCAACCAAGAAGATGATATCACTGCTCGGTTAGGACTGGGCTCTAAGCCGGAGAGCTCGGAAGCTCGTAAGGTCGGCGTCGCCTGGTTCCGTGTCGGTCAAGTTGCCCCCACTAGCATCGAGGAACTGGAGGAGACGGGTGAGGATCAATGGGGTGGCGTCGCGGTCATTGACCCCAGCAGCACTCGCATGGTTCAGGCTGGTAGCGATGTTAGCCGAGTGCCCGGTATTCTTGGTAACGGCTGGGAGTATTGGCTCGGCGTCAAGTCCATTCCCAAGACCGTTGGTGACGCACCAGCGCCTCACGGTATCGTCACAGAACCTCCACAGTCCTTTATTGCCCCCTTGCAGCTGCGCATCCGCGACCTGATGGCGGCAGCAACGAGTCCACGGGCTATCCAGCTGGGCATGAAGCCCGTAGTCATCCTTCTAAAATCTCAACAGCGACACATCGGCAAGGCAACCGTCGCGACCCGTGCTTGTGCAGATATCGGTCTCCACACCTTCCCTATTGATGCTTATGATATCCTCACAGAGGGTGGCGCAAGCGGCGGCGATGTCAAGACTGAGGCTTACCTCAAAGCTCGTGCCGAGCGGGCATTCCACTGCGGTGCGAACTGCACTGCCCTGCTAATCAAGCACATTGAAGTTTTGACAGCCGACCGTATTGTGACTGCTATGAATGATATCCTTGGCGAGGCTCGGGTCGTGATTGCGACGACCACGGATGTTGAACAGATCCCCGAGGGGATTCGCAGTCTTTTCAGCCACGAGTTCGAGATGGGAGCCCCCGAGGAGAAGGAGCGTGAGGGTATCCTGCGCAATGTGGTTGTGGAGCGTGGTATCAAGCTGTCAGCCGATGTTGACCTCGGAACCGTTGCGCTTAAGACCGCAGCTTTGGTCGCGGGAGATCTGGTAGACGTGGTGGAGCGCGCTGCGGGTGCCAGAACTGCCCGCCTCGAGAAACTGGCAGAGACCGCCAGCAAGCAGCTATCCGGGTCTGAAGTCTGCGTGAGGGACGTTCTGGTTGCCGGCGGAGACGGTGCCCGTGGAGTCACCAAAGCCGACTTTGACTTCGCCGTCGAGGCTGCCCGCAAGAACTTTGCCGACTCGATTGGTGCACCCAAGATCCCCAACGTTGGCTGGAATGATGTTGGTGGCTTGACTAACGTCAAGGATGCTTTGATCGAGACCATTCAACTGCCTCTTGAACGTCCGGAGCTGTTTGCCAAGGGCATGAAGAAGCGCAGCGGTATTCTGTTCTATGGTCCCCCGGGAACTGGCAAGACGCTGCTTGCCAAAGCCATTGCTACCGAGTTCTCCCTCAACTTCTTCTCCGTCAAGGGTCCCGAACTGCTCAACATGTATATTGGTGAATCCGAAGCAAATGTGCGCAGAGTCTTCCAACGTGCTCGAGATGCCCGGCCATGTGTTGTATTCTTCGATGAGTTGGATTCCGTGGCACCCAAGCGTGGTAACCAGGGAGACAGCGGTGGTGTTATGGATCGTATCGTCAGTCAGCTGCTTGCAGAGCTGGATGGTATGAACGGCGGAGAGGAGAATAGCGGGGGTGTTTTCGTCATTGGCGCGACTAATCGTCCGGACTTGTTGGACTCGGCACTGCTTCGCCCCGGTCGTTTCGACAAGATGCTCTACCTGGGTGTGTCAGATACGCACAGGAAGCAGGCGACGATTCTGGAGGCACTTACGAGGAAATTCGCTCTCCACCCTGACGTGTCTCTTGACCGTGTAGCAGAGAAGCTTCCTTTGACCTACACAGGTGCTGATTTGTACGCCCTCTGCTCAGATGCTATGCTGAAGGCAATCACACGGAAATCTACAGCTGTAGACGAGAAGATCAGACAGCTTCCTGGTGGTCCGGTGACCACGGCGTACTTCTTTGATCATCTCTCAACTCCAGAGGATGTTTCGGTAACGGTGACGGAGGAAGACTTCCTCTCCGCACAAGGAGAGCTCGTCCCTAGTGTCAGGTATGTGTCAATGAATAACTCAGTGCGAAAGAGAATCTTGAATGATGAATGAGCCTAACTTCTTGCAGTGCCAAGGAACTGGAACATTTCGAACGAATCCGCCAAACGTTCGAGTCCGTTGATAAGAAGCAGGAGGGCGGAAGTGGAAACAGTGGTTCGCAGACGATTGCCGAGGCCATGGAAGCGTTCAACCTGGACGCAGCGTCGCCGTCGCCCGTGGGAACTCCCACGAACAATGGCGATGGCTCCTTGGTCGGCAGTCTCCATGGCCGCATCAAGGGTTTGAGGCAGTGGCCTGGTGGTATGGTTCGCAGTGCCAGTGGTCAATCCACCACGAGCAGTAAAGGCAAAGGCAAGGGTGTTGCTGGGAAGAAGGGCAAAGGCCCGAATACTGGTGGTGATTCCGATGCATCCCTGGAGGGTGATGATGAAGAGATGGCTGACGGCCCAGTGGAAGATGAGGATGAGGAGCACTATATCGTTCGCACTGACCACCTCGCTAATCCCATGGAAGAGGTTGAGTAGTAGTACGGGTGATGATTTTCCTCGGCGATGGCCATGTTCAATAGTATCGCAGTGCTGTATATTAGATTTACTGCATTGGTTTTAATTGATATCCATACTACACCTGTTTGAAGTTTTCTCTCTTCCGTTCCGATTTCATTGTTATCGTTGCATCTCAGGGTCTCCCGCCGGTGTTGTTGACAGCTAGGAGCAGCTAGGACTAGTGTGTTGGGGGAAGTTCCGTGATGCTATTTAAGTCGCTGTGTTCATGGCAACACGTCCACACGTCCACACGTCCACACTTCCACAGGATTGATCGTTGACACAAACAATATTCCTATCCCGCATTCTCTTACCTTTTCTCGTCCATAAGTTTCCCCTTCACTCAGTAGATCGGCATCTCCACCACCAAACTCGATCACCTCTCTGCGAATACATCCTTTGCACCCGAGTACCATTCCCAAGATGGACCAGGGTAATGGCTACGAAAAGGCGCTGATCTCCTCCAAGGAGTGGGCCTGGGCCACCAATCCTTCCAACTGGTATGATCAAGAGGTGCTTCGTCGTATCGTTGCCTCCGACGGCGCGGATGATGCCCTAGCCCTCATGGATCTCCCCAATCTACCCAAACGCTTGCATGTCTCCCACGCGCCTGACACCCTGATCTCAGCTCCAGGGACCTTGTCAGCACTGCCCCTCGAGATCGTCTTCAAAATCATAGATCACCTGAATATCAAGTCTGCAGAGCTCTTCAGTCAGACTTGTCGCATGTCCCGATACTTGCTCCAACAACACCCGTCCTACAAAGCCCTCGTGCAGTTCGCTATGCCACTGCGATATTTGTACGAGAAGTGCGGGCTCGCGGATTACAACAGCTTTTACGACCTTGGCAAAGAGTTGCAGTACCCAAAATGTCGGTGCTGTGGTCACGAAGGCACGAAGCTCTATTTGCCTTTCGGAGAACGTATTTGCGGCAACTGCTCCGCTTACAACCCGGCTTTCTGGTGCATATCTATCCGCGATGCTATGTCCATCTTTTGCATGAGTGACAGGCAGATTCGAAAACTGCCCACCATCAAAGCCAAAGAGCTCCTTTGGAATCGCGGAAATCTCCTAAGTCCTGTGCAGATTGATCGGGATGGTCTCGTCTCCGCTAAAGCCGCTTTCCTCGCCGCAATGGACATTTGGGGCAACCGCGAGACCATGTGTCGCTACGCCTCGGCCTATGACAACGACTTTGATTACAATGAAACCTTTGATCGTGATATGCTTGTTGCTGCCTATTGGGTTCTCCGCAACATCCAGATCAAGACCCCCGACGACCCTACCCAACTCGACGGCCCCTCCATCTTTTTGCCTCCACAGGTGTCCGACATCACGAGCATTCCCTTCCCCTGGATCCCGAGGGGAAATACCGAAGCCGAGCGCCGCTACATGTGCCGAGGATGTGAATGGCTAAGTGACAAGAATGGAGTATCGCACACCCTGCTCGAGTATTCGGGCATCAACCCCAAATTGCCCCATGACAGGGTGAAACGTATCCTCGCGGGTCGTCGTGAAATGATCTACACTTGGAAAGATTTGATGATTCATGTCCGAGGCTGTGCTGGAGCTGGAATTCTGATGCGTCGCTACTTTGTCGAGAGAGATTATGAGTGGGGTCCGCCCAAGAGGTCATAAACTCTTTCGTCCGCCAATTTTCACAGAAACTAGCGCTTTCCAAATACACTTTCTGTCAAAAAAGGAAGAAGCAAACCTCTACCAAGAGTCATCACTGTTCACAAGACCAATAATACCATATGTGAAGTGATGAAGGAATGGTCTTTTCTATCGAACATTCCAAAGCACCCACCTCAAGTCAAGTCCATGCCCAAGGCCATTCTGATATCAGCTCTGTGTCTACCAATGTGACATATCTAGATTGCTATGGATTTAGCTTAGATGATATCTCGCGAATTTCTCCTACCTAGAGGTAGCATAAATTCAATTTTGATTCGGTTCGCTAGATGTACTGTAAAAATTAGTCTTAGGTGACCTCTTTACAGGTCTTTTGAAGAGCTCTCGATGTCACTGAAATCTAGAGCTATTTTCTGGGCTCTAGTCGACAAGGGTAGGTTGAAACTGGATATAGGAGTAGGCAACTTTGTATATATAGAGGGGAAAAAACGTAAATGGTGGTGAAGGAAATATACTAATAAGGCTGGGTTGGCGTTTAAGCTAACTTTTTATCCTATGCGTAATACCGATCTACGAAGAGAGCTGTATAGCCTGGGGGATTAAAGAATACTCATCCTCATTCGTATCGCTAATTACATCCATTTCTAACGCCAGCCGGTTGGTCTGCTCTCGTGATCTGTTGCGAGCTCTGCTTACAGGCCAGTACTCGCAGATGCCTTTTGTGGCGCAAATCTCCACCCCCTCAACAGCTCAGCCTCACGAATCATCACCCGGGTTAAGCGCCGTTCTTGTCCATGTCCGACTTTCAGTCTCCTCCAGCTACCAGCTCAAGCCTGGTTCTAGCTGAGCATTTCATCACATCACCATGTCAAAGGCGTTGGCGTCTGCGTCGCGCCTCAAACCACAAATACGACTCTCTCAGGCGATTGCGGAGTTCCAAGCTGACCTGACTATCGATCAGAAAGCCGAATTCGATAACCACACGGCGCGCATGTGCAGAGCCCCTCCTTCGACAAATGATGTAATGTATCTCACGGCAGAGATAGACCAGCAGCTTTCCAGGAAACACCGTCGATGTCTGGGTACTCGGACGACGAGCTTTCTACAATCCGTTCAACAATTCGCGGGCCTTGGAGATATATTGGTGGGAGGCTCGCAGAACTTGATCGCGTGTGGTGTTTGGACACTGGTGCGAATGTCGCTGCTAGTGAGTTGTCCTTTTCTGATTGATTTCTTTCCAGGATGCAGCTAAAAAAGATGCGCCGTAAGATGCTTTTGGGATTTTCGAATTATTTTGAGAAGCTCTCACATGTTTTCATGATTATTGGTCGATCGGCGCCGCGCTATGAAAAACTTGCGCTCTTATATTCTCGATCTAATACCCTACGATCCTCGTTGTGTGAATATTTCATCGTGACTGTCCACCTATGTCACCACATTTTGAAGTTTACCAAGAAATCCGCGTTTGGAAAGCTGGGCTCAGTGCTGAATGATCCGGAGTTACCCGAATATCAGTCACAGTTGGAGACATGGGCTGAAGAAATCAAAGGCGAGGTCAACTATCTCATGGCTCAGAGAATCGAAGAACAGGCCAACGTACACACGAGGATATTTTCAACGAAATCGCGGAAGTCGACCTCTTATCAACGTCGGATGAGAGAATACCTGCGTGCTCTTAAATTTTGCTCTACCTATGATCATATAACACCGTGGAAGCAAGCTCGAAAGTCTGGGCATACGAACTTGTTTTGCCAGTGCCCAGAGTTTATGAGATGGAAAGACCTTGATACCTCGAGCAGCCTCATACTAACTGGTCCTCTGGGATCAGGAAAGACTGTCTTGATGGCGAACATGGTGGATTATCTCAATTTACAATCTCAACCCAAGACCATTCCCATTATCTTCTTCTTTTGCCGACACGATCTGCCTGAAAGCCTAAGCCGACGGGTGGTGATTGGCTCATTAACGCGACAACTCCTGGAGCAAGGGTCAAATTCGACCGAAAAGTTGGAGGATTGGGATTTGGTTAACGTTGATGAGTGGGAGAAAATGCGTCGCATGTTGAACTTGAGCCTCCCTTCGGATTTCAAAGCCTACCTGGTCATTGATGGCCTCGATGAATGCACAGCTTCGGACAGGGGGAAATTGATTGAAGATCTGCGATTTTTGCAAGACACCTTCTCCTTGATGATTTGTGTGTCCCTTCGCCAGACCCCGAGGTATCCTCTCTCTATCAACCGAGGGTGGGAAAAGTTGGCATCGATTATTGTTGCACCCGTTCCGAACAACGCAACCGATATTGAAAAATTCATCGCAGAGGAGCTGGAAGCTCGTATCGAGTCCGGAAGCCTGACCATAGGAGACCCGGCCATCATTCTTGAGATCGAAGACAAGTTGCTACAAGGCTCACAAGGGATGTTCCTCTGGGTCGCTCTCCAGATTGACAGTTTATGTTTGATGGAAACCGATGAGGCAATCCGCTTTGCATTGGCTGACCTGCCTCCCGACCTATCCACTACATTCGCTCGTATTCTCAATGAGGCAGATGATATCCGTCGTCCAAGCTTCAAGTATCGGAGGAGCATTTTCGAATTCGTTGCAGCGGCTCACCATCCGTTGACCCTCGATGAGTTACGCGAAGCGTTGAGTGTAACTCCTGGGGACACGACCTGGAACCCCTCACGGCTTCCCAATAGTATCCTCGATACCCTGGCCTGCTGTGGAAGCCTTCTAATGGTAGATGAAGAAGGGATGACTGTGAGATTTGTACACAGCAGTGTCAAGCAGTTTTTGATCGAGTCCGGTTCACAGACAGATTGGGTATTGACTATCGACGCGGCACACAGACACATGGCAGATGTGATTATCACATATCTGAACTATGGTGTTTTCGACAAGCAACTCTCTAAGCGTCCCGAACCCCTCACTTTAAGCGTTGGACCGGCCCCGTCCGCGATAATTCAGTCAAGCCTTGAGTTCTCAAGCGTAGCTAAGGATATCGCAGTCAAACTTCTCAGGTCCAGGAAGAGCCACGGTTTTGACATGGGTAAATCCCTAAGGGAAATGAATCTTTTACCTCATAAAGAGACCGAGCATCATTTCCGGTTCCTCTCCTACGCGATGGAGCAATGTCTCTTCCACATAAGTCATACTGCTAGAGGCCCACAGCTCAAGGACTTGTTGCTCCTATTGCTCCGTCGCAAAGGATTGCATCTTGAAGTTGGTACTTCCGGGTCCAATCTGCTGTTTTGGGCTGCTGAATATGACCACGAAGAAACCTTGAAGGTCTTATGCCAGTACACCGGCATAGATCCAAATGTGCGAGACAAAAATGGCCGGACACCTTTGCACGTGGCAGCATTGTTCGGGAATGAGATTGCCGTCAAGCAGCTACTGAGTTATCATGATGTGGACGCGAATCTCAATGATGACGAAGGCTGGACCCCTCTAATCACTGCCATTCATTTCGCACCCGAATCAGTCTGCAAGGCACTGATTCAATCCGACCGAGTCTCCACCATTGAGCCTAATTCGAAAACGGGTCAAACACCATTACACGTAGCTGTCTTGCACTCGGGGGCTGCGAGAATTGTGGAGATGCTTCTTCACACGCATCAGACTCTGCCTTACACACGCGACCTGGAGAACCTGACGGCTCTCCAAAGAGCCTTGAAGGCTAGACATGCCAAAGTGGTACAAGTGTTTCTACATGCGGTTCAGGAACACTTCCATTCAGGTATCAACGTTGTCCTCGAAGAAGCGGCTTTGGGTGACGCAGCAGTGAGTGACTCTTCCCTCGTTTACCCCTGAAAATACTGACATTAAAATAAGGGCCTGGAATTACACGCCGCTCTTCACAATGCCATAAACCAGAAAGATGATGCAATGACCGCAGTTCTTCTAAATTGCAGGGGACTTGATCTAGATTTTCAAGATCACAACGGCGACACGCCACTCCACCGAGCAGTCTATCATGGATCTGAAGCAATTGCCTTTCGACTCCTAGAGTCTGGTGTCGGAGTAAGCATTGAAAATTTGGCCGGGAGCATAGCTTTGCATGCGGCAGCGGCTAATGGCCTTGTCAACGTGGTCCGCCGCATGCTTGAACGCGAAAAGCTCAACCCCAATCATCAGAACAAAAAGGGCATCACCCCCCTTCATCTGGCATTTAGGCATAATCAGCACGTCGTTGCCAGGATACTCCTTAGCTCTGGCAAGGTCGATCCCAATATTGAAGATTTCTGGGACCGGATGCCGCTCGAATACAGCGCCCTACGACTATCCACCCTAATAATTAGACTACTTTTCGATTCAGAAGAGATTCGTCCAATGGACAACAGTCTTCGTCTAGATCGGACGGGTTGGGATGGTCAGAATCTGCTCCAGAGGGTCATTGCATGTAGACCGAAACCAGAGACCCTGGACCTGCTCCTGACAATATCAAACTTTGATGCTACGTATACTGATAACGAAGGACGGACAGCGCTACACTCGGCCGTGATATATGGAGCTGGAATCCAACTCTTGCTTGACACTGAGAATTTTGATTATGCCCTGCGGTGGAAAGATCAGAATGGGCTGACTCCTCAAGATCTGGCGGAGAAAATGGGCAATCAGAAAGCAATTCGGGCTGTGACGACAGGCAAGAGTGCCGTGAGGGCATATAAAAGACTGGGCCCTCGGAAGAGGTCGAGTTAAAAGTTAAACGTATCTGTACCTGAATCAATTAAATGACAAGTACCTCCGATTAGGATAAATGAATGTGTCAAAGAGCGAGACGTCGCCACTGTCCAAATGCCAAATTTAGGGGATGACCAGATTGCTACGACTGTAATCTGTTTTGAGCCAGGAACAATATAACGAATCTTGTGATGCACAATGTGTGACTTCTCATTGCTATGGTATAGTCTATCTTTCAACAATCCCCGAGCGACCTGTGCTCGAGGAGAATCTTCAGCAGGATTGGGAGATCCAAACATGAAGGGGACTTCTGAATCCAGCAGAGCCAATGTCATATTTGGGCCAATACGAGGCCCTTAAAAATCAAAGATATCGTAATCCTCATTCATGACTTGACATCCTTCTTGAGAACATCATCCGACCCACTTTGCTCACCACTCTCAGAGTGGACTTCGCCAACATGCACCTTTTGCATGGCACGGGCGATACGGGGCGGATCAAAGATACTCTTCGACTTCGCGAAGATCTCATCAATCTCTTCCAAAGAGCGGCCCTTTGTCTCAGGGAAGAAGAAGTAGACCGATGGAACGATCACAGCGTTGATCACCGCGAAAATAATATAATAGCGGTTTGAAATAGTCGAAAATCCGACGGGGGTAACCTGAGCGAGCAAGAAGTTGAAAGCCCAGACAGTACTGGTCGAAACTGCACTGACGGCAGCTCGAATTTGGAGCGGTGCCATCTCGGCGGCATAGAGGAATGTTAGACCCGAGTAGCCGACGGTGAAGATGAACTGGAAAGCGTAGAGGAAGATCACGGCAAAGACAAGGGCGGTGGTGTTATCCTTGGTGGATGTCGTGCCTGCAAGACCAGCCATGCAGATAGACATGGCTCCGGCACTCCAAAGCATAAGTGGTCGGCGACCGAGACGATCGATGGTGTAAAAGGCAAGGAAGCCACCCATAGGCTGCATCAAACCCATACAGGCAGCGAGAACTCGAGCCCGTACGGCGTCCATGCCGAGATATTCTTCGAAAATCGTGGTAGCGTAGTAGGTAATAAGGTTCACACCGCACATTTGTTGGAACATTTGGCCAGTAGCAGCGAGATAGGTACGGTGGAAGAGACGTTGTTTTCCGTTTGTGAACATATCGGTCCATTTGCCCGATCCGCAGTAGGCGAGAGAGGCTTCGATAGAGTTGATGCTTTCGGTGACGGTGTCAGAGTCGGACTCGGCCTCGAGTAAGGCTCCCAGAACCTCACGGGCCTGCTCGATTTGGCCAGTCTTGACCAACCATCGAGGTGATTCGGGCAGCATATAAATGAAAATCATGGCCGTTGCGGAGAGAACCACCTGGAACACGAGAGGGAACCGCCATGAGACGGAGCTACCTTGCACAAAGTAGAATCCAAAGTCGATCCAGAGTGCGAGAGTGACACCGACACCAACGAAGATACCGTCAGTCACGACATTGGATCCTCGCTTGTGGGCAGGTGAAAGTTCCGATTGCCAAACAGGCACTGTCGCCACGTAGCCTCCGGTTCCGAGGCCAAGTATTAGACGGGCAACGATGAATTGAGCGAAGTCGAAGGATGTCGCCATCAGAATGGCACCAATTATTGAGATAAGGTTTGTAAAGAAGATGACCTTACGCCGGCCAAGGACATCACCAAGATAGACGCAGGAAAGAGCACCGAAAATACCGCCGACCGTATATAGTGCAATGACGGTGCCTGTTATAGCAATGCATGGATTAGAAAGACGAGTCCACCGGTGACCATTGACGGCGTTTTGGACTCTCTGATCTGATCCCTGGTATAGTTCTCATTGACTCACCTTGTATTTGTGAATTCTCCGACTTCTGTGCACCGGTGGTGTTGATAGTGTCCATCTGAGGGAATTGCTTGTTGAAGGCCGACAGCGTCAAGAGACCACCGGCCACACTCATGTTGTATCCGTAACAAGTAAATGTCGGACATACTACCAGCATGACGGCTGCTCTTAGCAGTGCATTGCCCTGTAGGCCGAAGAAAGGTTTCGAACCCATGGTGGCGCAAGTATTATAGAGCCCCCGGCCAAAAAGATCAAGGAAAGCCGGGAACTGTTAGATGGATCTGGGTGTCGAAATTCCCGCCAAAGTGAATGTTGAATCCAAAAATGCAGGTTGATATTGGCAATTTGTGTTGTTCTTTCATAAAAGAATGGCTGATGACGATATATGGTACTAGTTGGCCACCGCTGCGCCCAGCCAGTCTAAGTACGACGCGTGCTTTTCGGTGCTCGCCGGTCCCCGTGGATCGTCAGAAAATTGGCGAAATTTCGACCCTTGGCGGACCAGCATTTTACCCCACATAATCCATGCTTCACCAGGACGCCATGCGGCTACTTGGGCTACTTGGCATGCAGGAACCCCGAGTTTCGCTTTAAATGAACGAATGATCTTGCAGAGTCGAGCAGGTCTAACTTGTTTCACGAACGCTATTCAATGCTTGATGGCCATCGGGGTTCATAAGACGTACGAGCGGAAAGCGTCCCAGCCACTGTTCTCGAGCATTTACCGTCTTTCCCCACAATTATCTATGTGGAGAGTGGCGGATACCTCGGTTCAGTAAAACGATTGAGTAATAGTAACGGAAATCCGGGGATAGAATGAAGTCGGCGTGATTCTTATATAGACATGATCGATTGAGATCACTTTCTGCAAAAGCCACTGTCCCTGACTGACAATGTTTCGCTAAGTTTGTGAATTGACTTTTTAAACATCGGCGCGAAGAACATTGCCGGAAGGTTATTCCTTCTACTCGATTCTCGGCACTCACACAAGCGGCAGTTAACCGGAATTCGGGCCAGCCACAAAGCCGCCGGTCTCGGCGGTTGATAGCGAGATCCGGCTTTACCCCATCGGATTTGTGATGTACTTGACTCATGCTAGCGATGTGGGCGATTTGGGGGATGCTACCGTAACCAGACGGTTCTTGAAATGTATCAATTGAAGCCCTCGGGCTTTTTTTATTCCATCAACAGGCTGTGTTCGGCGTATTACAAACTATGCGACCGGGCGACCGCCTACTTAAGAAAGATTTGGTCGTGTCGGACAAGTTTTTATTCACAAGAGTGATCCAGATGTACTATCACACGGAGTTTGCTGTCGCGGTAAGCCATTACCATCATATAGATCTGCTACTTCCTTGACCGAGCACGCGGCCAGAATGCCAAAAGGTGGGACGGGATCGGATCGATCTCATTTGGGGCAAAAGCGCGAGAGCCGAACTCCAGAAGCCTTCCGGCATGGGAGAGTCCGGAGCTGCCGGCAGCCACCAGCCACCAGCCACCAGCCACCAGCCACCAGCCACCAATAGTCACTCTCACTGAATAGTGGTCGGAACAGTAGCCATCCGAGGCAATTATATCACGAGGCTGACGATAATTTTCAACACTTTTCATTTCACCTCAATGGGTCGTGCGTACTCAACATCTACTGTACTATCCCCAGCAGATGGCAATTTGAAGATCACGTTGGGCCTATAAAGCTAGTCGTGAGAAGTGCCGCTAGTACCTACAGCACCAGCTGGTGATCCTCTTTAGCTGCCCAGCCATATATCCTGATCTACTCCGTACCCATAGGGAATCCATGAGTCATTGAAATACTTTTGCAAAACGGTTTGACCGTAACTCATATCATCCACGCAGTAACCACCGCCAGTTGGTCCAATGTGCGGGCAGTGGACATCCGGGTGATACTGCACCATATGCTCATGAACCTCACGGCAAAGCAAGGTATTCCGCCCAAGCTCATAGCTCTTGCCAAAACGAATAGACTTGGTCAAGTAGTTATAACAAGCGCTATTGTCGGTATATTGCTGGTCGGATCCTGTGCAGTATTGGTCATGAGTTGCGCAGATAGTTTTCGCCAATACGTCTGAGACGTATGCGACCGCTTGGTCCGGGGAAGTTGCGTTGATTTTGGTCGCAACTCCTTCCAGAAGAAAATCCAGTAGGTATTCAAACCAGCGGAATGTGGCATCGTATTGAGCGATCTTTCCGTCCGGGTTAAATTCGATCCATGTATCAATAGTGACAGGGATAAGCACCCCGAAGGTCGTCGCGTTGAACGTAACTACTGTTGTCGCACTGGCGATGTTGTCATTTGCGGCGAACTGAGTGATGCTATACGCGATCGGGACCCCAACGAGGCTGACATGCGCCGGGTCCGCGAAGAGACCGAAAATGTACTCGCGATTGAGCTCGTCGCCATCAAAAGTACGCGTTATGTCCACACGCCCTTGCACCTAGTTATCATAACTGCCAATCAGTCTCCACGTCAGGAATCAGTTCGGATAATCTTCCTCACGTCGGCTGCGAATATGGTCGACTCGTTTCCCTGGGTCTGTTTTGTATTCGCAGGGTAAAGAAAGGCATCCCAGAAACCCTTTTCCAGCTCCCATAGCTCATCAAATGTGAACACTGATTTTGGAGGCTTGTTCTCGACAGGATCCTCAGCCAAAGTTGTAGAAAATAAAGTTGTGAAAGCGATACTCAGTGCAAGGCACCAGGCAGTCGAGGAGAAATGCATTGTAATTAATACACCATCAAAGAACACCTTTTCGTTCAGGCTAGAGGAGAAGACTCTCACAAGTCTGTGCTCGATGAGGAGGGGGTCTGACTTTAGATATAATTGTTTCCATTCTCCCACCATAGTAACCAAGAACACCACCTCAACTCACCCCCTTGTATGGCGTCCAATAAGCTTGGCACCTAACATGGCAAGGAAGCTGCTCTCTACTATTGGCTTATTAAATGCCAAATCAAAGCTGTAAAGCAAAAACCTCGGACTCCGAGGCTCTGCAGAGTTTGACGCCCTAATGTCCTCGTTGACTTGGCCATGGCCTTACAAAGGGCTGCAAAATTTCTAACTGAAAACTTTTGCCTACGGTTTTCAAAGAAATAATGAGGCGGAGAGAAATGGATATGCTCTGAGACCATTCAGAGCCCGAGATTTGAACGGAGGTGATAAATAAACGAGCGGAGCGAAGAATGCGCCGCTCCAATCAAGAATATGGTATGTAGTAGTTTTCCGGTCCCACATACCCAAGGAAACGCGTTACTGAGCATTGGCCAAAAGGGCATGGCCTCCTTGCCGCGTAAATGCTACCTGATAGAATGTGGGAAGCTCTGCGCAAAGGTTCCGACAGTATTGTAGTCAGCTGCAAGTGAGGAATATCCTTTTATAAACCGGCGAGAATATTCCCCTAATTTGATTCCGATTATTGACAAGAGACAACGCAGGCCAAATCCAGCTTCGTAAGCTAGCATTGTCGCGACTGTAATTCAATTTTTTTTACGGGTATTATGATGGACCAACAAACCACATATTGATCTCTCAATCCGGCTCTTTCGGGTAGTTCCCAATGAACAAATCTCTGAACAGTAGGATCTTAGGCTTGTCCGGGAATATTTCCTTGAGGGTTAATGACGAGATCGAAAGAGCGATGCCGAAATTCATCAGAAACCTTTAATTTCTATACATGTACTCGATATCTCTGGCGCAAAGGGAACGGACCAAAAGGAAGATCGCTGTTGATGCCTTGGCGCCTTAGGCCGTTAGTCTCTATCGGAACAGTAACGAGTCAGCCATGCAGGTGCCCCAAAAGAAATCACAATGAGTCTGAATTGTTGTGAGGCTCCCAGCTGGCAATTTTATATCGCTCTTTTACAGAATGTTCCATGGGAAAGACAGCAACGATGGTTTTAATTTGCTGTTTACCCCATCTTCATCCCCATGATGAAGGATAAGCAGGCTCATTACTAGGGCGGTTAATCCGACTGGCAAGTCTCTCATTTACTACAGAACTCGAATTTCTTGCAAATATTTATCCTATAAGATTTTCTGCAGAGCAAAAGGCAAAATACTGACGTGCCGTGCTGCATCCTCGACGATGAGGTCGGCAGAGCGGTGTTTGATACTGGTCCCACTAAGCTCCAGCCGTACCAGATCCCGGGCAGCCTTGCGAACAAACCCAGTAAGTCAAAGCATAAGCACTAAAATCCCTAAGCGATTTGATACATTTATGGTCCAATAGATGCTTGAAGATCTTCGGTATCTTTTTGAACTAATTACGTGGCCTGTAAATTGGCATCGCTCTTAAAGCTGCAAGCAATCCCCACGGCATTTGAAATCCCCCAGAGCCAGCAGTGACTGATCACTACCCTATTTCAACATGGCCGAGCTCGAGTACATCACCCTCGCGACTAAACCCAGCGCAAAGATTAGCTACACTTTCTATCAGCCTGCCAAGACACTCAACCCCGCCCTGATCGTTTTTTTGAACGGTTTGGGACTTCCACAGGCTGCTTGGGGGCCAACGATCAATTTGCTTCAGGAAAGACACCAGGGAACTGGATTGCCAGCCATCCTCACATACGACCGGTTCGGCCAGGGACAGACTACTGATACCGATCCTGCCGACGAGGGAGCTACGGACCCCACTCACGGCCATGATTGCCTCGAGGTCGTGAGAGATCTTCGACAGCTTCTCTCACAAATTGCGGAAGACCAGCTGGAAATCTCGGATCTCAATAGCTTACCGTTGGTGCTGGTGGCAAACTCAATCGGTTGTGCTCTCGCTCGCCTTTACGCGCAAGAGTACCCCGGCACGGTTGCTGGTCTCTTGCTTCTCGACAGTATTCTAGCCAATTCCGACTTTGTGTCTATTTTCCCCGATCCAGATGCCGAGGGCTTTGATGGCGAAAGTCTCCCTTCGGGGATTACCCCCGAGCTCTTGCGTGCCGCTCGTGAGCGTACCAAAAGGATTTTCCATCCGGATGTCGGTAACAAGGAAGGACTGAGTCGAAAGAACTTACGGACGCTTCTGCCTGCAAGTGACGGGCCCGTCCTTCAAGGTCCCAAGGGTCATCCATTCGTCACCGTCGTCGGTCATGATTTTGAGACTTTCTCAGAGCAGTCAGCCCGGATGGGTCTACCACGGCCTCTGTCTATGACATATTTGAATCCGCACTGGCACGAGTATAACGAGGGGTTGGTAAAGATCACGGAATCGGGGAAGAGCAAGGGTCCCCTGCTTGCGCCTGGCTCGGGGCATTTCGTACAACAGGATTCCCCGGCATTTGTAGCACAGGAGCTCGCTGAGATCCTCACAAATGCTCTTTGAAACAGATATTTCACATTGGCTTTGGTGTGACGAACAAGGGTGATATTGGGTTAGGGAGCTCCTGGTACACCCGGGGGTATGGAGGCTCTGAGAGGCTGCATGCTGAAGCCTGCATTGGATTCGCACGGGCTCGGCTTGGAACTCTGTCGAAGGTGTGAATGGAAGTTGGAAGTGATGTACACGATATCCCAATGAAGCATTGGCATTTTTCTATCGTGATTATGTAGCGCAATCTGGTTGGCATATCGTCACCAATGATCCCGATTTAACAACGTTCTTCCGTTCATTTTACGTGCAGTAAACTTCTCAATCAAAGCTGGACCTGGACTCAAACGGGCATTGTTTAGTACAAGGTTAACCACCAGAGACGATGGTCATGCCTATCTATAATCCCCCTGTTGTCCTTCTTACCGGACCCAAGTACTCGGCCACCGGTTCCAAAGTGGGGATGAAAGCTTAATGAGATTTGGGATCAGACAACGGAGTCCACTTGCTCATTTCCCAATCAATCCACACGTGATGGCGCGACCGTGCGAAACCCAAAAAAAATCTGCGAGATAGCTTGTTCCTGATTTTCCCTTTCGCACAGTATTATCTCTTAAAACAAACAGAGAAAATCTCTTTTTTAGTTGAAATATCAGCGTTCTTCGTTCGCAGTCAACAGCTAAGATGCTTTCTGCCGATGCCAAGGCTGTCTCGAATGCAGCCAAGCCCGAACATGACGTTCAGAACACGGACCACCTCTTGTCTGTGACTGAGGAGGACGATCGCGAGCTGTTGAAGCTTGGCTATCGTGCTGTTTTGGCGCGTGGTTGGGGGACTTTTGATAACTTCGCTTGCTCGTTCTCGGCTTTGAATGTTATTGGTGGGATTCGAGTTTTGTTCTACATTGCTCTGAGCAACGGAGGACCTGCTGCTTTGTTAGTTTTTCTTGGGTCTTTTGCTTAATGGTTGACTAGGTGCTAACAATCTTTTTAGATGGAGCTCCTGGGTCTCGGGTAGTATTCTATCTATCATCACCGCTGCCTGCCTCGCTGAAGCGTGTTCCGCTTATCCCGCGGCTGGCTCGATCTACTACTGGGCTTTCAGGTCGTGGGGTGGTGGCCGTCTGGGGCGTTTCGTCTCATACTTGATCGCCGCTTGGACTCTCGTTGCATGGACTGCTTTCCTGGCGAGTGATTCGTTCGGAGTTGCCAACTATCTCGTGTCAGAGATTGTTATCTTCAACCCAGAGACCACATTCCCCATTAGCACCTCTGACGTGAAAGCTCGTGCCATCGCATGGGCCTTGTCGTTGGGCTTCCTGGCACTCGCTACGTCGCTGAACTTTTTGCCTCCGCGCATGTATTCTTGGGTCTTCCGTACGGGATTCGCGGTCATTGTTGTCGATATGCTGCTCAATTTCATTTGGCTGCCGATCGGCGTGTCGAAGACCTATGGTTTCCAGTCCGCGGAATTTGTCTTCACTTCCGAGTTCAACGGAGAAGGAACAGCTCCTAGCTTGAACTGGGTGCTGTCTTGGTTCCTGGTCTCTAGCTGTCTCGTCGGTGAAGATGCCTCTGGTCATGTGGCCGAGGAGACCATCTCAGCCAAGAAGGCCGCTGCGAAAGGTGTCTTCTGGTCGACCGTTGCCTCTGCAGCGTGTGGTTTCCCGATCATCATCATGTTCTTGTTCTGCATGCCGCCTATCGAGACCTTCTACGACACGACTGCGCCTCAGCCGTTCATCAACATGTATGCGCTCGCTCTGGGTCCCCACGCCCACGTTGTCATCACTATCGTCTCGATGGTCGGTGCCATTCTCAATACCTCGATCTCCCTAGTCGCTGTCTCGCGTCTCGTTTTCGCCGTTGCCCGTGACGGTGTCTTCCCATTCAGTGACGTTCTCTCGCGCGTCTCCAAGGACAAGCAGCCCCACAACGCGGTCATTTTCATTGCCTCTATTGCTGCGCTCCTACTTTGCACGCAGCTCCCATCCCAGGTTGCTTTCGCCAGTCTGGTCTCGACTTCTGCTGCGGGATCTCTCGCCGCTTATGGTCTGGTCGGAATTGGTCGTGCCTTCATCACACGGACGTCTTTCCGCCCTGGCTTCTGGGAGATGGGTTGGTTTGGAGTTGTGGCTGCCGTCGTCACGTTTGTCTGGAACACTTTCGCATTCGCTGTGCTTTGCGCTCCTCAGTACTCCAATGCTGTAATTGATCAGGACTCCGGTCTGTTCAACTATGCGATTGTCATCATGGGCGGAGTCACCATTATCGCAATGTTCGAGTGGTGGCGCAAGTCAAAGGATGATTGGTTCCAGCACCTGAAGACCAGCGACTCCTCATCCGAAACTGAGACCACCGTTGAGCAAGATGTGGCAATCAACTCAGCCGGTAAGGAGGCTGTTGTCTAAGTGGGGATGGATTTCTCACCGACTTTGGACGGGATGGAACCATTGTGCGAACTACTGGTTTTGGGAACGGGGCTTGGTGGACATACTCGGCAACCATTCTCTTGGAGAGCCTGGGTAAGTACTCCTGATAGGAAGCACGCATGACGGGTGTCCGAGGTTTTTACTGCAAAGTAAACCTCGGTCTGAGAAATACCGTTAGAACTTGATCTGGACAATACCAGCGAAAGGACATGCCTGCCTCATTTTCCGTTTTCCTTCCTCCTAGTCTTCCGTGTCTTGCCTCATGGCTGGGCCTGGGGCAGATGCTACTGACGGGACTATGGTCCCCCTCGTAGGTCGCGGTTTGCTGCTGGCCATTGGTGAGTACGTTTGTGGCCCACCAGCTTAGCATGGCACTTCACTGCTACTTGGTGTACGTCAGGAACCATTCTCTGCTTGATACCATCCGTTGGGTGTCCTGCGGCTGGCCTAATATTGCTGGGCAGTGATGTGTTGTTCATCTCGTACATCTTTCGATGTGTCGAGAAAGCGCGTCACCTCCTTCAATGCTTAGAGTCGTTCGACGGATGGCCCTTCACGGTTGGAGTCGGCGAGAGATGGATCAGCAGCAAGCCGCCGTAGTCTCGTACTTTTGATCGTAGATGGGGATCTCTGGTTGCTCGTACCAAGGCACCGATGTGGCCCGAATTCGTAGCATCTTAACCTTGCAGATTTCCGATATGGCGGCAACCCAGTAATCCACCCCTTTCAATAGTGTCTCACCTTTTTAAGCATGTTGGCAATGTCAACAAAGGTACCATGTGGGCATGTTTGACGTCAGAAGTCGATCTTTGCCCGCAATATAGGCCCCGGACGTGAGGGGAAGACACCTCACCCCCTCAATGAACAATTCCTATGATGATTGGACTTTTTCGCTAGAATTTTGTATTTTCTCAGATAACGAACACTATACATCTCCTTCCATTTTCGACACGCGACGGACATGGCGTTTGCACGCAGGTTAGCCATCCTCCCTGGCGGTCTTGGTAAGAAAGGGTTACCATCAGCATAATCAAGGCCGAATTAACGCAACTTCCACCTACAGGCGGCCTCGGATCCTGCATTGGTAAGAAATTACATCAACAAGGCGCACGGCTCGCGATTCTCTACGCCCCCTTCGAAGCCGCCCGCCGCGATCAACTACTCGAGGCCGGTTATGGCGGTGACTCCAAGGTGAATGAAATCCACACCTACGAGTGCGATATCACCTCGCCCGATTCGGTCCAATCTGCCTTTTCCTCTTTACACGAGGACCTCGTCTCGCCAGAGTCTTCGTCTGGGGCTGAGCGGGCGTTCCCCAGCATTCTGATCAACGCGGCTGGATACGTATCTCTGAGCGATATGGAGAGTACACCACCAGAAGAAACGATGAAACATCTGTCCACCAACGTCTTCGGGCCGATGCTCTGCTCACAGGCCTTTGCCAGTATGTACTTTGCCGCGTCCCAGACAGCTACCTCCTCGCCTAGTCCTCTGCCACCCGGAAGGATCGTCAGTCTCTCAAGTCAAGCTGCGCATGCCGCGCTACATCGGCATGGGGCGTATTGTGCTTCCAAGGCTGGGTTGAATGGGTTAACTCGGAGTATGGCTTCGGAGTGGGCTGGGCGGGGGATTACTGCGAATACGGTTTCGCCGACGGTCGCGTGGACGGATTTGGGGAGGAAGGCGTGGGGAGAGGAGTCGGTGCGAGAGGCATTTCTGAAGACGATTCCCGTTGGGAAGTTTGCTCTTCCTGAGGAGGTTGCTGATGCCGTTGTGTTTCTTTGTCAAGTAAGTTTGTTCTCTGGAGAGTTGGATGCTTGTTTTTTTTTTTCTCGTCATTCGGTCAATCTGACAATCGGACCAGGACTCGAGTGGGATGATCAATGGCGCGGACATTCGAGTTGATGGTGGGTTCACCATCAGGTAGTGAGTAACATCGTGAGAAAAGGGCCTTAGGTGGTTGTCAGGGTAGATTTATCTGTGCATCTGGGAGGGGCTAAGCTTAGAAGCTCTCCATTGCATCGTTTAGTATCTTATCAGGACGCCTCCCTCCGCGGGGATGTTAATACTCTAGATAACGAGTGGAGCATAGTACAAGCTCATGTCGAGTCGCATCTGTCAGGCCCAAGGCTCTGGATATTCGACTTCAACCCAGCCTGTGATTCTCGCAGACTCATGCAGTGTTACCTCCCCCTCGCATTCTCCAGTGCAGCCAATTGTAGAACAGCCTCATCCTCACCGCGTCAGCCGCCAGTCGCGTACACGACCACCCCGCACTGCGGGTGATCTTGATAAGCTCGCCCCTCCTACTTGACTCCAACTCTCTCCTCAAATTCCACATTCACCTCCCCTTCCAATATTAGCCGTGACCGGCCCGGAATTGTATAAATGATCTAGAGAAAAGGGAGATCTCACAACGAGTCTTGAAAATGACCGTCCAGACACTACGAGAGATCTCCGCACACAATCTCCGCACCTTCCAACGCAACTATGTCTCTGAAATTTCCGGGTCGCTGGGCGACTTGGGCACTTTTCTCCCTATTGCCATTGCCCTGGCCGTCAATGGCACCGTCTCACTAGCCAGCACGTTGATTTTCTCGGGAGTTTACAATATCCTCACGGGTCTGTTCTTCGGCATCCCGCTCCCGGTGCAGCCCATGAAAGCTATCGCCGCGGTCGCGATCGCCCGCAACTTCTCCAGTGGCTCCATCGCTGCGGCGGGGATCTTCGTCGGCAGCTGCATTTTTATTTTCAGCGTGACGGGGTTGCTGCGCTGGTTCGCCAATGTGATTCCCATCCCCGTGATCAAGGGGATTCAAGTTGGCGCGGGCTTATCCTTGATTATCTCGGCTTGTACCAGCATGCTCCGCCCACTGGGCTGGATTGGTCCATCGTGGGCGGATAATCGAATCTGGGCGATACTGGCATTCCTCGCTTTGATCGTGACCAGTATCTATCGCAAGATTCCGTACGCGCTGCTGTTGTTCGTCATCGGTCTGGTCTTTGCGGTTATTCGCACGGCGTTGGCGGCTCATCTTCCTGGTTTCAGTATCTGGCATCCCTGGCTGGTCGTGCCAACTCCCCATCAATGGTGGGTGGGTGCCGTGGATGCGGGGATAGGCCAGATTCCTTTGACGACGCTCAACTCGATCGTGGCGGTCGTGCACTTGGCGAACGACCTACTGCCCAACGTTCGGACTCCATCGATTACCCATATCGGTCTCAGTGTGGCTGGTATGAATATTCTCGGATGCTGGTTCGGTGCGATGCCCGTCTGTCATGGATCGGGTGGTTTGGCAGCACAGTATCGCTTCGGTGCTCGCTCGGGTGCGAGTGTGGTGTTCCTGGGAATCCTCAAACTCATCATCGGTCTGCTTTTTGGAGAGACCCTCGTTGATCTGCTGAGACGCTTCCCGGCTGCGTTCCTCGGCGTTATGGTCATTGCAGCTGGCCTGGAGCTTGTGAGTGTGGGCGAAAGCCTCAATACATCGGGGGCTCGGGATCTCGGTCGTACTGCTGGCGTGTTGGGTGCCGCGGAACAGCAGCTTGGCTCCGTTTGCTCTGAAGAGGAGCGAAAGCGTCGCTGGACAGTGATGATGGTCACTGTCGGTTTGCTGATTGGATTCAAGAATGACGCGATTGGCTTCATCGCCGGGATGTTGTGCAATTGGGCTTACGATATTCCCAAGTGGTGGGAACAGGCGCGGAGCCGCTGGTCACAGGGACGTCTTCGTCTACGATAGTTGAGGCCGGGGAGGGAAATGGAGAGGTGGTTATACATCCTCTTGAGAATATACAGAATGAACGGGAGATTCACACATCTCATCACTTCATGATCAATTTAGCATACCACTAGCAAATTCATTTTACCAGTTCCCAACTACACCCCCATCCCACAGGACCTAAATAACCTCCGAAGCCTGCACAACCTCATCCTGCTCAACCTTAGTCCCCGTCTCCGGATTCTCAAACTGCCTTCTCTCATGTGCCGTACCCCCTTGCCCCGATGGATCAAAATCCACATCCCTCGTAAACTTCCTCCCAGCCGCATCCCTCAACTCCCGATGATGCCGCATCGACTTGTCACTGTAATAATGCATATGCTCATCATACGCACCGGTATCTACATCAACGACTCTAGTACCAAACGGCACCGCCGCACCGTCAAACTGCGGCGTCGCACCACTGCTGAATGAACCGTCCGCATCGTCGAGGGCGGATAACTCGGATGAGCCTTCTTCGTCAAGATCTGTGATTCGTCTTACGCCGCCGGCGGAGGTGCCGCCTAGACCCGGGAGCGTGAGTTGCTCTTGGCCGGTGCTGTCGTAGCGGTGTTCTTCGACGATGGGGGGTTGCCCGAGATCTTGCCGGGCTGTGCGGACGATCGTTGTGCCGTCTGCTTCAGTGAGGGAGGTCGTTGAGTAGCGATGCCCGGTTGTAGTGCTTCCGTGGTCACCGGTGCTTGTTGAGCTGAAATAGAAGGATGAACTGGTATAGGAGTCGGCCATTTTTCGATGGGGAGGGTAAATTATAGATGTCAGGGAAGAATTATATTGGACCTAAGAGGGTTGGATATATTAGGAATGCGATGCAATGCAATACGATGCGGTCGGTCATAAGAATCGGGAGTGTGCAGATAGCTAACACGCGAAGGTACAGCACTCTTGGTTATATATATTTGCTTTGTGGCGATATGTCAAGGGAGCTTCTCCAGAATAGAGGCAAGACCTGACATCATCTCTTCGTGCGGCAAGCTTCTGGAATGGCGGGGGCGAAATGAGATCCTAGGGAATGAAAAATCGCAATGAGCCAGTCACAGAAGTCAGCTGTTGAACATGGATCTGTTCTCGAACAGATATCGAATCAAGATTCAAGGTGCTCGGTCTTTGCATCGGACCTGGTAATGGCGAAAATCCCCAACGCCCCTTGAACGTGGGGAACGGGACCAATCATAGAAATTGCTGGATAGATTGGGCTACAGCATTATTCGCTGTTCATCTCTCATAGAAAGAAAACCTGTCGCACTCCAGCCCTTGGCCATGGAACGCAAAGAGTGATCTTGGGATGAACGCCCCCCATGTGGAATGGACGGGACCCGATATCATTCGGTCCTGATACTTTGATTTCAGGCGTGAGGGCATTACAAAGTCAAAAATTAGATTCTACTTCCTCGACGACAGACTACGGGCAATCTGTCATCTCATTCTTGAATAAAATAAAAGTGCACAGAACAGCGCAGACATTCAATTTTTATATTACAAAATCATTGCGTCATAGTCCGAAATGCATATCAGGTTGCATGGAAGACCCTGAGAACCGACAATTAGCTCTGGCTATACATATCGTATTCTATTATTGCCTAGTCTATGATCACGTTTAGAAGAGCATACAGTACCAAGAACAAGAATTTATATCAGACTCGCTGACGTGTCGACCTTTGGGTGTAAACATATATTCGTCCCGCCACGGTAATATACATGTAGGCACGCTTGGTGAAGAGGATGGGTACCGGGCCAAAATGAAGTACCATTCTTAATATACCTATCTACCTAATTGAGGAAGAATATAAGAGGCGCATTTGGTACGGCGGTTCGGTTTTATAAAAATAGGTAGGTATATCGCGACTATCCAGTATATGCTCGACTATCAGTCGAAACTATTCAAATTCCCGCCTAAATCCAAGGCAGAAGGTAAATGCGATTACGCAAGGGACGTTGATTCTAGTACATAAAAGTACAGATCGGTCAAAGTTCATGTTTGTGTTCATGGCTATTATCCCAGAATAACCTCAATATATAGAGACTACATAGAAACATTCACTATAACGCCAAGACCCCAATTTTATCATCATGAAACCCCGAGATAAAATGCTTTTTTGGCAGAGATAACCCCCTACTCATCATACTGGTCATCCGACTCACTCGTCAGCATGCCATCATCGATCTCCATCTTTCTCATAACGGCATCGCCATTGCGACCCTTCTTCTCTGCAGTAAGCCAAGCTTCACGACGCTTGGTTTCGAGCTCTTCCTTTCTGGCTTGGCGCTGTACCTTGTCCTGCTGGGCCGCCTCCTGCTTGTCATGCAACTCATTAATGTAGTCTTGCAGCTGGGCGACATCCGCGCGCAACTGCATAACCTCGTTGGCATTCGCGTGTCGCGCAGTATCGTTCACTGCGACCTTTTTCTTGAGCATGGCAACTTCGGCTTCGAGGTCTGCAACGTGAGTGTCCTCTTGCGTCATTGCAGGGGTGGAGGTGTCTGCATGGGAGGAATTGGCGGGCGCGATACGGACGACATCGCTTCCACCCGGTTGACGCAGTGCAGCGAGTTCGGCAAGGCCTTCCTCGATCATGGAATCGGGGAAGTAGGCGTGGGTGAGAGCTTGGGAGAATTGAGAAGGCTTGCGGGATCTTGGTTGCGTTGATGATGCGAGGATGTGTGTGTTGAATGCATATTCGGCTGGGACTGCGCCAGGGACATGCGCCGGGTCGGCAAAGGAATTGTCGACGCGTGGCTTCACAATGGTATGTATCGTCCGCTTGAGGTCCTGCGACGAAAGTGGCAGACCGTTTGGAAGCAGCATGACTAGGTTTGTGACTGGATGCGTGTAATCGGCAATGGATGCTGTGAATTTCCGACGCGCAATGTTCCATGAGAGAACTTTACCACTCTCATGGGCAGACAATAATGTGGTCCCATCGTAGGAGAGGGCGAGGGCCTTGACGGCACCCGAGTCCGCAGAGGGAGGGAGCCATCGATCTTCGGCTGACACCTGAGCTGGTGTAGACTGTAGAGATGGGTCATGGAGAGGATTCTGGGCGGAGTTGCTGCGATAGAAATCTACCGATTGTGCGCTTCCATCCTCATATGCGACATAGAAGGCCCGATCGACCGGGTCTAAAGCCACGCATGTCGCGGAGAACGGAAGGAGATATGTTCGGAGGACTCGTCCGGTCTGATAGTCCCATGCAATTGCGGTGTTGTCTTTGGCGGTCGACACGGCGATATTGTGGCGGCCAGCGCTGTGTCCAACGGCAAGAGAGGTGATGGCAGCACGGTGATTAGAGAATGTGCGGATAGGTGCGTTCGGAGGCTGGCGCTCCCGGCCTTGGGCGGGCTTGGAGAAGGAGAGAATGCTGGGGATGGACCAGACGTGTATGCTGGCGTCGTCAGAGCCGGAGAGAATGAAATTAGAGGTGGGGTCAACGACGATAGAGGTAACGGGCTGCAGATGAGAAGCTGTGGTAGCCACTTGACGTCCGGTACATGTCTAAAGTTCAGTGGTGAGTGGTTAGCTGGCCAGACTATGATAGATCATTTCCCGAGTAATTTGAAACAAGAGATTGCTCATACCTCCCACAGGATCAAACGACCTCCCTCCGTTCCCAAAACCAGGACATCTCCATACTTTGCGCCCGCAACCGCGATGCTGCGAATGCGCTCCGGAAAAGGCACTAGCGCCTCCTGGTTTCCCTTTTCCCGACTGTATACATGGACCACAGCCTTGTCTGCCTGGGCGGAGAAGATATGCGACGGGCTTACAGCCAGGCAATTGGTCGTGGTGGAGCTCTTCTTGAAAGTCGATCGCAGCTGAGGGGAAGGCTGGAATTCCTGAAGGCAAATGCCGACATCACGTAGCGTGGCGGTCGGAGTTTTCGCAGATGACAGCGTCGACGCGACGAAGGATTCGGAAAGCATGGAGAATGGGGCGCGGTGCATGAATTATGGAGATTGGGGGTTGACTGTCGTTAAAAAAATGAGACAGAGAGCTTTCATCATTCTCCCCAGCCGCGTCCATTTTTTTTTCCCGTTGCGATAAGTCTGATTGATAACGCTGCGTTTGCACCGTTTGCATTTAGCACAGCCTGGAAATGCGCGCCATTTCCTCCGCAATGTGACGAGTTCCAAACTCTACTGGCGACGCGATCGGACAAGATGGGGTTCGGAGTTTACTTTAATTTACTCAAGCATACAGGGCAAGCCCAAGGAAATCGAATCTATCATTTGAGCCTGCCGAGTTGGACATGTCATTGTTTTGGAGGGACGCCACACGATAAGCAGTGGAAATTAGGGTTAAGCTAGGGAAGTATGGGAGAACTTCTTTGGACTGGACACAGACACAATTTTACACTTTACAGTGACGAAAACATGACTTACAATAGTCACAAGGTTGATGAAGAAATAAGACAGATTGTTTAACCAAAGCTTCTTACTTGGCCGGGCCTGACGTGCAAAGAATTCTCGCCATGGCGAAGCATTTTATATTCAAGTTTCAGACTGCGGCCAAGCATGAGGAGCTTCGATGCAAGGGGCATCCCTTCTCCTGTTGCGACGAGACACAACATGCAATACATCCAATTGGGGCCCGCTCACGAACACCCTCTGGTCGATCCTATGGCCCTTCTCAAGGGCGCTGATTCGCCACGGTCGCTCTTTCCCCCCTCCCTCCATCCCAGTTGTCTCATTCCTGGGCTCCACTCGGTCACCCAACTATGACGGTGTTAAGCGACCAGCGAGGTTCTTTTCCACGTTGACGGGCTCCTGCAGACCCTTGGCTTCTTCGGATGCTAGATTTCGAGCCAATCATGAACCCCCACAGCCTTAGATCTCACCTCTGGCGGGAATGCAAGGACGGACGTGAGCTCATTCTCACTATTATTGCTATGGCCCGTGCCTGGTGCAAGCTGAGATTCGTGCCGAAGGGGAGGGACCTGGGGAACGGTTTCCTAGAAGAAGGGGGGGCAACGCTTCCTCTTCACTCGGTACCCTGTTTCGACATGCCCGGGGATTCTTGATGACAGGAGTGATGTTCTAGCCCTGTCAAGGGGGATTTGCACAATCTCAATGCCCTGGTGACCCTTCTATCCACCTGGCGACTGGTTGCTTTCGTGCCTTAGCGCCACTCCGGTTGTATAAGGATATTTCGAGCCCCTGCTTAGACATAGTGTCCGCCTTTGCCTTTGTTTTGATCCTCAAATTCCCTACAACGTACGACGGTGCTGATTGTTACTGTGTCACGATCTCATCTGGTCCCTCTTGTGCAACGATCATTTTGCTTTTTGGGACGGGCCATTCTATTGAACACCGGACTAGGGCTTGTCATCACCTCACCAAAGACCCGGCCGCCATGGCCGCCACGGACTGCGGTCCTTCGAAAATGCCTAACAGTGCATGTTTCCCAGCCCGAATGCAATCTCATACACGAAACCAACCATCCAGTTCGTCGTCGTTGAGCCACGATGCCATGGCATTCGGCGATGCCATTCCGGAACCCATCCCATCGCCACGCCGGTGGTCCCCCACATATCAGCCTCGTCGCAGAACAAGCAGGCATTATCCGACATCACTGTCTTTCGTTCAAGCTCCAACGTTGCCTCGGGCAGAGCTTCATGACCACTACTCGATGTCTCTGCCTCGTCGACCTGCGGACCGTGGGCCATCCTGTATCTCGCCCTTCCGATCAGTCCGCAGAATGAAGGAGCCCTTCCCCTTGATGTTGCCAAGTTCTCCAGTGTCCGCTTCTTCACACGTGTCAGTGTCATGGGATAGTGCACCGTCATTACCCACGAAGCAAACGCCTCAGTCTACCAAGCCGCCGGCCGGCCATGCACTGAGAACATGGCGATCAGACCAAAACCTAACATCCGCAAGCATGGCTGCATTTGGCCTGATGCCCAGTCCTCCAATTTCCGAATCCAGGCCGGCAAGTAGTGATCCAGACGCATCATACTTTGATCGTAAAAGCGAAGAGACCCCCGCCGAACTAGAAAATGTGGAGACTACTGAGGGTATTTCAGAGGTTACCAACAGTACAGAGGACAACAAGCACCAGGACAGCACGGATCATGTGGACGTGTTGCATCATACGACGGAGGAATCTAACATTGAAGAAAAGTCACCTTATCAACCCTACCGTCCTTCAGGCCGGCAAGCCAAGTCCAAGTCGGCCGAAAATCGACGAACGGATGTGACAAATGTCCACGAGGCACACTCGAATTTGATTCGACAATGCGAAGAGACACTTGCGTCAACCCCAACCACAAAAAAGCCTGATAAGCAGGAACCGACGCCGGTTACATCACCTGCCTCTCTGCACAGCGCTAAGGCTTCCATGCCTACTACCTCCCCGAGACCGCAAAGGCCAAGGGCAACGACTGTCTCAAGTGAGGCCAGTTGGATACCGAGCAACTTCTCGTATTGTGAGACATGGTTGCAAGGTGTGCCACTAGATCCGTTAGATAAAGACGACAACCCCAAAGAATTCAACCGTCGAAAATTCCAGATTATCGAACAAGACCCTCCAATGCCAAAACTGGATATCATCCCGGGTGCGCGGACCTTGGACGAGCCGGTGGTAAGTTTGAAATCCACACAACCCAACTTGTCTTTCTCGACATCACATACTAATCCCTCGTTCCTGACAGCGATTTGCCGTTGCTAGTAAGCCAAGGCTGGTGGACATTTCCCGGCAATCTTCACCATCTATGGGTCCGATGGGCCCGCCACCACCACCCATAGTCCGTCAGACTGTGTGTGTACCAATGACGCCCGACCAGCGGCAAGAGGAGGTTTCTGCATTCAGTCCAGACACTCCATTAGACACGCCGATGGAAATGTCGGATAGCGGTTATGGTACACGCGAATCCGGCTATTCTATGGAAAGCTACCCGGATAGCAAGGACGATGACACCTACTCCGATCCAGGATCCTTGACCTCTGACAGTGTGACATCTACTGTCATCGGAGACAGACCTGAATCCACCCTTGGCGAGCGCGAGGCATTCTTGCAACCTGAAATCCGATCAGGCAGTGTCAGTCCAAAGGCATCTCCAGGACCACCAAGCCACTCACCAGGTCGAACCTCCCACACTTCGGATGATGACAAGTACGAAAAGCAGGCATCATGGGACCGCCAGTGGACATTAGATGACCATGAGTGGACTTTGTGCGAGCTTGAACACTCGGTAAAGGATTTCCCTCGCCACATGCTTCGACTTACCTCACCCGTCATCGTCTTCCTACGAAAGAGCGACGAAAAGGCTCTACTTCGACCATTCCGAATTATTTTCCCAACAGTCGCAGAAAACCTGCTCGACTGCCTCTGTGCAGCACTCCTTGCTCGCAATTACCTTCTTTCACTGGCAAAACTACATCGACGCAAACCCTCTCTTTCATCACGAAATGATGTGTATGCCGTGGACGCAGTCCCCACAAAAGCATACAGTACTCTGGGAATACAACTCCCAACCGCATCACCCGGTCGCATCAAAGATCGCCTGCTGGGCTCACGCAGCACCGAACTGCGTCAGGATGTCGAACGAATTATCGACAACCTGCTCTTTGCTATCTGTGGCAAGTCCGACGATACTCTCAAGTCAGCCATTGAGGTACTAGCTCAAGTACTTGAAACCAATGCCCCGCATTAATCCCTCCTTTTTTTTTTTTTTTTTTTTTACGAAATCTCTTTGTCGATTCTTCTTTCTCCATACATCTCTCCTTGATCATCTCCTTTCTTCGACTCTACTCCACCTTCGCTCACCTCTGATTCATCTCCAAAGTAATGATTCCCACCCTTCGATTGACTCGAATATTTTCTATCCTGTTACCGTCGTCATGCGTTCATTTGTTTTAACTTCATACCCTTGCATTGCGATTCGCTCCTTGAGAAGTGCTCTGGTCGCTGGTGGGAGCTGTACAATTAGCTTGATAGTAGCATAGTAAAGCATAATCATAATGGCTTTCAATATTCATATTCCGAGGGAAGAAGACGTAAGCTATCAATTAACCAGTTCCCGCACCCTAAACAAGCTTAAGTGATTGAATCAAGCTTAATTCTCGGCGATGGGTGTTCTCACCGAGATCGGCGGAACATTAATCCCCCGGTCGGTGAATCTTAGTCAGAACGGTTTCCCGCGGGATTCAATCGGCCGCTATCTTTCTTGCGCGCATCTGTTTCTGGATTTCTCAACCTCGACAAATCCTACACATATACACACCCTCACAATGGCAGTGCCAACACGGAGTCTACGACACTTATCGTCTGTGCGAGCGACTCTATCGTCATCCTCGTTGACCCTCCCCGTCGCCTATCGCACCTATGCTACGACGGATGCTTCTTCCGCCACCTCTAACACACCCGAGGGAACTACCCGGCGGCGAGCAACGACCTTCAAGGACAAGCTCAATGCCGGTCCTTCCTTCTCCGATTTCGTCTCGGGAGGCCAAGAAGAGCCTCTCGATCCATCCGAGGCCTATGCCCTGAAAACCGCTATGGTCGGACCCGCCGGCCGCAAGAAGGAAATGACTCGTTTGCCCTCGTGGCTGAAGACGCCCATCCCGGACTCTAAGAACTACCAGCGATTGAAGAAGGATTTGCGTGGATTGAACCTGCACACCGTTTGCGAGGAGGCTCGTTGTCCTAATATTTCCGACTGCTGGGGCGGTAGTGACAAGTCGGCTGCGACGGCCACTATCATGCTCATGGGTGATACTTGCACGCGTGGATGCCGTTTCTGCAGCGTCAAGACCAATCGGGCTCCAGCCCCTCTGGACCCGCACGAGCCTGAGAATACTGCGGAGGCGATCTCGCGCTGGGGACTTGGATACGTGGTTTTGACCAGTGTGGACCGAGATGACCTAGCAGACGGTGGAGCGCGTCATTTCGCGGAGACGGTTATCAAGATCAAGCAAAAGGCACCCAACATCCTTGTTGAGTGCTTGACTGGTGACTACTGGGGTAACTTGGACATGGTCGCCCTGGTCGCCCAGTCCGGCCTGGATGTCTATGCCCACAACGTCGAGACCGTCGAGGCTCTCACGCCGCATGTCCGAGATCGCCGTGCCACTTTCCAACAGTCGCTTCGTGTTCTCGATGCAGCTAAGAAGGCCCGTCCTGACCTTATCACCAAGACGTCGCTCATGCTCGGTTTCGGCGAGACCGATGAGCAGCTCGAGGATGCCCTCCGACAGCTTCGCGCTGTCAATGTCGACGTTGTCACCTTCGGCCAGTACATGCGCCCCAGCAAGCGCCACATGGCTGTGCATGAATACGTCACGCCCGATCGCTTTGAATTCTGGCGTAAGCGTGCTCTTGAACTGGGCTTCTTGTATTGCGCCTCCGGTCCCCTCGTTCGCAGCAGTTACAAGGCTGGCGAGGCATTCATTGAGAACGTCTTGAAGAAGCGCCGTTCGGGAGCTGGAGCTGCTACCGTCGATCAGACTGTGGCTTCCGTTGATGAGGCTGCTAGATAATCGCTTTTCTGCCTTGAGATTGAAAAAGAAAAAAGGGAATATGATAATATACATGGCATGTCAATTACTTCAACCTTGACACCATTTTCTTGTGTGATTTATACACCATTCGTTGTTCGGCGTTGATTTTGCATCGGTTTTGGCTTGGGGTCTGGGGTTTATTCTTGTTCGATTCAACATTTCAACTCGTCCTGTTCGTTTTGTATCACCATGGCCGGGTTTTCAATTTGTACATTCATGCTGTCGCGACTTTTAGACTACGCGGCTGGCTTGTCTACTATCGAAGACTCCTCTACCCTATACATCATATACCATTGTTTAAACGAGTTTTACTTGTGAATTCATTTCCATTCTTGACTACGTGCTGGTCGTGATCTATGCGCGCTGCTGGGTCTACACCTACGCCGCTAGATGGTTTACTCATCCCCAAAGCAGACTACGAAAAAATCCACGCATTACCGAATCAAACTCCAAATCCTTCTGCGTCGTAATCAGAATAATGACTTCGGGCTGCTCTCATATCAAATAGAATGCAAATCAGAATGTCCGTGGAACTAGCGCGTTTTCAAGCTGTCCCAAGCTCCAGACAAGTGGATATCGGTGGCCCAATCAGAACAGCCGTATAGTAATGGGTATTTGATTTCTGCTAAATGGCACAGGAAGGATAAAGGCTCCTTTGAGAAAGATGCTATTCACAGAATTGCTTACTCCGTGGCTTTAGTGAGCTCGGAAATTTCCTCGTTGTCCAAGCCCAGCAGGTAGAGGATATCGGTGAGACTCTCGCCGTTAATGCGAGTGGGGGCTTCGAGCTGAACCTTGGTCTTGGCGCGCCAGGCGACACCCAGGCCTGCTGCGTGAAGCATGAGAAGATCATTGGCTCCATCACCGACTGATATAGTCTGAGAGAGAGGGATGTTGTTCTCGGCAGCGATGGATTTGAGGAGGGTGCGCTTTTGAGCGGCATCGATGATGGGCTTGGACTCTACCAGCTTGCCGGTGAGCGTTTGGGTGACCGGATCGATTTCCAGCTAGAAGAACGTTAGAATTGTCAATCATTTGTTAGGGTAAGCGCCTCGCTTACGTGGTTGGCAACTGCGTAGTCCAGACCCAGCTGGCCAGCGAGCCACTCAGCAAGCGGCTGGAAGCCACCGCTCAGCACAGCCATCTTGAAGCCCAAAGCCTTCAGGGCACGGCACAAATCCCGGGCACCCTTGGCAATGGTGATGACAGATTTGAGCTTGTCGAACACATCTGCCGGGACGCCCTTGAGCAGACCAACGCGCTCCTTCAGGGATGCCGAAAAGTCGAGTTCACCATTCATGGCGCGCTCGGTAATTTCCTAGAGCATTATGGTCAGTATGTACCCATCAGCTGCTATACTATGGAAACCCACCGAAACCTCTTTCTCTACACCGATGAACTTGGCAATCTCATCAATGACCTCGTTCTCGATCAGAGTGCTGTCCATGTCGAACACCGCCAGCCGCTTATGGCGGCGGAACACACTCTCCTGCTGCAGAACCACTTCAACATTCCACTCACGCTCGAACCGCCAGATACTCTCATGCTTGCGCAGATCGCTGAAGGAGAGGTAAGCCGGGTTCGGCGGCGGGGAGATGGTGACTTCGACGACACGGGGGTGTTCTTCGCGGTCCAGGCAGCGGTGCGATGTATTTGTGCGCTGATACGGAGTAGGCAGGGAGTCGAGAGTTTGGAGGAAGTTGGTCAGGCACAGCTGCGAGACGTATGGCCCATAAATGTGGTCCAGCGGTTCAGGCTCTGGCGCAGGCGGTTCTCGAGGGATCTTCTCGATGTCGACTGTCGGGGCTGATCCAGCTGGGATGTGTGGTGAGGGCAGCTTGTCACCTGGGTGCAGAGCAGGCGAGGCATCGGGGTGGTAGTGGGGGTGGACGGGATTGGCGGACTTGTAGAAGATGGTCGCGACGATGCGCGGGGTACCCTGCGGAAGTTGGTTGGCCTGGTGGTTGAAAATGCTGTGAATGATGCCGCTATCTGTGACACGCTCTGGATCTGGCTTGATCGGGTTGGTCAAGAGGACCTCGTCCAGTTGTGCGCTGAGAACCTCTCCAATTGTCTGGTTGATCGGAGGCTTATACTGCTGATGGTCCTGTAGGAAGGAATTGCTTCGCATCTGGCCAAGTGAAGGCCGCTGGCGGGAAGTTGCTGAGTCGACCATGGTGAGAAGTTTACAAGAGAAGAGCCAAGGATCTCTAACGTGAGCCCCCTCGTTCTTTGTATTGTATAAACACTTCAAAACTTCAAGTTGCAGAAAAAAAAGGTTGGCGATCGCAAGTTGGCGGGGACCTGCCTGCGAAGTCACCTGACCTGAAGCACCATCACAGGACCGACAATTGTTCGGGTCACATGACTGGTAACAAAATCTTCGCGGGGCAAAGATCTGGTTGTATGGGATGAGCAACGACAATCGAAGCTCCACGCCAAAGCTTTCTTCATGATGACGCACATCAACCTACAAGAAAGTTGATTTACGGATCGGGTAAACTCCAGTGATTCCACCGATCTTCTAGAAATCCGCTAACATCATTGATTAGAGATCAAAATGCGACCATGCACTGAAAAAATGCATTGGTCAGCCGCAGGGATCCCCCCAGTGCTGGGGGATTATATGCCCCTTTTTCTTGGCCCAATGGATTTATCAGCCTGATGAGCAAAGTCTAATGCCGAATTGGACGCTATACTGTTCATAGCTAGTCGAAGCTCCGGGAAATGCCTGCGATTTTCGGGATTCCAAGGCAATCCTTAAGCAAATTGGGTGATCCGGTTGCGCACACGGACCAACTGCGCATTAATTGCGTGCTCAAAGGCGGTCAATCAAATTGCGTGATTGCGTCCCTGCAGGCCGGCAGAATTTGACGGCACTGGAGCCGGATGAGCAATGCCAGAGACGAATCTCCGAGATGATGTCGTGCTCAATAATCCACTCGCTCTTCTCTTATATTCCTGCAATCTTCAATTCTGTCTCCCTCTCCACGCTTCTTTATCTACCCCAAACGCCGCCTTGAGGTGTAGAAAAGTCCTATTGTCTCCACTTTGAGTCTTGCTTTGCCATCTATTCTTGCATATCATATTTCCCCCCCTCTCCTTCAATCTTCACACAATGCCAGCCAAGAACTATCCCTCCGATCTGGAGAATGGCATCGATTCCAGGGATGCCAACACCGAGTCTGGCTATGTGAGCGGTGGCTCCAGTGACGATTACGTCCCAGAGATCGTCTTCACCAAGCCTCATCTTCAATTCCTGAACCGTCAACTGCAATTCCTCGAGCCTCAAGGTATGTTTGATATTGCTTTTTCTTCCAACCTGGAACCCCGCTTTTGCCGGAAGAGCAGGGTCTGACTCGAGCCCCTTCTTCTATATACAGACATTTTGAGATGGTGCATCACATCACTGCCGCACCTCTTCCAGACCACTGCCTTTGGCTTGACTGGTCTCGTCACCCTGGATATGCTATCCAAGTTGGATGTGCCCCGACCCCAGATGGTCGACCTCATCTTCCTCGACACTCTTCACCACTTCCCAGAGACCCTGGCTCTCGTGGACAAGGTCCGCAAGCGTTACCCTCTCAACAACGTGCACGTGTACAAGCCTCTCGGCGCTGACACTGCCGCTGAGTTTGAGTCCAAGTATGGCTCCCGTCTTTGGGAAGCGGATGACCAGCTCTACGACTGGGTTGCCAAGGTTGAGCCTGCCCAGCGTGCCTACCGTGAGATGAATGTCCACGCCGTTCTCACTGGCCGTCGTCGTAGCCAGGGTGGCAAGCGTGGTGACCTCGACGTCATTGAGGTCGACGAAGCTGGTCTCATCAAGATTAACCCCATGGCCAACTGGTCCTTCGATCAGGTCAAGGCCTACGTCAAGGAGCACAACGTCCCCTACAACGAGCTCCTCGACCGTGGCTACAAGAGCGTTGGTGACTGGCACTCGACCCAGCCCGTCGCTGACAATGAGGATGAGCGTTCTGGTCGTTGGAAGGGCCAGCAGAAGACTGAGTGCGGTATCCACAACCCCCGCTCCAAGTACGCTCAGTACTTGATGGAGATGGAACGCAAGCGCCAGGAAGAGGCTTTGACTCAGGCACTGCAGTCATCTCTTGCCTCTGCTGCTCAGTGATCTGCTGTCCACATCCTGCCTTCTCTCCATACTTCGTTTTGCATACCCTCCTCGGCGTTCTCTGGATGATACCTGTTTTCCCCAACCTTTGATTGTTCCTTTAGCGATTTTCTTTTCCCCTTACCCATGAATGATGCTCCCTTTGGGCACCCCTTGGGGTACAAAAATCGGGCGGTCGGAGATCTACATCTCTGGGCTCCACCAACCCAACTCCCCCTCACATATCCGTGTCATCTGTGTGATTCTGTACATAGGGAGTTGGGCTCTATTCCACGATAATGACCTTTCCATGATAGAACAAAAAGAAAATATCATCACCATATTACAATTTACTACCTCCCATGTCTAGAATGTCTTTCGTAAATCAAGATGCCTTTTTTATTTGCTGATCAGGAGGGAGACGGTGTGCACGTGACTCGCTAGCCCTAACCTTCCAGGTACGGGTTTCGAATGAGATACTTCAGTTATTCGAACGCGCTTTGTTATCTAAGATATCTGACTCGTATGTATCATGATTAAATTGAAAATGATCTATTCATGAAAGCCAAAGCACATTCACGTTGGTTGGCGGTACCCTCTTCGTTCGCCCAGTAACTCTTGACCTCCATCAGGCACAACGGTGCCTGTGAGTGATGTTGGTCTAACCAATCAATCCCATGGCATGTTCTGCTTCATGTTCATACTGCAGGGAGCACCCATGTAGTAACAGACTCGCTCGGAATATTCCCACTCCACTGCTGCCCACTCTGTGTCGACAACGTGACATAAACATCGTTGCTAAAAGTATTCTCAATAACCACCGAGCGTGTCCCATCGGGATTCAACGACGCGACAGACTGAATACCACCACCATTAGAGTAAGTATAACTGCCACTCCCACTCAACACGATCGCACCGGGCGGCATGAACTTGCTAAACTGGGCAATCATGTAGTAGGCCGGATTAAACGTGTAACTGTTCCCATTGATCGTGACCAAACCCTGGCAGGTACCGCAGCCACCACTGGAGAGATGCGGTCCATCAGAGCTGTCAGTGCCCAGTGTCCAGGCTGTGACGCCAGATGCCCAGTTCTGCAGGGGTCCCATGGTGAAGTCAGCTGCTTGGTTCCAGGTTCCGGCTGGAGTCCAGCATTCGGTCATGTATTGTTTGACGGATGGGTTTGTTTGGTGGAATTGGGTAAGAACGCTCCAGTCAACGTTGGAGGCGTAGCAGTGCCATGCGACGGAATCGACGTATTTTCCGGCAACGTTGATGACGGTCTGTGGGTAGGAGGGTACATCTTTTGTACGACGGTTAGATTGAGATCAGGTTTTGTGAAATGGCCTCGACTTACCGGTGTTGTGATCATACGCCCAGATATCCGTGTTCAGACCGGCATTCGCAATAGCAGGACCGATGTAGTTTTGGATGAGCTGGGCCGATTCGTCTGCGTAGACGTACATAGTTGGATAGCCGGACTGGCTATTTAAGGGCTCATTCTGGATGGTAATTGCATCGATATGAGCTCCGAGGTTCGCGTACGCCTTAATGTATTTCACAAAATAGTTCGCGAATGCAGTGGCGTACCCCGAGCTTCCCGTACCCCCGCTCAAATATCCATCGTTCAGATTGTTGTTGGTTGTGGTCCCGTCGATAACGCCATTCAGCTTCATCCAGCCCGGTGCACTCCAGGGAGATCCGAGGATCTTCAGATTAGACTTCAAGGACTTTATCGTGGCCAGCATTTTTGCCATCGCGGTACCGCGATCTCCCAAGTTGAAGCCTGAAAGGGAAGGATCTGCGGAACCTCCATTATCGTCGTAAGTGTATGCAGGGTCACCGGATAGATCTGATGCTCCGATGGTATGACGCATCAAACTGAAGTCGGCACCAGAGCTGGTCATCAAGTCCTGAAGAAGAGTCTGGAGATTGGAGCTAGATAGAGTGTTGAAAGAAGTTACCGTGGCATCGGTGACGGCCGCGCCAAAGCCGACAATGGTCTGCTTGTGGCCGGAGCTTGTATCATCGATGCTGAGTTTCCATGTTGACTCGGATCCTGGGCTACCACTGCCTTGGACAGGGGCCGCGACGGAAGAGAGTTTATAGTTGCCCGCAGAGTTGGAGCTGTAAGCTGATGCCGAGCCAGCTCGCTTCTCGGGCGCCGCATGGCCGAGAACAGCGAGGCCAAGGAGAGTCCAGGCAGCGTAAACCATTGCGAAGGTATTCAACGAGCTCAGTAGTGTGGAAGATGCTACCCTGAGAAGATATTTTTCATCATCCAAGGTCGGCGTAGGTGTAGCATTTTATAACCCTCGATAATAGCGCTTACAATAAGCAATGCACGCCGATGCTGTCGTATTCAACTAGCATCTCAGCTAGCAACCCAGCTAGGCTGAATACTATGATTGAGATTGGCTCCCCTGTGAATACAATCTTTCAGTCGGCATTTTAATGATCCTCTCCAACATCGAGTGTCAGAATGGCGGGCATATTTCCCTCCAGGGAATAGCGTCGCAGCGATCCTTCACCCCCGCAATCTCCCGTAACCTGACGATACTACTGCGAGCGGGATCAATAGCCACCCAGAATCAAAAGCTTCTATTTTACACTCGGAGATGAGTTGCCGTGGAGCCCGATGTTTCTGTTCTACCCGGCAATCCGCGAAGATTCTACTGCAACCCGAATAGGCAATTGGTCAACAGGAACTCGTTCTCGTATTGGGCGCCATTATCTGGGTTCACTAAGCTGACTTACTTCATGCAAGCGCCAATTCTCTGCAGGAATAATATGGCCGACAGATGCTAGTGGAAAGCTGACTTCGTCCCTTAAACCTGTTCGAGCGGAGAACCCTGCAACGCTAATTGCTTTCTACAGCAGATAATTAAAATAAGTGTGAGGATACGTCGCTCATCCTACTTGACAAAGCGTCAACTTCTACAATTATGCTACCTAAATGTCCCCGCAATAGTAGCATTGTGAATCGAGCGAACCTACCATTCATTCAAGTCCGATACCAACGCGTGCCTCTCCATGATTGGACGTCTACCCAGCTGCCACAAAGTTCTCGGTGCGCCATTTGGGTATATGCCAGTTAAGCCTTCCCACGAATTCTAGAAATATAGTTGATCGTCACCTTTGTTCACTCCATTTCATTGGCTCTGAAGTCTGATCTGCCATTCTTGGCTACACTGCCAAGCTTTTCTTGCGTATCCACCTTCTCCTCTCTCTTGGTCAGCTTTGGCCAGCCTATTCAGAGGTGAAGTATACCGAGGGATCATTGCTTGTAAATATCTTGAAATTCAACATACCAGGCTATTTAGATTTCGTATGAGAAGCTGGGATGATTTATCATAGTCGAAAGCCAGAAGGAGAGGCGTGTCTGAGATCTTGAGTTTGATTGGATTATCATCGCAATGGGAATCGCATGCTATCCCAACATCTTGCTCTCAGGGTGGCATTATTTGAAGAAATGCCCCGGCTGTTATATTGGAAAAATGCTGCTCTATAGCTCACCATGAGTGCAAGTCGTCATCAACACAATTGAAGAGTGAGTCTTTGAGATCTATCCTCGTCGAGCAACCTCGGTGGGAATATCTCCGAAGCTTTCAACACATGCCAGTCTTTGACTTCAACCCATTTGTATGGTCTTCAGCACGCTCTGCTTCGTGATGGTAGTATCTTCTTCGTCTTTTCGTAAAGCTTGGATGGTATACGGGACTGTATGTAGGAGCAGAGAGAGTTAGACGTTGGAATAAGCCGTTGAGAGGTTTGGGGTATCGAGAGCTGTGGGTATCTCAACGTCACCTGTAGGAGATCCTGGGCAAATCACAGCACTCCCATATACCTCGTCGTGCTCGTCTCGTACCATATTAAACTGTCAAGTCGTAGTTGCTGGGACTCGGCTTGTTTCTCTAGGCTGGTCGTTCAATGGAAGTACCACGCAACGTCTTCAACGGTCATGTTTGCTTCATCAAGGCCGTAGCCTGAAATTTGACCAAGATACCAAAGATCGCGAAGGCACCGACACAAACATTCCCGATTGGGAAGAGTCGTGGCCTATTTGAAGGAGATTTCCATCCTCATTTATCCTCGATTTCTGTCCTGTCTTCTTCGCTCATCTCTCCTCTCTCACCATCCTTCTCCCATCTCTCTTCCATCTCCATCCTTTTCCCAACCATTTTTCCCTTCCCACATCCCAAATATCCATCCACCATCATAAAAGCTATCCCAATCATGAATCCCTCCAATACGGGGCAGTCCCCCCTTAAGAGCCAGCTGCTGGGCATCCCAGACGATCAAGTGGGAACAGCAGACCTTGATGGACAGGATTACCCGTGGCAACGCCAGGCCACAAGCTCAAATCAGAACACAAATGGCAACCATGTCCACCCTCATCCCATGCAACTGGGATCCCATGTCGCGAGTGGAGAACAGCGAAGATTCTCCGATTTCCACGACCCTCCTGCTTCGGTTGTTCCCGAGCCCCCAACCCCTCAGGGCTATGGCAGCATCCCATATCACAACGGCACCCCGAATCACCCTCAACACCCTCAACACCCCCAATACCATCAATACTCCCAATACTCTCAGTACCCTCAGTACCCTCAACACCTCCAACACCCTCAACACCCTCAACTTCAGCATCCTCAACAGTCATATGACAACAGCACCCAGCCAGCCGGATATTGGGTCTGGCTCCCCTACCAGCCCGGTCAGAACCAACTGCCACCTATCACCTCGCTGAATTTCAGCCCCTTCTCTACCGGTGCTGGGAACGCGGAGACCCATCACGTCCCTCCAGTGCCACAAGTCATGTCTCACGGCTCATCTCCCTTGCAAGTGACCCAGTCATCGCCATTCCTGCCACCTCTTCCGGGATTCATGTCCCTTCCCTATGGCCAGCAGCCTGCCCATAGCCAGCAGGTTACCAATCCACTGGCCGTCAACTCACCCGAGGCTCATCCCGACGAAGCTTTGGAGTCCGAGCAAGATGATGACAAGTTCAAACCCCTCTGCGAATTCTCCCGTCCCTGCCGAATGAGCCCCAGCCCCGATGGACTGCACTTCAGAAAGATTGTCTCCCACCTTTTTGGACGTAACAAGGCGTCCACCAAGTTGTTCCCGGAGTCAGTCTGGGTGTACTACTGTCGCAAACACTACCAACGGGCCCGGTACCGGGCTGAGCAATGGCCGTTCAACCAGTGCGAGTTGTTGCTTCAGTCCTTGGACCGGATGGAGGAATGGGGGTACGTCCTCAGCTTCGAGCTCCGACTCCGTCGGCGGGAGGCACTGCGAACCGATGGGCAGGGGGAGAGAGCCGCTCCGAGTGGTCTGCTGCACAGTGGCCGCAGACATCCCACTGCCATTACTGCTCCCGTTCCGGACTGGCTCCAGCAGGAGGTAGGTGCAAACAAGTCGTTCGATGACATTCGTGACATCGTGAGACGGATCCGCGCCTACCTCACCGCCATCAAGGAGCAGGAGGATGCCAAGCGAGAGAGCCGGACCAAGGTCAACGCTGTAGGCAACCTCACCAAGGATGAGAAGAAGGTCGCCCAAAACGCGGCATACAGGGAGCGGAACAGTCTCGTTCGGTTCCCCGACATTGAAATCCTGCCAACCTTCCATCCGGAAGTGGTGGAGGATGCCAAGCGGCGTTCGGCCCAGAAGAAGACTGGGCAGGAGGAGGAGCTCGGTGAGCTGGAGGAGCTGGAGAATGAGGATGGAGTTGAGGATGACGCCGAGGAAGGGTGGGAGTCCCTGAGTGAGGTCGGCGAGGACCTCGTGGCCGGGGCTACTAACCAGCTCCGGCGCCGCAAGAAGGTGGTGCGCCTGAAGGTGGGCGGTCGTATCTCCTCCCGGGGATCGATCAAGAAGCCTGCCAGGAAGGATAAGTGACTGGCCTCGGCTGGTCGTGGTGTCTTGTAAAAACACCATTCGAATTGCCCATTTCGGCGTAATTCCAGCAATGTCCAGAGTCGTTGACTGTTTTTACCTCAAAGTCAGTTATCATCTAGATGCTGAATGAATGATTGAATGAATGTTGATTTTTGTCTACCTTACCTTAGAACCGAAAATTATGATGCGAGTACGGCGTTGAAACTGTCAGCCTCATTAACAACTGCCATCTATGGCCCCCTGGCGGTAGTCGAGCATGATCATGTAGACTCGCCCACATGATGGCGCAGTTGGTCCGTCCCGGCTGGTAACTCTGCGGGTGCCGCCGACGAAACGCCTCCCCAACTACACTAGGCTTTTTCCTGGCTAGCTCCAGGAAATAAAAAAACAGAGGTTGCGTCTCCGTCTCCGTCTCCGTATACTGCACATCAATAAGGGACTGTATCTTCCCTTATATTCAGTCCAGATTACAATCCGTGTGACGTGTCTAGACCAATATTGAACTGCCTGCAGCGGGCAATGTAGGATGGTGCGCGAAAGAGGAACTGGGCCTCTGAGCAGAACGGATAAGCCTATCGCTTGCATTCTTTTACTGTACTAATGTTCTCGTGTGACATTCAGCAAGCCACGAAAATCCCCGTAGTGACTTTTCAGCCCTGGTGGGTGTCGCGTCCACTTCCACGAGGACTAAGGAGCGTCGCTTATAAGAGACCACTTCCCCCGCCACGCGACCATGTCCACATTCTTCGAACTTCCACATCTAATCACCTCAGAGCTGAGGTGGTATTCTCGCTACACCCTCTGCTAGCCAAACCCATGTCTACTAAGATACCCCGACCGCCCGGCATTCCCATCTTAGGGAACGTGTTTGACGTCAATCCCAATGAGACATGGAACTCGCTGATCAAACTCGCCAAGGAGTACGGCCCGATCTTCAAGATTAAAGCACTGGGCAAGCAAATCGTCTTCATCGGCAATGTAGAGCTCCTCGAAGAGATTTGCGATCAGCAACGATTCAGAAAATGCGTCACGGGTCCTATTGTCGAGATGCGCCAGTGCGCAAATGACTGTCTGTTCACTGCGTACGACGACGAAAAGAGCTGGGGTATTGCGCATCGGATCATGATACCCTTTGTCACAGAGTCCGGCACGGATGCTTATTTCGACGACATGGCGACTACGATCTCGAGCTTGACCCGCAAATGGACCACGACAGTCAAGCAGCCAGTATTGATCACGGATGACCTCGATCGTCTGCTGATGGCCTCTTGCATGCAGTGTTTCTTCAACCAGCGGGTTGAAGTCCTCCAGGGCCCCGATCCTGCCATCATCCCTGCTCTGGAGCGAATCACGCTGGAAGCAATAAAACGGCCTACACGTCCGAATCTCCTCAATCGGCTGTTATATCAACGTGGCTTTGAGAATGATATCAAGGCTATGCGTGATTTTGCAAGTGGGATCATCCAGCGACGCAAGAATACGCCGGAAGAATCTCGTCAAGACCTGCTGGACGCAATACTTAACGGGACGGATCCGGAGACCGGGGAGAAACTCAACGATACACGGGCCGTGGACGAGGTTGTCACCATGTTCATTGGTGCTGCCACCAGCTCTAACCTCGTCTCGTACGCGCTGTACTATCTACTAGAGAATCCCGACAAGCGGACGAAAGCATACGCGGAGGTTGACTCAATCATCGGCTCCGATCAGACGATCCGACTCGAAAGGCTCAAGGAGCTAAAATACTGCGAAGCCATCATCCTAGAATCGTTACGGCTATCAGCTGTCGCACCAGGCTTCAACATCGAGCCCATTCCCACAGAAGACAAGAGCCCCGTTCTCCTTGCAGGAGGCAAATACGAGATCCCACATGACCAAACGATGATCACCATCTTGCATTCAGTCAACCGCGACCCCGCCGTCTTCGAAGACCCAGAAACCTTCAACCCGGAACGCATGCTCGGTGAAAAATGGGAAAATCTCCCCAGCGGAGCGAAGAAAGGCTTTGGTAATGGCAAACGCCAGTGCTATGGCAAGAAGTGGGCGTGGCGCTGGTCGGTTTTGACGCTTGCGAGTATTTTGAAGGATGTTTCGTTCGAGTTTCAGGACCCGGGTTACAAACTTGCTTCGAATGGGGCGTTTAGTGTCAAGCCGTTGAATTTCCATGGTCTTGTTAGTCCGCGGACTAAGTGAGACGAGGATCGGGAATGGAAGGATTTCCTTTGTCATCTATCTATGCGTACGGGAGTGTGTAGGAATTGATCAATGTATGAGTGATGGCTTTGCTATTTTCGGAAAGCAGGTCATCTGTTCTTTGCGACTCGAGTATATCTTGAACTCCGCAAAGGATGAGTGGCCGGTTACGTGATCAAATCAGCTGCAGTGATACACACTATGATCGGCTCTATCCAGAATCTCTAATCAATGGACTTTCTTACCTTTGAACAAAGAAAGGTCCAGTTCCCCTACCATCTGAAAGCATCTTCAAAGAAAGAACGGTTACGCACCCAATACCCCTCGAGTCGAAGAAGTTGTATTATAAAGGCAGCCACTGCAAATGGCACTCTTTCTTCCCTGTCTTGCAGAATCACCACATATCAATCCTATTCAGAACCCCCCCAAATCAAGCAGACATCAAGTCCTTGTCCCCACCATCACGTCGAACATCGCGAACCCCTCATTCCCCTTTTCACAATGCAAATCCTCGCCCAGTTCTTACATCTACGATACGAACTCATCGAAAACCTCACATCTTGGGTAAACAACACGCATTACGTCCCACCCGACGCAATGGCATCTGTCATGGACCAAGCAATCCAAGATATCGGGGTATTTCAATCATCATTGGGCGATAGTTACTTCTACGTCAAGTGCAATGAGATCAAGCAAATCTTGTCTTATGCGAGCAATTAGCTAAGGAGGCAGCGCGGACTTACTCGTGATGTTGCGCGGGCTATGGATGATGCCGTGGGGAGACTCCGACAGATTCAAATTAGTTGATACCCTGATCTTGGTCAACGTCAATATTTCCAGTCGTGGTTGGGATCTGGCTGGATGGTTGCAGTGAGCAGGGAACTGATTATCGGCCGATAGAAGGCGGATTGGCGACTAGTTCAACAAGTTGAAGAGTGGAAAAATCATTCTGTCATGATCAAAAGTATCATAAGTTATATTGAGGGTAAAATAGGGTGATAAACCTCCACGTCATGTAAGAAAAGTAAATCACCAATGACACGCTTGCTCTGAAAATATCGAAACATAACACACCAAATGCAAAAATGAACCCATATACAGCATCATACTCCCCACACACCCCCCAGAAAGAGACATTAGCAAAAGGATTAGCCTGCGGAGACCAGCAAGAAGGGTGTGATTATGAAGGAAGAGATATCATGATCATAATAGATATAAATTGGAGGCATCTAGCTAGCCACGGCCAGCTGAGCCACAAGGTCCGAGGCCACATCAAGGAAAGGGTAAGGACTAGTGACCTCCTTCTCCTTGTTCATGAAGCGCTTGCTAATGGGGTGCCACTCGGTATCACCATGGGCGCGGATCACGTTCTGGTATCCGTCACACTTGAAGTCAACCATGTAATTATTCTCCTCCAGTTGGTAGAGTTGGATATCGACAAAGACCCAGACGCCGTGCGAGATACTGGACACGCTGGTATTTTGCGTGGCCGAGGAAGGGGCAGAGAGACCGCCGTTGTCGGATGTGGGAGATTTAAGGTCCTTGTCCTTGTCGTCCGTGGGGGCGGAGATACCGGAGATATTAAAACGACGACGGAGCTCTTCGAGGTCGCTGCGGCTGTTGTAGACACTCGTTGATTGCCCCGGGGCTTTGACGCCTTCCTTCAGCAAACGGGCGCGAATGAACCAGGGGTCCTTGGGAATGTAGTAGTCTGATGGGAGATCGGGGTATTTGCTTTGTAGAGGCTTGGATTTGTCTGGTGACGCATCGGGAGCGATAGTCGTGCCTGATTCCACGGGCTGAATATCCCACACGCCGCCTTGAGCAGCGATAGCGCGGTACAGGTACAGCATCGCCTCGTATGGCTGATTCCGTGAGCGGATACCAAATTGCCATTTGCGAGATTTCTTGGGCTGTTGTGTGATGGGGTGACCAATCGGCGGCTCGAACCTCAACTTGTCCAGATCAACAACGCTGCGGGAATGAGGTTTCAATGCTCGAGCTGTGGCGGCTTGCTCTTCCGGAGTCAGTTCTCTGCGTTCGGATCCCGGTTGATCCTCTTCGGCACGAGCGGCTTCCCGTCGGCGCTCTTCGAGGCGAGCCCTGTGTTCTCGGTCACGTTGCTCCATGAGCTGATCATGGACGTAGGGTAGACTCGTAGGCAAAATGCGGACATGGCTAAGACGCGGTGGCTCAAAATCTTCAGTGTCATCTTGTTGAATCTCTTCGGGTCGGGGACGGCGTGAGACACTGGGGGTTCGTGCAACGGCAGGTGTCGCCGCTGCTTGCTGTTGGGATCTTGGAGGTGCGGGTGCTCGTTGGGCGGGAGCAGGTGCGGGTGCTTTTGGCTGGGGTGACACACTCTGGGCCAACAGGTTGTCGTCGGTTGGAGCTGTAGGAAACATTCATTAGCCCAGAAAACAGTCTAGGAGGTTTGACCCATTAGAGCAAGATAACTCACAGTTGGTCTGCATCATCTCATTTTCAACGACAATCGAAAAGGCATCCTTGATTGCACTAGGCTCCGGGTGGCGCAAGGCATCTTCGATATCTTCCCTGTCATATCCCATGCTTCGTTCCAGCTTGGATACCGCAATTTGGTGAATCTTATGCTGCACAGGAACCGGCTTTCCAGCACCCACTTTACGAGGGTCAATCTTGCTCAGATCCACATCTGGGGCAATGAACTCCTCGGGTGGTGGTTCCAGGTACTTGGGGAGGTTCTTGGTGAACCACGGGTCTTGGCGGATCTCTGGAATGGTAATTCTGTGAACCGGGTGGACCTGGAGCATGGCACGAATGAGTCGGGCTGCTCCGGGAGAGATGTATCCAGGAATGTGGAAGTTGCCAGCAGCAATCTTCTTGAATAGGGCAGGAATATAATCGTCGTCGAAGGGCAAGCGGCCCACGAGCAGCACGTAGAGAATAACACCGCAACTCCAAACGTCCACCTCGGGACCGGCGTAGAGCTTTCCGGAGATAACCTCTGGGGCAGCATAATTCGGACTGCCACAGCTAGTCTTCAAGAAATTTCCATCCGTCATAATGTTACTCAATCCGAAATCAGCAATCTTGACGCTCTTCGTGCTGTCGATGAGGAGGTTCTCGGGCTTCAGATCACGGTGGACGATCTTGTGTCGGTGGCAGTACTCGACGGCGCAGATGATCTGTTGGAAGAACTTGCGGGCCTCGTCATCACCACATTTTCCTTTTCGCACCAAATAATCAAACAATTCGCGTTCGGCATATTCGAGGACCATCACAATGTCGGTCTTGGTGGCGATCACGGTGTATCTAGCGGGAGGCGGGGCAACTCGGTCAGTAACGAGCACATACCAGTGTCATTGTTCAAACCGGAGGAGGGGGGGGAAAGAAAGGAGGAACACATCAATTCCTCAAGGTTCAACAAAGTGAAAGAGACAGAGGGGCTAGATTCCTACAATTTAATGATGTGAGGGTGTCGTAGCAATTGAAGATACTGAATCTCTCGCTCCACGCGCCCAACCATGTCCCGAGATAGTAGCTTACGCCGCGAGATGATCTTGAGAGCCACTTGCCTTCCACTTGGCTGGTGGATAGCAAGCTTGACCTTACCGAAAGAACCCTCACCTAGGATCTTGACGGTCTGATACTGGTCGAGGCGCTGCATATCCCGCATGGTGGCCGGAGACTGAGTCGTGGGGTCGGGACGACCGGTCGGGCGCGAGGGCGGAGGCATTGCCATGGCAGAGGGGTTCGAGCTCGTAGCCGTCTTGCTCGTACGTTCACGGTCTCGTTCACGCGGTCGGTCGCGGTCGGTGGGAGGGAGGGGGATCGAAAGATCTTCCTCGTCGAGGGCGGCGGCCATGATGAAAGGACAGCGTGACAGCGTGACGTGATTGATTTTCGTGGGTCGTCCCAGCGGAGCGGGCTTGCTGACTGTGCCGGTCGTTGTCTTATTTTTTTTTTCTGCTTCCTTCTTTTAGAGCATCGCCAATCAGTCGGTCTCGACCCTCCCCACAATAGAACCGAGGGTGGAGCTGAACAGCTGTTTTTTGTTGCTCAGATGGTTGAGGGGCGGGGCGGATGGAGGGGGTGGAGGGTTGAGCACGTTGCCAAGGGCTAACCGAGGAAGTCTAAGGAGAGAGGGAAAAAGAGGTTTAGATTATCCGGAAAACTTGACGATAGCGGATTTCCAGAGGATAAAGTCACGGATATCTTAGAGCGGGGAGAAAGACGACAAGTCCGAAATGGATTATTCTGTCGTTTGGGGGGGAAGGAAAAGGTGAACTGGCTGCGGGTTGGGACCTGACGTGGTGGCTGAGATCGTCCGTCGACGTTTGGATAAACTCGGCTTACAAAAGTACCCAGAACCCCGACCAAGGAGAGCTCCGTGCGCTAGGTCGGTCAGGAACAGCAATGCAATGAGATGACTAGGAAGGGTTTGCTCATGATTTTTCATCTATAGTCGTGAGCTGTCTTGGTATTGATTGTTGCATAGGTATCTCTAGACCGCTACTTCGATCGGATGAACGATGGAGCACGTATAGTTATAGTACCGGCTGTTGTATACATGCCGGGCAAAAACTCTAAGGACTACCTATGCCTGCGACTCAGCCTGTAGTACAGGCGGAATACTATCATAAATACTACACATTACGCAGAACTCTAATCAACCCAGGTGGAAATGTGGAAATGTGGAAATGGTTGACTTTTGTTTTCTATGCAATATACATGCTCAATGGCCCGCCATATACACCGACTGGAAAGAATAATCCAAATCCCAATTAGACACCGGCCCAAAATACAAACTCCAAGCCCAGCTTCACATGAGCAACGGTCCCGGTCAAGTCACCTTCAACATATCCAGCATGCCTTTCGTTTGGCAAGCATGCTGGGCCATCTCTACCTCATCCCGCACACGCTTATGCAGACGCTCCACCTGCTTGTCAATCTGGGCAGACTGGCCCAGATTGCCCGAGTAGATGTCGAGGACGTTCATGGCAACCTCGACACAAAGATCTACTAGACGGGGTTCGCGGATGTGCTTGTAGATCCAGTGTAGAACGGGCTGCAGGGTAACTTCGTCGCGGTCCTTGAGCGAGGCGCGGAGAGCGGACCGGTGACGAAGGGCTGTGAAGAGGGTGAGTTGGGCGGTCTTGTCGGTAGATGAGAGGACTTGGTCTAGGGCAACCGAGTAGCGGCCCTTCCGGAGATCGTTCTCCCACGGTAGCTCCTTCTTCCGCTTCTTGCGATCTTGGCCTTCAATAACGATATCCACCCCTTCGCCGATAAAGTCACGTCCACGAAGACGCTTCTCCCAGCCGGAGCCGCGCAGTTTCTGCTTCTTCGCGACCTGTCGGTCGTGCTCTTCCAATTTGCCCTCCAGAAGGGCTTGCATCTCCTTTTGGCGTTCACGCTCCTTGACCTTCTGTTGGCCGGACAGACGGGTCTTAATCGAGAGCAGACCCGACTGCATACCAACGGCAATGTGCCTGTCCTCATAAGCCAAACCAGATGTGATGACCTTGAGTGACAGAATAGGAGACGGGTACTTAGATCCGGAGACGGGGTTCCACCCGGTCGTCTCAAAGACCTTCATGTGGCCATCCAGCGCACCACTGATGAGGCGCTCTCCATTCGAGGCCAAGGCAAGAGACGTCACCGTCTTCTGGTGACTCTGAATAATGTGTAGCGGCTTTCCAGCTACGATATCCAACACGCCGATCTTGTTGTCGGCAGCAGCCAGTACAGTGGTACCGGCCGGCATGGGCAGCACAGTCTCAATGGGAGCCGCCATCTTGAACGTCATGGCCGCACGGCCTTCGACACGCGGGTCCCAAATCCGGACAGTACGATCGTAAGAACCAGAGACCAGCAATCCAGACGAAGACATTGAGCCGGGCATATAAGAACCGCTTCGCACGTAGTCGGTGTGGCCAACGAATGTCCGCGCACTCGAGTCGGAAGACAAATCCCACAACCGAACGGTACGGTCATCACTGGCCGACAGGAGTGCCGTTGGGTCGCTGGGCGAAAACTTGCTCACCCAGACCGGCTGCTTGTGATCCGTCCATGTCTTCAAGATGGCACGCGAGTTTACATCGAAGACCTGCAATTTACCCGTATCATCACCCGCCACAAAGATACGACCGTCAGGACGGACGTCTGTGCCGCGAACTGTATCGTCGAACCGAGTAATCGTCCGCAAAAGCTTCCGTGTGCGAATCGAGTAGATCTGTACCCGGGCGCCAGTGGTCACCGTGAAAACGTCCGGAGGTTGTGTCAGAGAGGGGAATGCGGCAGAGGAGGACGGGGCGGAAGGTTGAGTGATGAGATTGACGGGGCCATTGGCCGGCGAAGGAATCAACAGAGGGTTCTTGAAAGTGCGCCAGTATTGTTGCTCTGGCGTAAGGCGGGTTGAGGGCAGCGAGGCGAGTTTCACCTGCTGCAGGGGCAGGACGGGCGCCGCCATGGTGATTTGTTAGGTGCTATTTCAAGCGCCAGTAGAAGGCGTAAGGCGCAATGGAATTAGCACAAAAGGTCGAAACAGAACTACCTGGCGCGCAGAGGTGTCTGATCGTAGAGGCTGGAGGATCTTTTTTTCTGCCGATCAAAAAAGTTTCACCTCGATTGGGGTTGGCGGCGAGAGGTGTTGTGGCCTGAGGCAGAGAGAACTCTTTGGCGCTGCGATGCCAAGGTCTAAGGCCACGAGGCCATAAGGCAGCCACAAGGCGATCGGGCTACGAGGCACTCGATGTTCCCGCATCATCTCGATTAGGTGGGGTACATGGAGGGTGGCTGCATGCTGCAATTCGTACTGCAGAAGCTGTATCATTGTTGCAAGACAGCTCACAGCGCAAGTTCGATTCTCAAAACAGGTAGCTTAGTGCTATATACTGCACCAGGACCTCAAGAGCTACACCTTTTTCTTAACTCCGCTTAATGCTGAGGAACTATACTGAAATCTCATCAGTTTGATAATCATCGCCAGGCTAACGTATCGCCTGGATTATCTATATATGGCTACATACATCATAGTGTCGTAGTATACCGGGCTCGTTGTAGGCGCCCGAGTTCTTCGTCGTCCCGACACCTCCTTTAATAATAGAAATAATGGCCCGCTGCCTGCATGATCGGAAGTCTCGGGGTCGCCCCGTCGAGGCAGTGAGGCAGGCAACAGCGAAACTGTCAGACATCGGAAGCAGGGAGGATCGGACATATCAATTATCGAGATCTGTCTTACCATGAATCAACCGGTGATTATCGAGAGCATCCGAAGAATATTCGATTTGTCTTTCCCAGGACTGGTTCATCCAGTTAGAAGCGGGGAGGAAGCGGTGTGTTTTGCGCGTCGCCATGGCAATAGTTGCATCTTGTCTACCTTACATGTGGAGAGCCGTGCCTGACAGCTGCGCCGGCAGGTCGAATGAAACAGGATTCACAAACGGCGCTATCGAAGGATGACGATCACGACTCTAGCCCAATCGCCAATCGTTGCACCTCCTGGAGGGGTAGGATCCCCCTTGTCCACTTCGCGGTGCTCACGGTGGCTGGGGAATCTGTGCGAAGCTGACGCCGCCGATCCACTCCATTCTCGATTTCTAGCTGGGGTTGGGTGAAATGAGTGAGGATGTGGAATGAAATAGAGACCGTGTAATCTATCTTGCATATTGGGCTTTGCCTTCCGACCGAGGCTGGAAAGGCGTGAAGTGCCAATAGGGCTGACGTAGTTCCAAAGCGCAATCGAGTTTCTGATGGAGTTTTGTTTATCGATAACCATGTACGGTTGTATTGTCACGTACTGTCATATCGCCCCGGTCCACCGCAGTCGAGACACCTGAATCAGCCCGAGTCAGGGGCTCCGTCCAATCATACCGGTCCATTCCAGGCCCAGCATCGAGCCCCCAGCCCCCTCAATACCGAGCTTGACATTCCAGAAAGAGGGCGTTTATCTCCCCCCTCCTCCTTCTTTTTCTTTTCAGGTATCCCCAATGCTGAATTGCCCTCATTTATACCCCCCCAGCTGAGCTTGGTTTTCATTCTGGTTGAGACAGAAGAGTTTCTGAGTGATCGCTCTCCCAACCAACATGTCTAAGCTCTCCAAGATCAATCATGCTGCGGGCATTTTCGCCGACATGTCGGTTGATGGCCCCCCAATTGGTACACTGGTGGCTATCATCGATCGTGCGAAGAACCTGCCCAATCGCAAGACAATGGGCAAGCAGAACCCATATTGTGCTGCACGACTAGGCAAAGAAGCAAAGAAGACCCCCACCGACCTACGCGGTGGACAAACTCCTAGATGGTACATTGACACAAGAATTCATCACTCCCAAGCTTAATCACTAACGTCGTGGAATATCTAGGGATCACGAGCTCCGTTTTACAGTACACGAATCACCAGACTACTTCAAACTAAAAGTCTCCATCTTCAACGACGATAGAAAGACAGACTTGATTGGAGAGACTTGGATTGACCTGCAGAACTTGATCATCCCGGGAGGAAGCCAGAATGACCACTGGCATCCACTCCAGTGTCGAGGCAAATATGCTGGCGATGTTCGGATCGAGATGACCTACTATGACACCCGGCAACAAGATGAGGCTGTCATCGTGAAGCGAAAAGAAGCGGCAGAGAGGGTTCAAGGCAAGAGTGCTGCCGCTGGCCCATCAAGCTCGGGACTATCTGGCCCGCGATCATTAGAAAAAGTCAAAAGGCGCCCACTGCCTACCGATCCATCTGGAGCTGTCCCTCATCCTCCAAGGCCCTCTGCCCTGGAGCAGACACATTCAGCACCTCCGCCACTGCAACATCCCCAGCCATCACGACCACCTATGCGTGATCATGCCCACACCATGCCCGCACCCGCACCCGCCCCAGTTACGAACCCTGATGCCCTTCCTTACCCATCAACCCATGCCGAGCCTTCATATGACGCTCCATCTTACAATCCCCCCGCCTCGAGCATGCAGAGTCGAGGAACATACGATGCTCCTGATCTATATCAGCGAGATTGGGACAACCAAGCTTCCGCTCCCGCCCCTCCTCCAGCTCTTCCACCAGCGGGTACGATGAGACGCACGACTCACGAACCTTCATATCCTAACGACCACCCTCAACCTCAATACGATCCTCGCCCCACCGCTACGATACGCAGTCATATTGACTACGACCAGCCCCCTCGGGACTATCGTTCGACCTCAGAACCGCCATTCGAGGCTGATCCACGTGGGAGGTCATTGTACGACAGGCCTCCTCAGTCACACGATGCGTACAGCTCAGTGACCTCACCTCAGTACAGTGCAAACCCAATGACATTTGGTCATGTTTCGACATTCTCGCCCCAAATATCTGGTCCCGGTGACGAACCCGCTCCTTTGCAATATTCACGACCAAGCTCCTCCTCAGGGCCAGCAGATGAGTACCGATATCAACCACGCGTCATGAAGGCCCTGCCGGCTCCTCGAAG